CATTACATGATAATTGGATCTGTTGTGTTTTTGGTGACCCACCTCATGATGATCACATGGCCCTCCCTTTGAAGACATCATGGAGGCGCCCCTGTCTGAAGCTACAGCATTCACAGGAAAAATGCTGTTGATTTATTTATTTATGGGTTTTTTTTTGCATAAATAATCATTTAGCTCTGAATGGATGGTTTAATTGCTTCAGCTTCCTCCCATCTTCCAATGTCAACCTTCAGTGGATGTTAGAGTCTTCATAATCCCTCAGATTTCTGAAACATAAATTCATGACCTCTAATGACCTCTGCCAGATAATATAGAGCATCTAAGGGATGTGGCGAAACAGGAGACATGAAGATAAACAGCTGATGATAATATCAGCTGAATATAAACTAAAACCTCTGTTCAATTGTTTCCAGCAGAGTAATTAGATTCAAATCAGGTTGGATGACAAAGGGAGTCCAGTCTGATGGGTGTGCAGGGTGAGTGTCTAGTAAATTAATTTCCTTTCTGAGATTTTTAATTTGTTTTTGAATCCTAGCCTCTATACAGCCTCAAACTGTAAGAAATCACATCATAAAAGGACAAAACACTCAGTTTGATTCAACAAACTGCTTCCAGATTTCCCATTTTTATGTATTTAATCAATGCAACACTCTAGCTGACAGGGAATGCTCTAGAAAATATGCTGAATCAGCTTTTTAAAAGGGACAAAACTATTTGCATTGATGTACCGTATTCAGATTGTTCCAGCTCTGATGGTATTAAGTAGTTTTAGCTTTGCACTTATAGTGTATATTATAAAGCAATAAACAGCAACCTGCTGTTTACCTCTGTATCTGAACAGTTTCTTGTGGTTACTGCGTCCACATCAGCAATAGATGTTCAGCATTAGAAGGAAAAAAACATTTTCAGCTTTTACACCAACCAGCTCAAAGAATACTTTCCAAAATGTCCCCCATGTGTTTTTCAGCATCTTTGGGTGGCTGATAAATAGTGTGTAAAGGTCAGGGGTCACCAACTCCAGTCCTTGAGGGCTACCATTTGATTTTCTCTCTTCCAGCTCAGTGATTTTCAGGCTTCTGCGCAACTCTACAGAGTGAGGAGGTGATTGGTTCAGGTGTGCTGCGAACCCAAAAATCAAAAAACACACCAAAAGTGACTAATTCATAATTCTTCCAGCATTATTTTACACTGAATGTTCTTTTTTTTGTAGCTTCTCCTCTTGAGGAGAAAGCAGTCTTGAGTTTGCAGAAAATGAACTCAAACAGCAAAACATTTCATGAAAACAAATGACCCAAGTCCATGTGAACTGTAAATGTTACTAATTTTATTTTAGTTGTACACAACTGATGTTGATCTCGTGTTTTTCAGCTGTTTCTTGAAAACAGAGATTTGACCAAATGTTTCTAATTCAGTCTCTAGTTTGAGTCAAGGACAAAAAATGGCTCATTTGTCGAGAAGTTTTGGTTTCCATGAAAAAGGGAAATTGTTTATCGCTGTTGAAAGTTGTGTTCTAACTACGACACTTACCAGATAAGAAGAAACTCCAACTCCTGATTTATTCTGGTTTGATCTGGTCTGACTCAAAACCATTGGAAGGCTCAGCTTTGTCTCTGGACATAAACAGTTTGTTAGAGGTCTGTAATATATTATTTTTAGTTTGACCCATTTAAATATTTTTGCTGAAAATGTTTAATTTACACTGTACATGAATCATTAAATAGATACGTGTTTAATAAATCTGTCTCCTCCTGGCGGGTTTTTGGAGCTCCACTGATGTTTTCATTTACATTTGGAGGCAACCCTCTCACCATTCTTCTTTGAGCAGTGACTGATCCCCCGTTGAGATGTTAGAAATGTATTTCTGACTCAGAATTTCATTAGAATAATGAGCCATTTGGTCCAGAGTTACTGTGGTGATGTGCTAATGAAACCCACTTTGATCTAAAATAACCCAGGAAGCCCAAATGCACCCCAGACTGATGCGTGGAATTCAAACAGACCCGTTCTGCCGGGGATCCCGTCAGCGAGCTGGTAGCAGAGGGCTGAGGAGGGGAATGGAAACAAGTGAAACTAACTCTCAGAGCTGTTGTCTTTGTTTTCCTCCTGTCCTTTGCGTTTGTCTCATAGTTTTATAAAACCTGCAAAAGCATTTCATTAAACTTAGTATTTTTAAAACAATCCTTTTGGTCAGTGGCTGATGGAGTTCAAGGCTGCTGAAGAGCCGGAGCATCTCCTGACCTTTTCTAATGATCCCTTTGAACAAGTTTTAGCTCTAACAAGCAGAGAAATGACATCAGTCCTTATAACAACCTACCTCACATCATCTTCATTCATTCAGCCACTAATAAAGACGGATTTAAGGCCAAAATGTCAAACTGTATGCAACAAATTCATGTTTAATAAGGAGTTAAAGATAATGGAATAGTTCATTCTGTTTGAATCAAGAGTATAAAAGGACATAAACGATACTCCTGCTGTCAAATTAAAAGGTAAGAAATCAAATCTGCTATAAAACAATCATTTTTATTCCAAGATTAGTTTCTTGCAAACAAAATGTCTTAATTATGTTTGAATTTTGTGGTTTTATGTGTTATTGTTTTATTCAACAAAGGAAACTGAGTGATAACTTCATTTATTGCAGCTTCGCCTCAATAAACAAAATAAACAAAGGCAGACTGCAGCACCACTGCACTGAAGCTCTAAATATCTGTGAGTTTATTTCATTTGGAATCAACACAAATTAAATAATTGTGTATCAAATTCTCATGTTTGACTAAAGTTGATGACAGATTTGTTATTTTTATGAGTAAACATTAGCAAAGATCTGAAGCACAAAACCCAGACTCTTCTTTGTAAATGATCAAAACTAAGATTATAGACAAAAAGTCTAAATTCGGTGTCTCTATGGTGCTTCTTATTAGACTGGTTTATATTTAACCAACAGAAGTTATAATGTCTGTATAAACCAAATCATGTCAGATTCTACCGATCTGTTCTGTGGGGTACCCCAAGGCTCTGTTTTGGGTCCACTCTTGTTTCTGCTGTACATACACCTTCTTGGACAGATAATTGATTCTTTTCATAATGTTTCCTATCACCTATATGCAGATGATATTCAGCTGTACTGCTCCTTTAAGGATTCTGAGTCCTATAAACTGTCTGAATTACTAGAGTGTCTATCAGCTATCACCAGCTGGCTAGAAGATAACTTACTTCAGTTAAACTCTGAACAGACTGAATGTCTGATCATTGCCCCTGAGACCATGGTTCCCTTGATTAGTCAAAAACGTGGTCATTTATCTTCTGTCGTCACGACAAACTTAAGGAGTTTGGGTGTTGTTTTTGACCAATCAATGTCTCTTGAAGGCAACACAAAAACGTTGGTCCAAAACTGTTTTTATCATTTAAGAAATATCTCCAAACTGTGAAGGTTGGTGTCAAAACATGAACTTGAAATGGTTATCCATGCCTTCATCTCCTCCCGTCTAGATTACTGTAACACACTCTTCACATGTTTTAACAAAAAAGCGCTTGGCCGCCTTCAGTTGGTCCAGATCTCTGCAGCGAGGCTCCTAACTGAAGCAAACAGAAGAGCACACATCACTCCTATTCTGATGTATCTGCATTGGTTACCCGTTAACTTTAGAGTTCATTTTAGAATCCTGACTATAACTTTCAATGCTCTACATGGTCAAGCTCCTCCCTGTATTACTGAACTGTTAAAGCCTTATGCTCCAACCTGAGCCCTCAGGCCTACACACCACAACCTTCTAGAATTTCCAAAGACCAGATACAAAAGTCGAGGTGATCGCTCCTTCCAGACTGTTGCACCCTGACTTTGGAATGATCTTCCTTTATCCTTACGCAGCGTTGACAGTCTGGACACTTTAAAAAACAGCTGAAGACCCGTTTATTTAAAACTGTTTTGATCTAAAGCTTCTGCTTTTCTTTCTTTTTTTAACTCAAATTGATAACCATCTTTCATTTGTTTTATGATATTTATGATAATTTTATCATTTTGTGACTTTGTTTTTCTGATTTTAATAGATTTTATAATATTTGTTGTTCAGTTTTTTAAAGCACTTTGATTTTATGACCTTATAATTTGTTTTTTGTTGATATGAAGCAATTTGTGATTCTCTTTCTTTGATGAGTGCTATATATATAACATTTACTTTCTTACTTACTTACTTGCTTACTTACTTACTTACTTACTTACTTACTTACTTACTTACTTACTTACTTACTTACTTACTTACTTACTTACTTACTTACTTACTTACTTACTTACTTATTCAAACTGAGTCTTTCTGTGGAGTTTATCAGCAGTTTATGTCAGCTCACAGGAGCCAAGACAGATAAAATGGGACTGGTCCATCTTTATTTTTACACCTGTGTGCCTCCATGATGTGACATTTCCACAGCATCTAAAAGAAAATGCCTATGCAGATAATAACCAGAAACAGGTTGAGTTTGAGCTCACATTCACACAAGAATTATAATTTTCTACCAAGCTGCAAAAGTTTCTGCAATGTGTTAAAGCAAGCTGAGTGTTTGAGTCAAACCAAAAAGGGCGTGGGTGGGCGGTGGTCTGAACCCTGTTTTCCATTTTGGGTGAAGCTGACTGCACGCTGGCCCGTCATCGATTTTCCATTCATCCAGTCCCTGGCAGACTGCAGCCTCCTTTTTGTGTGCAGCTGGACCCTTTCATTATTTACACTTGAAATGATAATGACATCATGTGTGCACAGCTGCAATATTTGCATCCACGTTGCTGGATTTGTGTGTCAAAGTGAGCCTTCTGCTGCAGCTGTAACTAAACTCACGTGCAGCTGTGATTAAACAGAACCTTTCTGGAGTTGATGGAGCCAGAAAAGGTTTTCAGTTTTTGTTTGGTTGCTTTAGTGCCATGCAGGAGGAAGATTTCTGGGCTTTCATCCCCCCATGGAGTAAAGGCTGCAGAAGGGGGCAGATGATTTGGCAAAGAGCTGAGAATAAAAGAGTAGAAGATTGTTTTTATTTAGTCTGAACACTTAATAACAAACACAAGGAACACTCCACGCACATTTACAATCTCTGCAGCGATCAAACCGATAGAAGATCTTACAAAACTTGGCCAAACAAGTGAGTCTCGAAGTCACACTGAATACTAATGGCTGCTTCTGCTCCTGGTCTCTGCTCAGCTCTCACAGCTGAGTCAGATATGACTGAAACATTGACATGATGATCAAGATGATAGTTTATTATGCAATATAGAGCTTTGGATAAGTGTCGGGTTGGATGATGCTGTGCTCTCTTTGTACCTCAAAGCTGCACCGCTTATTCTGCTTAGAATCCGATGCGTAAAATCTGTTTTTGGCGCGTTTTGCGTTTTTCGCCTTTACTAAACGTCACCACTTTAAAGACCTTCCCCTCTAAATTATGACACATATTTACACGGAGAGCGGCACGGACGAGCCAGATGAGTACTATTCCCGACAGAATACATATTCGGTGTAGCTTGTCCAGATTTTGTCCTCGGTCGGGTCGTTGCTGGTGTAGGCGCAGGTGCCGGTGGAGCTGCAGGCCACCATGTGGAAACCCGCCTCTGTCAGTTTGTCAAACGCCTGCTCTAGAAAATTATACTTCAGATAGTAGCGGGACGTGTATCTCTCCGGGGGCCTGTCCGGATCCCTGCTCTCATTCAGCGTCTCCCCGAACACCTCTTTGGCCAGAGAAGTCTTCCCGCAGACGGTGATGCGCGCGACTCTCCTGAATTTGGCGTCGGTTTGGATGTCTCTGCCAATTGTGTAGGAGCCGCGGTATCCTATCGTGATGTAGCCGGAGCGTCTGGAATCCAGGGACGGGGAGCGCATGGCCCCGGTGACGGACATAGTGCGTAAAGTGTCGGTTCCACCGAAGGACTGCTGCGCGCCCTCCTCCGTGTCGCTCTGGCTGATCTCCTCACTGATCGAGTTGTCCTTACTCACCCGCGGGTTGAGGCGTTTGGCGAGGTCCCGCAGCAAGAAAAAGTCCGCCTCCCTCTGTAGCCGACTTTTCTCCGGGAAGTAGTCCGGCAGGACCAAGTTCAGATCACGGAGATAATCGAGGATGTAGCGGAACAAGAAGCCGTCCCTGTCCAAGAAGAAGCGCCCCTTGCTGTCCCTCGCCAGCTCCTTGGGGGACTTCTTACTGAACATGTTCCACAGGAGCGAGTCCGGGACGGCGATCAGAGTCTTGTGTCTGGTCACATAAACCTGTCCCCCGACGTTCAGCTCGATGATCTCTGAGAACAGGGAGCCGGGGTCCCCGCAGCAGGACCCCCCGCGCTCTGCATCTGCCAGTGCCATCTTCTCCGAGCTACTGCGCTGACAGGATCAGAGGAAAACACTGAGGTGCCAGTCCCAGCTGCTGGCTTATGAAGCCTGAGTTTAACACGTGCGGATGTGCGCGTGCACGCAGGGGGTGACTGTTAAATTATCATTTAACTATTGAGTTGCTGTCTTGTGCAGCTTTCTTGGTTTTACGCATAAAAGGCGGAAAAGCAGAGCCATGCGCCTTATCCGGCAGCTTCACCCAAAAAAAAAAAGTATCATCCATATGGGACTCATCTCAGCCTGGTGTCTTTCTAAAGCAGCACCTCCTCCTGAGGGTTTAAATAGTGAAATAAATGATGTTCAATTAGAATCTATGCTTTTACTTTGAAGGAACCATTAGAATGTATGGAGAGAGTGACACCTACAGTAGCTCCAATGAAATGCAGCCATGATCTCTCTCTCTCTCTCTCTCTCTCTCTCTCTCTCTCTCTCTCTCTCTCTCTCTCTCTCTCTCTCTCTCATTCTCTCTCTCTCTCTCTCTCTCTCTCGCTCTCTCTCTCCGGATTCAGCAGCATAACAGAGTTTAGTCAAAGTTTCTGCACCTTGGAATTTTTGGACACTTTGAATTGGTAAATGAAAAATAGAAATCAAGCATTTCTTCTAAGAAATTCAGCAGGATTAGAGAATGATTAAATTATCACTTTTTGTTCCACGTTTTAGAGCAGGAAGTGAAACATGGAACTGAGTTTGGTGTGTTTAGTTTTGACGCATGGATTTCAAATTTATTAATTCTTGTTCTTGTTTGGTTTTATTATCATTTCCTGAAATCCAGTTCCTTTAAGGGTTTGTACTTCTACATTTTCCCTATTAGATCTGACTTTGTGCATCTTCCTTTTTTTGGCTTTAGTTTTTTTTTTTTCCCTGTTTGGAAACCCACTGATGTTTCCGGATGTTTATTTATTTCTTCATTCATTCATTCATTCATTCATTCATTCATGATGGCTTCTCATCTCATGTGTGAACATTTGGACCTGCTTATTGTGTGTTTGTGTTGGGCACAACTATTTATCTCTTAAGATTTTGACCAAAGTGTCAGCTTCTTTTTCTTGACATCTGTAAAGTTATGAGGCTAAACTAAAAACGTCCAAACATTAGCTAAACCACATTATAAGCAGCACACATTTAGAAAAGCAGATGTTTTCAGAATTTTATAAGGTTAAAGGGACAATGTGGCCCGGACGAGCAAGATACTTTTTTAAGTTGAATCACTTGAAAGAACAATTGAAGCTTATGTCTGGAAACTTAGCGGCCTCATCAAGCTGAACCATTGCACGAACAAAAACCTCCCATATTTCATCACAGAGGTCACGTATGAACCTCTAAACATGCTGGGTGGACAGATTTAGCATGTAATGAAAATATAAAAGGTCAAGATAGGAAAGAATCATGTAAACAACACATCACTGAAGAGATATTAAACTTTTAAATGCTTTTACATGATAAAAAATATCTAAAAATTTACTTCTGTTGAACTTTTTATTATCATTAATAAATAACAATAAATCTATGTTGGATGTTCTTTAATGTTCTAATGGCACGTGTCACCTGTAGTACTCAGACTGTCCACCAGAGAGCAGAACACACACCTGGTGCAGCAGGTTTGTGAGGAAAGCACTAATCCTGTTAAGAAAGTAGAGGGCTTAAAGTTTGCAATTGGGAAATTAATCAAACCCTGAAAACGACTTAATGCAATTTACAATTTATTAACTTTTTGGTTTTAACTTTCAAGTTTGCATAGATTGAGCTAAACGTGTCAGCAGCTGAGTCATTCCTGGCCAATAATCTGCATGTTTATCCTGCAATATGACTTGAAATTATATTAAAATCATTTAATAATCTGACTCAAACAGCCATAACTCCAGATGTTTTTGTTTTAATGTAAATGAGATGTACCTAATAAACTAAATAAAGTTGCTTCAATATTAAATTAATAAATAAACAATGGTTTTTATTCCAAGATTGTTTGTAAGACTTAAGATAATGTTTTAATTATAAATTAATTTGTGGTTTTATGTGTTAATATTTTTATTCAACAAAAGAAATGAAGTATTAACTTCATTAATTGCAGCTTCACCTCAATAAAATGATAAAATGCCTGTATTTGTACAGTAAGCATGTAGTGATAGTGGAGAGAAAAACCCGGCTCAGCGCCCCCTCTGTATTATCTTTGAATCTAAATCTTTTCCCTCTTGGTGCTTTAATGTTACTCCAGACAATACTTTCTACATTTTTTTTGTCTGTGTGTAACTTTACTGTCGGTTCAGCAAGAATTCAGACATCCTGTTGTTCACGTGTGTCACGTTGCGGAGTTGGTAGGACCCAAAATGCAGTAGCCAGGATGACACGAGGCAGGGATGAAGATTAAGTAAAATCCTTTATTTAAAGGTGAGCCAAAAACAAAGTAAATCCAAGGCTGGGAGCCAAAATCCAAAAACCAGATAACAATCTGGAAATCCAAAAACCTTAGAGAACTCGAGAAGACAAAAAAAATCCCCTAATAATCCAGGAGAGACTAGACTGACAGAATTACAAACAATGGACCGACAAGACAATGGGAAACAGACAGGGCTTTATAGACTGCGGCACAATGGGAGGCAGATGAGCTGCAGGTGAGTGGGGAGAGAACCAGGTAAAGGCAATAACTAATCTGGGAGGAGGAGCAGGAAGGAGCAGGGGAGGACACCTGACCTGACTGGGGAAGGACACACAAACACACACACACACACACAAACACACCTAGCTGAGAAGGACATACACACACAAAACTGAAATAATAGACCTATAGAAATATGGTGGGGAGACCAAGAGTACATGAAGAAAACCAGGAGGGAGCTGGGGCCAAAAAGGCTGGAGCTACAACTGGAGGGGCTGGGGATGACATGAAGGGCTACAAACAGAAGACAAATAAATGAGACGCAGACAAAGGACACATGAGGGCACTATGAGACACAAAAGGGGAATCTAGAGAGGGATGGAGAACATCAGGAGACACATGGGGAAAGACGCAGACCATGACAACGTGTGTGTGTGTGTGTGTGTGTGTGTGTGTGTGTGTGTGTGTGTGTGTGTGTGTGTGTGTGTGTGTGTGTGTGTGTGTGTGTGTGTGTGTGTGTGAGTGTGCGGGTGAGTGTACGTTCACCTTGGAAATTGGTTGCGGGAGGGGAAGTGTAATTGTCAATTGTTTTATACTTGGGGAGGGGGGCTGGGATGGGAATATGGGATCTATAGGGCCATTTTAATCTGTGAAGCAGTTTGAGTTGCATTTTTTTCGAATGAAAAGTGCTATATAAATAAAGTAGATTTGATTTGATCCTCACTTTCAATTTTACTGATTTTGTGTCACGTCATCAGAAATCTCTGAAATCTCACATGAGTGAATCAATATTTTTGTTTTTCAGGCTCGGTTATGTGATTGCCGGTGGGTGACTCGGTCCAGACTCGTGACAGATTTCTCTCTTCAGAACTTCCCGTTGCAGAAAGCTGAATTTCCATCGCCTGCGTTCTCAGAAAGATGTGGATTGTGAAAGACACAAACAGTCATCAGGTCTTCAGACAGATTATGGTCAGCATTTAATCCAAAGGAAAGGTTTCATAAATACATGAGGACTTAAAACTCCAAGATCAGGTTTTGTAATTTAGAACTTTTCTTCTGATCACGTTTGTTTTTTTCTCTCGTATCTGCTGGAGGTGACACGATCCAGTCATTGTGAAACTATCCACTTCTCATCGCTGGGTTTTTAGTCACTTTGGAAATTTGGTGGAGCAGCCCACAGACCATAGTGATGGACTATAAAAGCTACTGATCTGAGATGTTTAGTCAGCTGAAGAGGCTGTTGAGGGGACGCGATGCTGCGCAAGGTACTGCTGGCTTCGTTTACACACCTTATCTGTATTTTAACATCCAAAACATTACATTTAGAAAGTATTTTGTGTTTAATATTTGGAGTTTTGCACTGAAGAGCTCCATTCTGCCTCACCAGGGTATTACAGAGAGCTTTGGAGCTGCCATCCAGGCCCTTAACGCCATCCATCTGACAGATGGTGTGATTACCAGAAGCAAAAGGATGATGCTGGACACTCTGGGTGTTGGACTGTTGGGAAGCAGGACAGCTGTCTTCAGCAAGGCTCTCAAATACAGCCAGGTACAGGGAAATACACAACACCACAGAAAAACCCAGATATCTGCACCTAGTTTCAAGTAAATGTAAGAAAAGCTAGATATGAAAACCTTTTCACTAAATCTTTAGAGAGAATAAATTAGAATCTGGGTCAATATTTTCTGTACATTTACAGAAATCTGATCCGTATTCTTTTGTGATTTTTGTTTTCTGTAAATCTTAAACTTTCCCTCTTGACACAACGGATTTATGTGTGATTGCAGGTGTTCACGTCTGAGCAGAGGAGCAGCGTTTGGGGAAGGTCGGATGTGATTCTCCCTCCTCACTATGCTGCCTTTGTCAACGGCATCGCTGTAGGTTCAGACACATGAAAGCATCACGGAGGATTCTGCTCTGCTTTGAGCTTCGCTTACCAGCTGTCTCTGTCACAAGGTTCACTCCATGGATTTTGACGACACGTGGCATCCTGCGACTCATCCCTCTGGTGCTGTGCTGCCCGCCCTGCTGGCTCTGGCTGAGACCCTGCCCAGCCAGCCCTCTGGCTTGGACCTGCTGCTGGCCTTTAATGTAGGCATCGAGGTGCAGGGCAGGCTCATGAGGTTCTCCAAAGAGGCCTACAACATCCCTGAGAGGTGAGGTGTTTTTGTTGTTTGTTTTGTTTTTGCCAGTTGAATTAAGAAACCACTAGATAGGAGAAGAAATTATTTAAGTAGAAATCTTAACATCTAAAGCACCTTTTTAATACTTAATCTTTGTTTTAAACAATCAGGTTCCACCCTCCAAGTGTTGTTGGAGTGATGGGAAGTGCTGCAGCCTCGGCTAAGCTCCTAGGGCTGTCTCCAGCTCAGTGCAGCCATGCTCTGGCTATAGCAGCCTCCTCTGCTGGGGCTCCCCTGGCCAACGCCGCCACGCAAACCAAACCGCTCCACATTGGGAATGCGGCCCGAAGGGGCTTAGAGGCAGCTCAGCTGGCTCAGATCGGAGTGGAGGGGAACCCTGCCATCCTGGATATGGACAGCGGCTTGGGGGTTTACTACAAAGACTACAGCCCCTCGCCTCTGGCTGATTCAGATTCTGGAGCCTTTAGGTGGATTCTTGATGCTCAGGATGTGGCGTTCAAGCGCATACCCGCTCATCTGGCCATGCATTGGGTTGTGGAGGCTGTCCTGGCAGCCCGTGCTAAGTTTCTTGACAGAACGGGGAACTTCGACCTCAGCCAGATCCAGAACATCACACTCAGAGTTCCTCGATCCAAATACATTAACTGCCCCCTGCCCACCACAGAGCACCAAGCCAGGCACTCCTTTCAGTTCAACGCCTGCTCAGCCCTGCTGGACAACAAAGTCACCGTCGCGTCTTTCAGCCAGGCTCAAATCAACCGTCCTGCCCTGAGGGAGCTCCTGTCCAAAGTCCAGCTGGAGACACCGGAGGACAACCTGCCCAGCTTCGACAGAATGTACTGTGAGGTGGAGATTAAGTCAGCTGAGGGGCTGAGCTCCTTGGCAAGGTGCAACACCTTTTACGGCCACTGGAGGAAGCCGCTCAGTCAGAAGGACCTGGAGGAGAAGTTCAGCCTGAATGCCTCCACAGTGCTGTGCACAGAGGGGGTGGAGGGTGTGATCGATGTAGTCGGGAACATGGAAAAGGTGACGGAGTGCTCAGTTTTAGGCTCGTACCTGAGAATGACGAGTACTTCTGAGCAGCTCTACAGCATGAGGATTATGTGATCTAATTAAACCAAATGTAATAGATCATTGAAGGAGAAAGAGCTGAATGTAAATATGTATACAGCTATATATTATGTGTGTGAAATAAAAACAGAAAATCTGATTTCCTTTATTTTAATGGGCTCACAGCTTAGGAATTCTCTAAATCTGGATGGAAAATGATGAATCAGTGCATTAGTGTGAGAATTATGGTAGATAAGCCAGAAAATCACACCACGTAGATGTCAGAACTACCACAAAATCACAGGTTTTAGGCGTATACGTAGGGTTTTTGTCTCTGCAACAATAAAGCTTCATATTTCTATAGTCCTCTTTGTCTCAGGCCAGTTTCAGTACGCCCTGCACCATTGATCCAATGCCATCGAAGATCTCGTGGATCGGAGCATCGCACATGAAGGCGCAGGTGGTGACCAGCTTGTTCTTCTCATCCACGTGGCTTTCAGCGACACTCTTGCTCACGTGTTTGCAGCCAAGCTGGCTGATGGCTGCGGCAGTGTCTGCCGTATCTGGATACCTGGAAAACAAGAACAAGGCTATTCTAGATCTTTTCTAGAAGATCTTTCAAACGCGCTTAAACCGGTTTGACTCACTTGCTGTCCTTCTCGATGCCCACTGTGACCTCACACCCAGGGAACACCTTGGCAGCCAGGACAGGTGAGATGCAGCAGAGTCCGATGGGTTTGCCTTTGCTGTGGAACGCCTGCAGAGCAGCTCTCACCTGGTCGTTTACCGTACAATCTTTCCCCTGCACTGCCCACGTGCACAGGTTCTTAGCTGCCCCAAAACCGCCTGGAAACAGCAAAAACACGAGAAAGAACAGAGTTTTACCTGGATCTGTTTCTGCAAGAGGATAAAGAGCTGGAGTCAGGATTCGGATAATGACATCACAATCAAACCTGGAAAGATGACAGCATCATGGTTTTCAGCACTAAGTTCAGTCAGATCCTTGATATTTCCACGGGCCAGCCGCGCACTCTCCACCAGCACGTTCCTGCTCTCTTGAGATGGTTCCCCCTTCAGGTGATTCACCACGTGCATCTGCTCTATGTTGGGAGCAAACATTTGCACCTGGAAATTTAAAAGAAGGGAAAAATATACAAAAATGAACAAATAAAAAGACTAATTTTCAAATAAGACCATCAGAAAAGTGCTGCAGCAGTAAAAAGTGTATTAAAAGTTTAATTTGAAGGAGAATTTAAAACTAAAACAAGACTGTTCCTAGTGTGACGTCAAAGAAAGGGTGTGATGATTCAAAATATTCAAACAAGTCAGACAGAAACTTTGTTACAATTTCTGAAAGACTATTCTGGAGAGAAAAACAAAAATAAAATCAGGTTACAAACATCTATAACAAGAAAACTGTAATAAATGTAGAATACTGAGCTCGTGTAAAATACTCCACCTAAACCTGCACGGTCCTCATAATAAACAGCGTTATAAAAACGCCCGTCTGCTTTTAACAGAAACATCAACCGTCTGTGCCAAAAACATGTTCATTTAGTCACTTCGTGGTAAGTTAACAGAAGGTCACTTAAAAACAGGCCTTTTAAAAGAGAAAGTTACATATCACCCAGATTAGCTCACACCTAAAACCACAGACAAGCAGCAACACACTCACACTAGCGCCTCCTCTGCTCAGATGGACCAACACAGCAGAGGCTTCGTGGATCTCACTGCCGTCATAAACTCCGCAGCCTGCCAGCACTACCGCCACTCGTTTAGCCATCTCTGAGGAGGAATAACGTCTATTTAGGCTCTGAACTCCTCTGAGAGCAATGCACCGACCACCAAGGTGCAGGAGAGAAAGCATGGCGGACTATTAGACGCCCCTTTTTGCCTTTTTGTGACTTTTTCTTCTTCTACAGTTTAAAATGTAGTGTACAGAAGCGTGGTAGGCATTTTAGCGTCCCTTTTGGTGAAGCTGGGTACTGCTGATGCTCACTAGCCTGCACCCTACAAAGGTTTTGCTGAATCATATACATACATTGTGACACAGGATTTTTCAAAGTATTGTGTTATGTCTTTGCCCTTCGGGCCACCGTAGTTACGTATGACGTTGGGCACGTCGTTGTTGGTTGCTTAGAAGCTAAGCTATGTAATGTGTAGTGATGGGATTTATGGCTCTTTCATGGGAGCCATTCATTAGTCGGGGGGTATTAAGAGCAACATTTTCCTGCTGTGTCCATGAGGGAGCACAGGGTTGGTTAGCGTTCCTCCCATAGATATGTATATAAACACGTGTTTATATTGTTTATATACATATCTATGGTTCCTCCTACGTCCGTCACAGCGGTGGGTGGGGTTTGAGCGGGTGCGTTTGACCGGTAGGTTTGTTAAGATGAACAGTTCTCTACAGGGACTCAGCTCTCATCATTCACTTTGAAACCCCGTTCAAAAGATTTGATTCGTTCGTGAACGTCACATCACTAGTAATGTGCCGCTGCTACCAGAATGGATTCAAAGAAGTTCCTAACTCCTATAACCGCCTCATCATTATACTTACCTGAGATAATGGTGCGGAACATAACAAGTGGCTCAGTTGGCACCTTTGATGAAGTCGTGGAGCAGTGGAGCTCTTAGTATTTTGTGGAGGCTAATGACATTGATGACTCAGGATGAGAAAATAGTCCCCACATTTTTGAGTGTGATCGGACCAAAGACGTTTACTCTGCTTTGCAACCTGTTACAGCCAGCAAGTGTGATGAATGATACACTGTAGCGTAAAGCGCTTTGGAGTCCTTACTCTGAGAGGTGCTATACAAGTGCAGGTCATTTATCATTTATAGTGTTGATCAGGTAGAGCTTTGTTGCCAGCGTTCCACTGCATAATGGCTTAAAACACGTATATATAAGTGTTAGTTTTTACATAAACCATTGGATGAAATTACACAAACTGACTGGATGTATGGATGAATCCCAAAACTATTTTACATACAGAGGGCAACAAAACAATAAAAAACACTAATAAATCAGAAAAGAGTACAACCTAAAACAGAAGAAAGCAAGCTATAAACACATTAAATTTATTATGTGAAATAGAGGTAACAGATTACAGCATTTATCTTACAATGAAAATAGGTGAATTTGATTGCCACCCACATTGAGCCAGGTTCAGCTAGAGGTTTCTTCCCGCTAAAAGGGAGTTTTTCTCTCCACTGTCGTTACATGCTTGCTTAGTGTAAGGGATTGCTGTGTAGGGTTTGGTAAACTGAGTGCTTTAAGAACTCAATATATATTACCTCTACTTATGACCAATAAGCTGTGATACTCTATATAAATATGGAATATCAACCTGCTTGGTCTTTACTGTGTTTAATCAGAAGATAGGAATCTTTGTTTATTCAGGGATTGTAAACACTTTGTTTTGATTCAAGGAAAGAGTCAGGTTTGTAAAAGTAAGAATTTAACTCACAAACAATTAAAGCATGACAAGTTAACTAATATTTACTGTAATGGATGAATCTAGATGTAGTATATGGTGCCTATGTGTGAATGCGATGTTATCAGAACTTCCGTATCTAGGAAAGCTGAGTTCTGGGTGTAAAAGAATTTGGATCGCGTTAAGCTATGGAGTTAATTCTTATCAAAAAGCATCAGACGCAATCACACTGTGTTCTACCTCACCCCTTCGGAGACCCTCTTCACGGATCAAGAGGTCATCGAGGTCGGATAACCTCTTAGCACCCAGGTCCAGTAGATTGACCACAGCACAGACTTTTCCCGTCCAGAGATGTCGCCAGGCACACAGGTTGGATGGAACCGTTTGCGTCTAGACCCTTAAGGAGTCGGAACAAAATCAGCTTGTTCAGCAGGAACCGATTGCTGTGTCAGCTTGCAACAACCTTGACAGCGTGTCAAAGCTGCTTAGTTAAAGACTTCACCAAGGACAGCCGTTTCCGTAGCTTCCTCTGGAACTGTAGAGCTGGAACTCGAATGAACTGCAACAGGACCTGCAACTGCTGAATCACCAGAGTGATCCTGTTTTAATGTTCTCATGTTACAATTTGTGTAGCCATGTTGAGGAATATTACCAAGACAACCTCAGAAACGCGCCTTCTCAGATACCGGATGCTCTGATCTGGGATAAAGAAATATCTGTGTGTCATGCGTTTGACTTAAGTTTACTGTGTCCTTGTGTGAGTGTGGATGGTGATGGCCTTGTCAAATCAACATTACTGATCCATCTATAAATCAATGTCATCATAACATAACATTCATTTCAAACTTCAGTCATTCAAGCACAGATTAAGGAAATCATTCCGTTATATTATAATTTTTATAAGTAACAATAAACAAACGTTTATTTAATGATTATTTAACTTATAAGTTTTAAATGTTCATATTTAATTTAAGAAATCATTCTTTGATTTAGCAACTAATCCGAGCTGCGAGTATTCACTTATTCAGAGGCATGAAGAATCCTGTAGGACAATAAGGGAAGCTTGAGCCTTGAGGAGGGAACATCATTGTTGGCAATACATTATCATGTGTTCAGAGCTGCAGAGAGGCTCTGAGCACCAGCTGATGGGATGAAGGCAGGCCGATTAAAGGAAACACGTGCAGTCTCGTCTCTCCATTTTGACCGGATGTTGAATGGTCAAACTGTACTTAAAACTGACCATTGCTGGACATTACAGCTGTAAAGTCACTGATACTGATTGCTGGATTTATTGGTTATTTGTTTGTTTTATTATGTTTGTGTGAAACAAAATGTAATTTGTAAATTGGTGCTAAATAAATAAACTGACGTGAATTGATTTTAGGTTCCTCCCTGATTGTAACTCACCATCTTAAACACATAAAAAGGCAATATGATCATTACTTAAATCAGGGCCTAATTCAATCATATTTGGCTATAAAAATAAAACAAGAAACTTCTTTGGTTAGATTAAGAAAATATATGATAGTAACAGATGATCTTAGTTCAAATAAATATTAATGTGCAAAAAACAACTTAATCAATAAACATCAGCATGTATCCATTGAGAAAAGCCAGCTGAGGTGGCTTGGGTATCTGCTTAATATGCCTCCTGAACATCTCCCTGAGTTTTTAAAGGTATGTTCAACTGTGAGGAGGCCTAGAAAACCCAGGACACGCTGGAGGGATTAGTTCCAGCTGGCCTGGGAACGCCTTGGGATGGCCCAAGTGGCTGGGGGACAGGTAGTCTGGACCTCTTGACTGCTGCCCCGTTGGCTGTGACCCAAACCTGGATAAGTGGAGGAAAATGAAGGGATGTACTACTACTCTTATTACTACCACTACCACTACTACTACTACTACTACTACTACTACTACTAGTAGTAGTAGTAGTAGTAGTACTACTACTAAAAATAATAATAAAGTTTAAAATATGTTACTTTGGAAGCGTCGAGCCGCCTCCTATGCAAAATAAAATTAGAGCGATATCACATTATAACATCTTAACTTTATCGTTCAAACAATCTAATTTTCACGTTCTGACAATATAAATATCATGTTCGCACAATATAATATTAATATTGTACAAACGTGATCATTATGTATATTGTAGGAACACACACATTTTTTGAAAAAAAAAACATGAAATTATTTTGTAAGAACGTGATAATATATTGTACATGCGTGAACGTTATATTGTTGGAATAATAAAGTTATGATATTATATTGTTATGTCGCTCTAATTTGATTTTGTGTGTGGCAGCTCAATGCTTCCGTATTTTACAGTTCTCTCTCTCTCGTTCTTTAGGCTAGATGATTTGGGAAATAATTGTTAAATGAGTGCAAAACATTTTCTAAAAATAATTTAAAATAAACAAAACAGTTGTGGCTTTATTAAAAACCAATCTGGTTTCGAATTTCCTATTTCATACTGGCGCATTCATCTGGTCACGTGATTTTAGATAATCAACAAAACCACGTGACTTGTAATGCGGAAGTCCGGGTGTTTGGTGAGAAAGAATCATGTGAAAGCAATCTTCATACCTCTGCGCTGGCTCCAACGTGTCTCAGTCAAACATGGTCGTGTGTTTCATCCTTGTCCTGGTTCTTCATACTGTTTCTCAAGTCAGGACACAGGGACAGCAGCAGCAGTGGCCTGTCCCCTACAGGTAGGCACAACTGTCTCAGACACGGAGGGAATCTCTCTAGCCTCGTGAACTAGACCAAATTCTTGCTTTGCAAAGTTTAAATAATACATTTATTTAGTCTGGCTTGCCAGGCTAGAATCTCTCCTCATTTTCATCGAAAACTGTTGTCGCGTGTCCTTGTCAAAGCTTCTTATTTGGCTATCTTTTGCGTTTCACATGATTTTCTGTCACTTTAAGAGATGATTAAAACTAAAACACGTCTGATGCGTTCAGGTGACCTTTGTAAATCTGACCACTCCTCAAATTTTTTCCTAAATTAATATTTTGTCATCAATCTTACATTAAAAGCGGGGCCAGAACTTTCTTAACGTACTAAATACATGTCACATTTTTTTCTTAAATCTGGGATAATTTGAATATATTGACATTTACAGCTTTTTGTTTGAATAACAAAATCTATATATTTCTGTTTTTCTAATTTGAAACTAGTCCCATTATACCCCAGATATCAACATTGCAGTATTTTATTTTCAAGATAAATATTTTATTTTATGTATCATTTTTACGTATTATTTATTATATTTTATGAAATTATGAAAAGAGGCTGCGCAGTGGTTAGAGCTGTTGCCCTGCGGCGAGAAGGTCCTGAGTTCGCTTCCCAGCCTGGGATCTTTCTGCATGGAGTTTGCATGTTCTCCCTGTGCATGCGTGGGTTCTCTCCGGGTACTCCGGCTTCCTCCCACTGTCCAAAAACATGACTGTTAGGTTGATTGGTCTGTCTAAATTGTCCTTAGGTGTGAGTGTGTGTGTGCATGATTGTTTGTCCTGTGTGTCTCTGTGTTGCCCTGCGATGGACTGGCTCTCTGTCCAGGGTGTACCCCGCCTGATTGCCTGTTGACTGCTGGAGATAGGCACCAGCCCCCCCGCGACCCTACGTGGACAAAGCGGGTTCGGAAGATGGATGATGGATGGAAATTATGAAAAGCAAAGACAGAGAAAAATGAACAATAGAATTTGTAGAGCTTCGAACCCGTAAAGCACAATCTTAGATTGGGAGATGGCCGTTTGCTTGGGGTCTGGGGTGGTGGGTTGCTTTGCTCTGCGTTGGGCGGAGATGCATGCTCATCAATACCAAAGTAAAACGGGATTAGCTCTGGGGTTCGGGAACAGTTGTGCCCTCTGCAGCAGTACCGGGTCCAGAGTCAGTAGGGTGTGTGTATGGAGAGTGTGAGTGGCTATATGACGTACATTTTTGTGTGTCTTTAGGTTGTCTGTGTTTATGTGAGAGCATGAGGGAGGGAGTGTGTGAATATATCTGTCAGTTGGGGTCTTGGACTCCCCCTTCCTCTCCTGAGACATCTTGTGGGTGCTACAACATTTTCACCTACCCTCCCCTGCACAAAATTTCTACCAGTCAGTGGTGCCTTGGTCTGCCTGCGTATTCGCAGCTCTCGAGTCAGGGGGCTAGAAGTTTTATTTGGCATCTTTCGAGTCGCACCTGGTGGGGTCGTGATCCCTAGGCTCTGTCAGTTCCTCGTCTGGGTTGGGCGACCCTGGGTTCCAGGCCGCTGGGTTCCAAGCCCGCCCTGCTCTGGGGTGAGTGGCTGCGAGTGGGCCTGGGGCCTTGCTGTTGTTATCTCTCACCACCGAAAATATATCTAATAAAGTTTTGGTATTGGGCATGGCATTATAGCTTCAGCTATTATACCTGTGAGAATTAAACTGTAAGGCTTGTCTTTCGCATTCAGACAGCAATTCCAATTGCATCACAGCCAGACGGACACGCTGAAAAAAACAAGTCCTGGTAACTGTGTTCTAGATATCGGCACCTCACTCACGCTGCCAACTTGTGTTTTAGATAGGTAATCAAAGGCGTTATATTTGTCAAGAACTAATGGGAGTTTCGAGGATGTGCAGTGCCCTCTCCCAGTCTGTATATGTTGAATTTTATTTTGAAATTCAACCTGTTATGTTTCCGTACTTGTCTCCACCCACTGACATTGAAATGAATTAATTTGAACCAACTCCATAAACTGTTTCAGTCACGGTGTCGCTTGTTTTACTGTTAGCTTAAAGGGGCATTATGGAAGTTTGACAGCCAAAACATGTCTAGAAATAATACATTTCTTCATACATTCTCCTGCAATGCCCTGGTCCTGTAGAATGAGCCCTGGCATTTTTACTGTGATTGCCTGTTTTTCTGTAAAATCACAGAAAAAGAGAGCTGCTCGGGTCGAGCAGGCTGCTTCATGCGTGTTCACGCTCAGGCATAGCCCGTAGCATTTGCTATCAGTAGCTTTAGCAGCAGAGAGAGGCAGTGCCACTTTGTCTAACCCTTGTCGCTGTTCCTAACGCCTAGTGATGAACCTAGCTGCATTTCTGAGGACCCTTAGCTACTTTCTTCTAGATATTTCCTGCAAATTAGCAACAAAATAGCCATTTTCGCTTCGAACTGTTCTTTGGTTTGACATTGTTTCAGGTGTATCTGTAAATGTTACAGATACTGTGAATGTTGCTAGAGTGTAGCTCACCTTGTAAGATGTCTGACTCCCATGTAGAAGACCTGGGTTTGATTCTGGATGTGTATATAGTTCATTTAGAGTTTCTTTTTTACATTAATGATATTTTTTTACAGTAAGATGCCCAAATTTTTATTTGAGACTCGCCGAACGGCATTGAATTCACAGGTAAAAAAGATGTGGGTTCAACTTTCATTTTGGAACAATTTTTCAAGCAAGGGAAGGGAATGATCTGAGCATGCAGAAGGACTGACCCATCATAAACCTTTGTCAGCTGTGCTGAAGAGAAAGATACAGAACCAAATTATTTAATTAATTAGCTGCGTGTTTCTCCTGTCCTCTGTCCTCCGGGCCACACACGCACGCACGCAAGGGACTGTCTCAGCTGTTATTTTCGTTAAGGAGTGTGCACGTACAGCATGAGCGCCTCGTGCACGAGCCTACTATTGAAGCTGCTGTTACGCTTTTGGCCTGAGGGGGCAATCGCGAGCATAAAATATCAAAAGTCCGTAAAGTCCCTTTAAAAACTAGTCAGCTTTTCTTTGGCTTTAATGAATTTTGTTTAATTTTCAACATGTAGGACAGAGTGAAGTATGCTGGTAAATCTGATTCACCCAACCAGTAATCAGCTTGCTGAATAATACACTGTGAACTTTGGTCTGACATTGCTGTTTGCATTCAGGCAGCATTTGTTTTACATTTTAAGCACTGATTAAAGCTACATGAGGACTCAATCCCAACTCCACGATGACAATATATATCTGAATTATTTCATTTCATTCATATTCATAAAGAATATTATTTGAGAAGGCTTTAAAATAGTAAATGAAAGCTCCACATTTTTATATGTATTAAAATAATAAAATCATTAACATTAAAACGGAGTTCAGAACTGAAAAAACTGAAAGGGAAACCAAATTTTACACAAGTGTCTTTTGTTCTGCTAACAGGCGCTTTGACCACCGACCTGCTGTGGACTCTTACTGTGAGGCTCTGTACCCGTTCTGTCCCACTGGAGACCACGATGGACGCATTCCATCCATGAAAGACAGCGATGTCGTCTCCGTTTACAGGCTGCAGACACCAGTGTGGGAATTCAAGTATGGAGATTTACTTGGGAAACTAGTAAGTGTATACGTGTGTGTGTGTGAAATAAAAGCATGTTGCATGTGCCTTTAAAGCTCTACCTGGGTGCCAGGAAGGTGCTTTAGGTAATAGGACCCTGTTTGCAAACTGAACCGTTATTCTGCAGATGTAGGCAACACTGTGTTCCTGTTAGTCAAATATAGCAGAAACAAAAGTGCAGCTGTGAGATTTTATTGATAGAAACACACGGGTTCAGAGTTACAAAAACACCTCTGTGTGTGTGTGTGTGTGTGTGTGTGTGTGTGTGTGTGTGTGTGTGTGTGTGTGTGTGTGTGTGTGTGTGTGTGTGTGTGTGACATCTCTTTTTCCCAGCATATCATGCACGATGCTGTCGGTTTCAGCAGCTTGGCGACTGGGGCCAACTACACCATGGAGTGGTATGAGCTCTTTCAGCTAGGAAACTGCACCTTTCCTCACCTCAGGCCTGGGGCATTTGCACCTTTTTGGTGCAACCAAGGAGCCGCCTGCTTCTTCCAGGGCATCGATGACTCGCACTGGTCAAAGAACGGCACGCTGGAGAAGATAGGAGAAATCACAGGTGAGACTGTGTGTGTGTGACGGTGTCCTGATGCATTCTGTCAGCCAGGAATAAAAGGGTTAGGCAGCAAAAATTGAGGGAGATTTTTATTCTGCAGGGAACCAGTTCAACGAGATGGCCCGGTGGGTTCAGGAGGACAACGAGACTGGGATCTACTACGAGACGTGGACGGTTCTGTCTGACCCCAGCCCAAATGCGACAGTGTGGTTCGAGTCGTACGACTGCTCCCAGTTCATCCATCGTACCTACAGGAAGCTGAAAGAGCTAGGAGCCAGACTGTCCAGCCGAACACAGACCAACTACACCAAGATCTACCTGTACAGCGGAGAGCCCACGTACCTGGGCAACGACAGCGCCATCTTTAAACAACCTGCGCTGAAAAACTTAGCAGAGGACATCCGTGAGTTCTACCACACATTCAGGCCACACCAGTCGTTTGCTGAGCTCGCCCTCAGCCTGCTGGAAGCCTACAAGCAGATCGTGCTGGACAAGAGCTTCTACCTTTACTACAACTTTGAGTACTGGCATCTTCCAATGAAGCCTCCATACATGCACATTACATATGAGGAGGTGCCGTTGCCTTGACAACCCACTTACACTTAAAGATTTTATTTAGCTTTTAAATTTGGTCATAAAGCCACAGCGCGCTAACGTCTTGTAATAATAGCTTCATAGAGACGTTAATTTTACATGTAATCCCAACTAACTATGCCAACTGATTTTATCAGGTGTTTTCTATAATATCCCTAAAATGTCAATTATAGGGCGGGGACTTTAACGCGTTAATTATGATTGATTACTTAGAAAAAAATAACGCGTAAAAAAAATTAACGCATTTAATCGCAGCTTGCATTTCGAGGAAGGCGGAACCTTTGTCATTGCACGACTTCCTCGTAGACTGAATATCACTGACGCACACAACAATGCACAGTGCTAATGGCTACTAAAACAGAATAAAAACAGAAAGAAGTTGCCTTGCTTGGACTGATGCAGGATTTAGGAAACAGTCCGCTTCTTTTTTTGACTTGGAAAAAAAACTTCCAGACGACAACGGAGTCCGTGTCGCGGACATTTTTCAGAGATCGATATTGCTGCAGCTGCCCGGTGGCATCGGAAACTTTACAAAAGTTGCAATAAGCTATATTTTTAACATTTACGTAACATCTGTGCAGCGCTGAAAGCACCAGACAGAATAATTCTTTGCCCTAACAGTAGTTTATGAAAGTAGTCAGACAAACGAGAGGCACCTGGCTGCCGCTGGGAGAACGCTCCGTGTTCTCACTACTCGGTAAACAATCACAGACAACGTGTCTTAAAGTTGAAAACAGAAGTTTAAGTTAAAACAGAAACACTCTGAAACTTTTCTGATGATTTTCTAAACAATTCTGTGGGGGAGTTATATGTTTCTGAGACGAGTCACTGTCTAAACATCACATGCATTACTATCATTAAGCAGCGAGGTGTGTTGAAGCTGTCATCAGCTAAGGGGCGGATGCTTAAGTGCATCAGGGGCAGTGAGGAACGAGGAAGTTGTGATCAGGCTGGAGATCACACCAGATTCGCTGCTGCAGGCGTGAATCTGCAGGTCTGCAGCATCCCCTTCTTAATGTGACATCAGGACTTCCCATGTAAGGAAGGTCCGCTCACCTGTTCGTCAGATCATTATTTCCTCGCCATGATCTTTTATCTTCCCATCATCCTCCAGTCATCCAACTGGAACCAGTTAGTGTTCCTGATCATTCTCAGAATATGTCACGCCTGCTCTGGTGTTAAAAGTTAGTACATTTAAGTCCTAGATCATATTTGTGTCTGTTCTACTGTCATTTTGAAGGATTATTATTTATATGTGTGTTTTTACTATATTATGAGTAGAAATGCTAATAAAAACTCCCAATTATACAAACAAGTGAAACAGGAAAAATTAGAATCTGGTGCAAAGTCAAATTTATTTCAGTCATTCAACTAGACAGAGAGACTATTTAAAGGCTCAGGAACCCTTTGCATGTGTTTTCTATTTGTAATTATAAATTTTAGTTGATTTGGGTTTTGTTTCATATCACACAGTGACATTTGAATAATTAAAATGCATTTTTTTATTAAAAGCTTTAGTTTACAGTAATAACCATGTCTAATGTTTGATTCTCTGTCTCATAATTTTAATTAAAAGTTTTAATTTGAGAGCACATTTTCCTGAACGATTAAAATGCGATTAATTTAGATTAATTAATTACAAAGCCTCTAATTAGATAAAAAAAATTTAATCAAGTCCCAGCCCTAGTCAATTAGACGTTTGTTCAGAAAATAAGGACAAATATCATTTTTTTCCAGTGAAGAATAAACTCGGGTGGAAGCCCTTTTTTTTAATTATCCTCTATTTTCTGTCTGTTTTGCTGTTTAAAGGGAGGAAGCCTTGATAAAACAAAGAGATTAAATTCACAATATTTTATTTATCAGTATAAGACCACATGTCCAAAACCATCATTTTTCATTTAAAGATTGGTGACCAATAAAAGAAATAGATGAGAAAGCATTTCCTCTATTTGCTGCACAGAAGCAAAACAAAGAGCAGTGCTGTCCACACACATTTCCTGACACGAGGCAATGCTTCTCGTAACTTCTGGGAGGTTTGACCGACTCAGCTGAAGCAGAGGAACAATAATGGGATATGTTAGCGTATCTGTGACACGAACACAGACAACTACTCATTCAGATGCATTTGCACGTCTTGAAATTTTGTTTTAATTTACTTTAAACACAAACTTGGATGAAATGGAATGGAGTTTTTCAGTAAAACAACCATATGAAAATACATGTTTATTTTACCACTTAAACACAGTTAAGTAGCTTTTAACAACATACAAATACAACTTAAAGGGTTTCATGAGAATTTAAAAGGATACTAAGCAGTTTTGCTTGCTTTTGGCACCCCCTAGTGTCCATTATCATTTGTGGTCGAAGCAAAAGTGAATCCCTTCTCCTCGCTGAGATCTGTTTAACACCTTTAACTGCTGAAATGTCTCCTCAGCCTTTATTAGGGTCTACAGGAGCAGTTGAGCACTAAATGAAACAAATCAGCTGTGTTCACGATCTAAAACATGCTGGAAGCAGACACCAGTGCCAGTTATGTAAGCTACATTTTTTCTAAAGCCTGTTTTATACTTTTATACCGTCAACTCCACAAGGGAGAGACGTACACACATTGACAGACTTTATGCTCTCGGACTTCTCCGTCGCCTGCGGAGCATGGCAAAGCAATTTCCCGCCAGGACAACAGGGCGTAGTGCTTTTCTGTGGTATGTCACCATTACACTCATGCATCCGGTCCACGATAGTGCATTTACTGATTTGTTTATTTATTTCAGAGACTTTATCAAACAAATTTGCCCTTCATTCTCCTCCACCTCTTCCTGTGGTCGCCACCTCTAAACTCACGTTTACCGTATTTTCCAGCCACGCATAAAACGTTTGCTCCGTATTTTTGTACACCTTCAGGTCCCAGGTGAATAAACTTTCCTGCAATCCGTTCTGCCGCTAAATATCTGTTTAGTTTTTGACGGAGCAATGGCGGTGCTGTTGACGGATTTACAGGAAGCAGCATCCTGACCAATCACAAGCTTGCAGTCTCCATCACTCGACAGATTTTTTAAAACTTGGGCATGTCTCCCTCTGTGAGCCTGTCGGAGATAACTACTTGTAAAAATATACACAAGTGTTTGTCATGATTCCGTGAATGACGGTAAACAATGGGAGAATTTTCTTCTTTAACGATATTTTACAAGCTGTCAGGTAAACATACAGCAAGCAGCACAACTTCCAAAGGTAGCACGTCTCTTCAGGTAAACAGCCTGTGATGTAGTAAACAATCTGCGCATTTCCCCAAAGTAGCACATATCGACGGGTAGCACGGATAGTCGGAACACCGGCACTCTGAAGTTGCAGATGCGTTATCAGGTCACATAGGGCGGTACGGGTCTGACATTTCATTAACCTTTTAAAGGGTCATTTTAGCACAAACAGGCTCAAGGAAATGATTTAAAAGTATGAAAATGTTGCATAATATCCCTTTAAGAGTTCGCTCTCAATCTACTTTTTTTAAATTTAGCATTTTTTAAATTGAATTTAATCAGCAAGTATCAGCTTATGGTCTTGTTTTTAACTGAAAAGCCTTTCATTCATGCAGAAGTTTCCACAAGCCTTCCGTTTATTACATAAGATCCTAAAAGTCAAGGATAACGGAGCTTTGGACCAAAATCACAACAGCAGGTGGAAAACTCAAATAGATCTCTCTGCTCATTTGTGTCTCTTATTTAGCGCTTTAACACAATTTAAATAGAAACATGGATGTTGATTAAATACACACCTCAGCCTCTCATGTCAAAGCTTTTTATAGAAGACGCGATGAGCCATAAATCAAGCAAAACCCGAAAGGGTGAAATAAAGAAATAACATTTCTGTTCACATGAATCAAACACACAGCGTTTTATATACAAACACATTTGACTTCCCTCTAAAAGGAAAAAAAATATGCATCCAACTTGCAACTTCACTTTCAACTGAAATGACAGAACAGCCGAGGCAGCGCTTGTACGTTCACCTGTACCCGTCTTTAAACACACACCAGGTGCTCCCGACACACACAGGATGGACAGATTTAACAGGTAAATGGCAGAAAATCCAACTAAAACCTAAATTCAAACATTAATTCAAGTTTTGTTTCCCCTGCTGCAAAAACAAGTGCTGAATGATCACCACTATCTATGGAGCTGCTAATTAACACAACTATGAACGCATTATTTACATCAAAACCTGTTTTCCTCAATAATTACAATTTTTCTTTTACGGTTCCAAGCCTCTGCATCTTTTACTTATTCATCATATTCTTTGCTACTTCTGGACAAATAGTCCTTATTTGGTTTCCGTGTAAGGTGCTCGGGGAATCTCTCCTTTTTACCCCAAAATGGGGAAACTATGGTAGTGTTCCATACAGATCGATAAGAGGAAAATACTTTGGATAATTCGGGAAACATAAACTTCCACTCTGTAAATCTTCACAGGACCAATATTATGAACGCTCCCTCTCACAACGTTCTCAACAAGTTTGGGATGAGTGAACGAGTTGAGGAAAAGCTCAGAAACGTTAAAAGTGAGGCGTAGGACCCAGCCACTCCGCTGCAGCGTGAACGGTTCCCTCGGCAACGCTTGAAGGAATAAAAACCCTCTCTCCCTTCCTTTAAGCACCCAACACTGCAGCCGTTCATAAACCTCCAACCCATTTAGTGTTGCAGCGTGCAGAGCTTCTAACTCACAAGATAGTGTAGCAGAAAGCAAACGTTCTGATTTACTGTCAATAAAATAATAGCTGCACACATGCTTACATGTGCAGACAAAGCCAAGACAGAAGGAATATGACTCATTTCCTGTGATTAAAACTTATTTCCAGTAGTTCTGTTGTAAGAAACCAGCTTTTCAGGTTTGTCTGAAGGTTAGAAGATGCAGTTTTCCAGAGTCTGTGTTGCTGACAGCAGGCAGAAAGAGCGGCGGTGTTGCGCTGCATCCCAGTCAACACTCCGGAGCGTTACCGTTTAACTGCTTTTGAATCCAAACACGCGATTGTTCCACATCACAAACCCGACAAGCTTCTACCAGGTCGGCATCATGTCTGGGAACCAAACCCGGCCCAGGTGCTTCGACACCTCCCAGTGGATCTCATCCAGGGAGTATTTGTGATCTGGGATCAGCACCTCCTCCATGATGGAAAGCTGGGACAGCCTCCTGCCACACATTTTAACAAACTCCACGAAGGCGCTGCAAGTCACCTCGCACTCTCCCAGGCCGATGGCCGACAGCTGAGTGCAGCGTTTTGCAATGCGGATCAGCTCCTCGTCGAGGGGGCGCAAGCCGTTAGCGCACACCACCAGCTCCACCAGACGAGGGCAGTGCAGCCCCACCCGACCCAAGACCTCCTTGCTGACGGAGCGGCCGAAGTAGAGGTGCGTGATGGGGATCTCGTCGTTGAAGAATGGGCCGAACTCATCCTCGTAGAGGAAGAAGTACATGACCAGGTTGAATGTGGGCGAGTGGCGCACCATGGCGTCCCAGCTGCTCTTCTTGATGGTGTGGAAATGCTGGCCCGGGTTCTCGCTCACCACGTCGATGCGCAGGTGCTCCAGATGAACGTGTTTCTCGGAGGAGAGGGCCAGCAGGAGGTCATCACTGAGGAGGTGGTAGTTCAGCGCCAGCTCCCTCAAACCGTGGCACTGGTCCGCCACACACAGGATCCCTAAGAGCAGAGGACACAGATTGTCCAACCCAGTTTTTAATTTTCTCTTGAGAACAAAAAGCCTGTTTAGCTGAAAAGGTGCAGCTCTATCAAAAGACTCGGATATTAAAAACTTTTACAGGAAAATGTGTCACAACAAGAAACCCCCAACAGTTTATTCATAATTACCTCCAAATTACAGCCTCCAAAAGCCAAATGAGAAATGGTCATGTGACTCGGAATAGGCTTAACTCCACCAAAGGTGTAATTTGATATAATTTGAAATGATACTTCTGTCAATAATCAGCAGCTGCACAAATAACATTACATCCGACAAAAGCTGCTTCTCTAGTATCCAACCACCATGTTTATCTGGCCGCACCTGCAGGGGAGACATGAGGACAGCTGCTCATCTTCAACAATTTGAGGGTGTCGCTGTTGTTGGCCACCAACACCTTGAGGGACGGATCGTCTACAGGCGTGTCGTCGATCTTCAGCGAAGACAACGACTTGGAGTTGACAAACACCACAGTCAGAGCGGAGATGAAATGAGACTGCAGGACAAATGTGACAATGATTAGGGTTGGTTAATGCTTTAACATGTGGAGTGTGTCATGTAATTATTCAATGGAGGACTTTTTGTCACAAAGCGTCTTAAAGGGGCCATATCATGGAAAATCCACTTTTTGGAGCTTTTTACCAGGTAATGATGTTATTTCCTCATGAAAAAAAACCCTGCTTTTTGGTGACATTCGCGCATTTTAAAGGGACTTTACAGAGTTTTGAATTTTTATGCTCGCGATTGCCCCCTCAGGCCAAAAGCATAATGGCAGCTTCAACAGTAGGCTCGTGCACGAGGCGCGCATGCTGTACGTGCACACTCCTTAACGAAAATAACAGCTGAGACAGTCCCGTGTGTGTGCGTGCGTGCGTGTGTGTGTGTGTGTGTGTGGGGGGGGGGGGGGGGAGGCTGGAGGACAGAGGACAAGAGAACGAGCAGCTAATTAATTAAATAATTTGGTTCTGTACCTTTCTCTTCAGCACAGCCGACAAAGGTTTAAGATGGGTCAGTCCTGCATGCTCAGATCATTCCCTTCCTTTTCTTAAAAAATTGTTCCAAAATGAAAGTTGAACCCACATCTTTTTTATCTGTGAATTCAATGCCGTTCGGCAAGTCTCAAATAAAAATTTGGGCATCTTACTGTAAGAAAAAATACCATTAATGTAAAAAAAAACTCTAAACAACTATGTTCACATCCAGAATCGAACCCAGGTCTTCTGCATGAGAGTCCGACGTCTTACTAGGTGAGCTAAGGCACCAGTGACAGCCTCTGTATCTGTAGCTTTTATATCCTTGATGACAGCTGAAACAATGTTCAAAGAACGGTTCAGAGCGAAAATGGCTATTTTGTTGCTAATTTGCAGGAAATATCTAGAAGAAAGTAGCTAAGGGTCCTCAGAAATGTAGCTAGGTTTATCACTAGGCGTTAGGAACAGCGACAAGGGTTAGACAAAGTGGCACTGCCTCTCTCTCTGCTGCTAAAGCTACTGATGGCAAATGCTACGGGCTATGCCTGAGCGTGAACGCGCATGAAGCAGCCTGCTCGACCCGAGCAGCTCTCTTTTTCTGTGATTTTACAGAAAAACAGGCAATCACAGTAAAAATGCCAGGGCTCATTCTACAGGACCAGGGCATTGCAGGAGAATATATGAAGAAGACATTTATTATTTCTATACATGTTTTGGCTGTCAAACTTCCATAACGCCCCTTTAATGTTTCAGCTGCAAATTTTATGCGGCTTTGCACATATTTGTCTCCCGGTCCACGCAGTCACTTTTTCACTTCTTTTCTGGCTGCACTTACCAGTATTAAGTTTTCAATCCTTTATTGGTAAACTGTTTAAAATATAAGACTAGTATGTTTTTTTTCTCACTTTCTTTGTTTATTTAGCAAGTGTAAGTCCATGTGAGAAGAGCAGATTAAACTAAAGTGCTGCTTGGAAACGACCAAATTCAAAGATCTTCAGAGACACAAAATAGTTTGCAGAAAATTATCAATAAAATTTAAATATAAAAACATTTAATCTGCTGCAGCTGGCTTAACAAATTACTGCCGACACCGCTGGGGTTCAAACCCACGTCAGCACATGGCAAAACAGATGACAGACACCGTAACTACTGGACTACTGTAGTCAATACAGCCCAAGATGCTGTTGCAGGCACGTTTTGTCGGCGTGGGCGGAGTTTCACTCAAAGGAAGCGTTTTATTTCCCAGGTATAAATTCAGGCTGACAAAAACAACTTTTATTTATGATAAATGACATCTCAATAGTGCCCGTGGTAACATCTTATCATATACTGTGGCTCTCAAATGCCAGTGCATGACAGGATTCAGTTTAAATAGTTGCTTCTTGTTTATAAATCACTTTATGGTCTGGCCCCTCCTTATAGATGATTTATTGTCACCCTACACTCCTGCCAGGAATTTGCGGTCGGGCTCACAGTTTTTATTATCAGTTCCAAAGGCTCGCCTAAAGACGAGAGGAAATGGGGCTTTTTCCATGGCCGGTCCAACACTCTGGAACAGTCTTCCTCTGCAGATCAGGACCTCACAAAGTCTGGATGTCTTTAAGTCCTTGCTTAAAACTCATTTATTCAACCTGGCTTTTATGTAGGATAATTTTATTTTGTCACTGTCATTCTTTCTCATTTTTACTGATTTTATAATTGTGTGATGTAATGCTGTTTTTATCCTAACTTGCTGATTTTTATGGTTTTATGGTTTTTAGTTATACTTGTTTGCGATTTTATCTTCTGTGTTGTACAGCACTTTGGGTTGCAGAAGCAATAATAAGTGTGCTTTAGAAATAAATGTGACCTTGACCTCAAAGGTTTAAAATAGCAGGATCTGGAACCTTTAAATGTGTTTCAGGTACCAGGTTTATATGCAGTCAGAGTTAATCATTGAGTAAAATTCTAAGTTTGCTTATGGACGTTAATTGTACCTTTGGGACCTCCATGAAGCTGGGCCTGGCAGTGGAGATGAGCCCCAGGGTCTTCAGCGAGCAGTTCACCAGCTGTGAAAGGATGTCACAAGCTGCCTCTGCAGACTCCGTGCTGCTGTCCACCTGACAACAATCAATCACTGGATATCAATTCAAAAACATAGAAACAGCCGCTAAACCAACATTCACGAGTGTCGCTTTTTTACCTTGAAGCTGACGTACTGCAGGTGGTTGGAGTGCCTCTTGATGATTTGCTTGATCAGGTCAGGATGTGTGGCTTTCAGGTAAGAGCTCGCTGGCTGGTTAAGCTCAAACTCAAAGCATCTCCACAGCTCGGGCATGTGGAAAGCCTCGTTCCACCCGCGGCACACCTGAGAGGCGTACGCCCGGTCCAGCAGCGGTAGGTGCTGGAAGATGTGCAGCAGGAGCTCCTGAGGAAGCAGCGACCAGTCGCAGTCCGGGGACTCGCCGGAGCCCTCCGCCTCCAACTCCTCACTCATCTGCTTCCGCACCTTCTTGCAGGCCTCAGGTGAATTTTCACTGGAGCAGCTATTGCTGACCACCTCTCCTCCTTTCATCCGTTTCATCCTGAAAAGAAAAGGATGAATAATATGTTTAGTTCAAGACATGCTTTTCCCCAACAGAAACTGGGTTTCTGTTGCCTGCAACTGGTGACAAACAGAGAAGGGCATTCACCAAATAATTCATATAAGCATCATAGATTGATAACGCCTTCATACGTACATCTACAATTCAATTCAAAAATACTTTATTGATTGCTGTAGGAGCTCAGAATAATAATAAAGTCATCAAAGAGTTATTGTATATTACAATGGCTGTTGGCAGGAAGGATCTCCAGTAGCGGTCAGTGTTGCAGCGAAACTGAAGAAGCCTCTGACTGAAGACACTCTTCCGTTGTCGGACAGTCTTGTGAAGAGAATGCTCAGAGTTGTCCATAATTTTCTTGATTCTCTGGAGAATCCTTCTTTGCATTATCTCCTCCAGTGGTTCCACAGTCGTCCCCAGAACAGAACCAGCCTTTTTTATTAGGCTGTTGAGCCTTTTCAGGTCCCTGCCTCTGATGCTACTACCCCAACAGACGATGGCTGAAGAGATTACACTCTCAACAACAGACTTGTGGAAGATCTGCAGCATCTTGCTACAGACATTGAAGGACCTAAGCGTCCTCAAGAAGTGCAGTCTGATGTGTCCCTTCTTGTAAACGGCTTGCTGTTCTTTCTCCAGTTCCAGAGTTCCTCCATCTTGTTGGCCAGTGATCTCACATTGCCCATTATGATCGTTGGAAGAGATGGTTTGAATTTCCTCTTTCTCTGTCTCCGTTTTGCTCCCGCTCTGCACCCACGCTTCTTGCGTTTTAGCTCATTTGGGATTTGTAGCTTCACTTGAGGTATTATTTCAGCCTTCCCAATGTTAATCAGCTGCTCCCGATTGTAAACCAGCTTGTTGCCATGGTTACGCATCATAACAAATGCTCAAAAAGTGAAAAAATAGCTGTAAAAATCCTCCAAGCTTCACAGCACCAGAAACAGAAAAGTAAAATGCCCAAAAAATACAGTTTTTCTTGAGAAACTAGAAGAAAAAATGTCAAAAAAAAGGGCAAAACTTACATATAGTTAACAGAGCTACTCCAACATGCAGCCCAGATAGCAAACAGACTCCAGACAGGTCACCCAGATCATGAAACACCTCCAGACTATCAAAGAAAGGAACCAGAATATTTTCTCCTAACTCAGGAACCTTGAACCTGGCATTTATTTTTACACAACTACCGATTCATCCCTTAACAGAACACGTGTACAGTCTTTGGTTCATTTAGAACAAGTGGATGCCTTACAAACTGCTTCCTCCTCGAGTAAAAATGGGGTTCGTTAGTCAATGCTGCAGTAGACTGTGCAGAGAAAATTTTCCAAGGTCCTCCTTGTGACTTTAGATCCTGGAGGAACTTGTGAAGTCTCAGAAGACTCAAAGGTCAGAAGTATGGGTGCTGCTTTCAGCCTTGGTCTTTAAAGAACTTTCCTCAGAATTCCATGATCCATATCCTAAACCGTCTATCCGAACAGATGTTGTTTGCTTTGAAAAATGTCAGAGATTCATTAGTAAGTAAAACATAAACTGGACAAAGTTTGGCACAAGGAGGTGAAACACAGCTCACCCTAGCTTACAACAAACTCAGGGTTTAATTATTTTATCTGTTCAGTTTCCAAACTGAGTGCCAGTCTCGAGAAAAACTCATTTTAAAAGGCGTCTAAATTTTTTCTTGCTAAATTTTAAACAAAAAAGAGAAAAATTAAGTTGTAATGCAAGTAATGTGCAAAAAATATGCCATTTTTATTCATCTTCCACCATCTGCAGAGAAAAATCCCTTAAAGAGCAAGTCACCCACAAATCAACTGTTTTTGCTGATAAACTATATAAATGAGTGTCTGATTGTGCTGTAGACACGTGTAGTCAATAATTTGGCACTTCAGTGCATCTTAGTTGAAATTTAAATATTCTGCCTAAAACTGTCAGTGTTGCGCCGTCGTCAGGGAAAAAATTCTTTACGCATTTGAATTTAAATCTGCCACCGCTATTGGCTAAGAGGTATGCTATGATGTTAGCTAGTACATTATGATGTCTCAATGCCATTCAATTCAATTTAATTCAAAAATACTTTATTAATCCCAGAGGGAAATTGATTGCTGTAGTAGCTCAGAATAATAATAATAATCAAGTCATCAAAGAGTTATTGTATATTACAATGGCTGTTGGCAGGAAGGATCTCCAGTAGCGGTCAGTGTTGCAGCGAAACTGAAGAAGCCTCTGACTGAAGACACTCTTCCGTTGTCGGACAGTCTTGTGAAGAGAATGCTCAGAGTTGTCCATCATTTTCTTGATTCTCTGGAGAATCCTTCTTTGCATTATCTCCTCCAGCGGTTCCGAAACTGCCGAAACTCTGGCTGAGTCCTTGAAAGGGCTTGGAGTTCCTCCATCTTGTTGGCCAGTGATCTCACATTGCCCATTATGATCGACGGAAGAGATGGTTTGAATTTCCTCTTTCTCTGTCTCCGTTTTGCTCCCGCTCTGCACCCACGCTTCTTGCGTTTTAGCTCATTTGGGATTTGTGGCTTCAAATGAGGTATTATTTCAGCCTTTCCAATGTTAATCAGCTGCTCCCGATTGTAAACCAGCTTGTTGCCATGGTTACACATCATAACAAATGCTCAAAAAGTGAAAGAAGCTAAAAAAAAATAGCTGTAAAAATCCTCCAAGCTTCACAGCACCAGAAACAGAAAAGTAAAATGTCCAAAAAATACCTTTTTTCTTGAGAAACTAGAAGAAAAAATGTCAAAGAAAAGGCAAAACTTACATATAGTCAACAGAGCTACTCCAACATGCAGCCACCCAGAGCAGCGCAGTCCCGGAAAGTAAATAATACCAACTTTAAAAATAGCTAGGCGTTTGGTTTTGGCTTCTTATTCACTGACCAATTTTAGACAAAAAAGTAGTTATAATCAAATCAAACAGGTTTTATTTAGGAAAATGTATTTTCTTAAAATAGATGTGGATTTATGAACAGAATCAATGAAAAAGGAATTGACAGAATAGCAGATAAAAGATCAAATGTTGGATTTCTAACACTTTCATACATTTTAGTAAAAAGATCAACAAGTACCTTTTCCCGTTCAACATAGTTACGCTTTTGATTGTATTAAATTACTATAGTGACCTTATTCATTTGACGTCTCCAGTGGAAAAGGTGACCGTGGCTGTAAATGTGACTTTACAGGGAACTGAGGTAGCATCGTTGCGTCTATGATTAAATGACATAAACGTGTGAGTGAAACTTTTGTAAATGAACCGATTATGTTGTTAAAAAGAATGACAGGTGAACTGTTTACATGCAGCGACCGCATCAGTGATGTTAGCTAAATTTAAGCTAGCTTGTTCAGAGTCATAAACTCATTAAAAGCAGATTCGCTACATGCGAATATAATTTAGACCATGATCCAGGTGGCGTGTAAGGCTATTGTTGACATACATGCTCATAAAACAACAACAATGAAAGTCAACTCGAGAAACTTGCAGCCTACCTCGGTGTTTACACACACGGCTAGCTTAGTAGCTGTTCTCAGAAAAATCCGATCGCTGGTTTCGCTCGTCAACCCGGACCCACGAAGGAAAAACTCATTCGCACCGACCAGATAACTCGCATCGGAACCGATTGCCGAGCCGTATGATGCTACAAAACAAGCAAGTGCCACCTCCGCTCGGCTGACCCAGTTCCCAACAGTTACAGCGGCCCCCCCGGATCTGAAATGGCGAAGTGCTGTTTTGACAGCCCCGGTGCATTATGGGAAACGTAATGCGAAATGGCTATTGATAAAGATCGTCTATTTTTTGAGATGCATTTCACTGAACAATAAAAAAAATCAAGCTGTTTTTACACAAGTATCTCATGTTCAATTCTTCTGGATTAATTCTGCTATTTAATAGTGATCGGGTAAAGAAAATAGTTTCAAACTATGCTATTCTATCTATAAATCAAATATTTATAAATTAATTTATTGTTATTCACTGTATAATCACTGTGTAAAACTTGTTTCGGAACTGTGCTGCTCTGGGCGGCTGCATGTTGGAGTAGCTCTGTTGACTATATGTAAGTTTTGCCTTTTCTTGGGCATTTTTACTTCTAGTTTCTCAGGAAAAACTGTATTTTTTGGACACTTTACTTTTCTGTTTCTGGTGCTGTGAAGCTTGGAGGATTTTTACAGCTATTTTTTATAGCTTTTTTCACTTTTTGAGCATTTGTTATGATGCGTAACCATGGCAACAAGCTGGTTTACGATCGGGAGCAGCTGATTAACATTGGAAAGGCTGAAATAATTTCTCAACTGAAGCCACAAATCCCAAATGAGCTCAAACACAAGAAGCGTGTGTGCAGAGCGGGAGCAAAACGGAGGCAGAGAAAGAGGAAATTCAAACCATCTCTTCCATCGATCATAATGGGCAATGTGAGATCACTGTCCAACAAGATGGAGGAACTCCAAGCCCTTTCAAGGACTCGGCCAGAGTTTCGGCAGTTTTGGAACCACTGGAGGAGATAATGCAAAGAAGGATTCTCCAGAGAATCAAGAAAATGATGGACAACCCTGAGCATTCTCTTCACAAGACTGTCCGACAACGGAAGAGTGTCTTCAGTCAGAGGCTTCTTCAGTTTCGCTGCAACACTGACCGCTGCTGGAGATCCTTCCTGCCAACAGCCATTGTAATATACAATAACTCTTTGATCACTTGATTATTATTATTATTCTGAGCTACTACAGCAATCAATTTGCCTCTGGGATTAATAAAGTATTTTTGAATAGAATTGAATTACAAGTGGCTGTAATCAAAATATATTTATTAACATGCAGGAAAAACTAATTTTTCTGTTCTTCTGGTGCAATTTCACACATTTAAGATATGTGATTAAAAAGTGTTGTATTATATTTTAATAATAACATATGTTTTCATTTATGCATCAATTTAATCTGTTTACTGAATTTACTAATAGCAAACAAGTGATTTTGATAAATTATAGATGGCACACTGTATACTTTGTGAAACAATGAATCTGGTTTTATTACCATTCAACTCCATCCACCACAGATATTACAGAGCAGATTCACAAGTATTAAGCTTTTTATTTAACAGCAGCTGCTTTTTTTACCCCCCACCCCAGCCCACCCCCCAGTTTCTTTGCCTCATAATAGGAAAAAAAGCATTACAGATGCACACTTATTTGGTGTAAAGACTGGCCCCTCAAATCAGCTGTAATCACTCCTTTTCATAGCCTTTTTTTTCTTTATTCCTGTAAGATTTTGGTGTTTTTTATTTAACTCATCAACGCTGCAAATAGAATTTACATCTACTATGTTTCACTGCATGTGCCAGGCACCCCCTCCTTGTTTCCAGACAACTGAAGAGATAACATTTAGAAGAGGAGGACAGAAATGACCGTTTACTGTATAAAAACGTACAGTAGCTTTATTTGACATACATTCCATGATTAAACAGCTGCAGAATAGGAGGCACACCCAGTATTGCACTTCATTAAAAGTTCTGGCTCAAAACAAAACCCAGAATATTCCAAACGAAAGTGAAGTGAAGAGAGCAGAATACGGGTACTTTGAATAGTATCGCTATGTACAAGATCAGATAAATCATACACGGTCTCCTGCCAAAAGTAATAATCTTAACAGTCTCATCAACCAGCTCATCTGTTTTCTTTTTGTCCATCGACCATGATGCACTCGACAGTGAAGAATACTGTACAAGAATACGAAAAAAGTATACATACAATAATATTTTAAATTTATACTCAGGAAGCTGGAAATATGGCCCATTTCTTTTTCTCTTTTCATTTTTTAAACCCACACTCATCCATGGTTGCCTTTATGCAAACGTATTTTTTTTATTCTATGATTACTTTTGTATTTTTACAGTCTGGTGATCTGGAGGTGTGCAACGTCAATAGAAGCCGAGGGAATTCAACGGCCGCATGCAAATGCGTCACAAGTTTTTTTTCTTCTTCTTCTTCTTGTTCTTCATTCAAGGTCACTCTGAATCCAAAGGAGCTACAGCTTCATGTGGATGGCGTTGTTGGTAGAAGAGCAGACCTGTGGACTCTTCGCCAAGAGCAGAGACCTGGTTCATCGTCCGGGAGACTTGATGCTAGAGCTAAGCTTCACTGCTGAGCTTCAGCCGCAGCAGCTGCCAGAAATCACAGTGGACTACCTGGTTCCCAGTAAAAGCCTCCTGCAGACTAGAAGGTGTGAGCATTTCTGCAAACTCCACAGCCTAAAGCAAACTCCTCGCCTGTTGGTGGGTGGACGACATGCAAAGGGCACTCTGTGCCCTCCAGCTGCTTGCCCTTGGGCCCTAAGCCAGAGAAGATAAGAATTACATCACAATGCTTTTAGCTTTTAAACAACACAATGAAAAACCATCTAATTTACCTCAGAAATTAGCAGTAAGCTTAGAAAACAGCTGCATTACTTCCTGTGGTAAGTGCAACATCAAGTTTTCATGATAACAAGCTATATCCCTGTCCCTTACATTCCACATGTTTGTCCTTAAAGTTGAATTTTGACATAACATACCATAATAGAAATCAGATCACAGTTAATCACCTGCGGGACAGTGGGGCAGCTCCTCCTTGGGGACGCTTGTCATCCTCTGGAAGTCATCATGGCAGGCGTTGCAAAAGTGTGTGGTGCCAAAGCAAAAGAAAACAGCCACGGAGCAGCAGTACCGGCATTTATACTCCAGGAAGTCGGTGCCATGCTTGGAACACATCTGAAACAACATGAATGTATTGCATGCTAAATATCTTCTCCCTTTATAGTGGTTGCAGCTAATCTGGGATCCTAACAGGTATGGTTAACCCACCTGAGCCCTGGAGACATCTGAACATGCTCCACAGATCAGTTCACTGGGGTCATAGTCATCCCCCTGCCCTGCCTCGGCATCGCATCGAGCCTCTCCCCCAAAATATGCCTGAAACAGAGGAACCGTTAAACCTCCATCACTGTGCAACACTCTAAAGCACACCCCTGCATCATTCTGTCACCTTTTTGCACTTGTAGCAAACGTAATATGCATATCTGTTCATGGCAAAGCCTGCGGGGTCGTTGTGGAAGCGTGCTCCTGGTGTAGTTATGGCCTCGCTCTTGTGCAGGCCTTCGTACTCCAGTCTCATCAGAGCCTTCCTCCTCACGTCCTCATACAGCTCCTTAATTGGGTCGAGGAGGTCTTTGATCACAGAGTGGTTGATCTTGTTCTGCAAACAGACCAGCCAGTGCTCAGAAAGGTCCGGCTGGTACGTGTCCCAATGATGAAAATGAACAAACTCGGCTAGAGGCAGCTGAACATTTTGGGATGGTTTTAGATTTATAACTGAACTTAAAAGATTTTACTTTTTGTCACTTTGAGTTAATCTCAGGGGTGCTCTGCTAGTACCTCACCTTGCAAATTGGACACAACATGAAGCCAAATGTGATTCTGGGCCCAAGCCAGCGGTTTTCAAGAACACGCCGAGTGCACTGAAGGTGAAACACGTGAGTGCAGTCCAGCTGGAAGCAAACCCAACAGTTAAACATCACCGAAGCGCAAACCGAAAACTCGAGCCTGAAGACGGGAGTTACCTGAACTGCAGGAGCAGCAGAGAGCGCCTCTGTGAAGCAGATCATACACATGTCGTCCGCATCCTGCTTTAGACAGCCGGTGTTCTTATCACAGCCGTGCAGACATGGCAGACAGCTGTCCTCATTCTTCACCCCTCCACACGGATGTCCACAAGGGTGTGTCTTACTGCAGGCTAGCTTAGCGTACTCCTGACACGGACCATGAGAAAAAAGATGCTTAAATACTTTTATTCACACACATGCATCAGTAGCACATTAGCTTTACTATTCAGCTCTGCATCATGTGAGGCTTTTTAATCTCATCACCCAATTTCATTCTTTAACAGGCACTCAGGAAAGTCTAGAGCGAGACTGTTCACCAACGTAATTAAGACAAAATCCCATAAATGTGTTTTTACTGAATAAACCTGGATTCTGTGCTAATTATCAAAAGTCTTCATTTAAGGATAAAAATGAAAAGAATTTGTGATCAAAATGACATAAGTCTTTAAAGTGTTTATATTATTATTTTTTTATTGGGACATGCATATTTCTATGCATTATGTTTCATTTACTAAATATATAAAATAAATACTTTGTACCTGACAGTCTGGGTCTGAGCAGACACTACCCACTGCAGACAACTCGGTGCCGTTCCTCGTACCACAGAACCTGCAGGCGTCCGAGCTGCTGGATGTTGGTTTACCTGCAAAATTAAAAAATGTATGTATGGTAAATGTGGCTGGTCAGTATAGAGATGCATGAGCCAGAAAACGTAGCTCAATATGTCCTGACAGGGAATTGTAATTAAAACTGTCTTGCAGAAAACGCTTCTTCTTATTAATGTAGTATGCTGTCTGCAGCTACGTTACCTGTGTGCTCTCTGAACTCCACCATGGCCTTCATCGTCTTTGAGTCAGCCAGAGCCATGAGCCAGAAAAGCTTGGTCCTCCCACAGCCTTCATGGAGATCCACCTTTATGGCCTCCTCTTCCTCCTTAAAAACCTGATGCAGACAAAACAAAAACATTTTTTCACAAAAAGAAATAAATCATTTAGCACTGATTCTTTAAAGAAACTCCACGAACAAACCTGTCTCTGGTGAGAGCGAGTGCGTCGGTGCAGATGGAGAAAACGATCACAGTCGGTACAAAGGTTGCCACACACGTTACACAAGATGATGGCTGCTGTCTCCCCGTCATCGTGATTGTCACACATGGGCTGTGGGAAGGAGAGACGGGAGTATAATTATTATTCTCTGTCAATCAGCCTCGTACATGGTAGGTTTCAGCTCGTCGCGTCCCACCATCTGCTTCTGCTGCCCGTCTTTGCCCATCCAGCGACCAGAGGACAGCCTGTCTACGTGGTCCTGGTCCAGCACACACAGTGATGCCAAGGCCAGCCACAGCTAAGGGAAACAAGGTAAATCACAATGAAACATTAAGAAAACAGACTTATGATTCTGCAAACAATGTCATTTTCATACCCTCGTTGTTGCAATACAGCGAACAGGAGACCGATGCTCCTCCTCCATCTTGGTGAGGGCTATGATGGTCTCAGCGATCGCATTTTTGGTGATTCTGGACCAGGCATCCGAAAGGTGACCCTAAAAATAAAAAGATAAAACTCTGCCGCTGGTACTTTGTCTGTACTAAATAATTTAATTGAAAACAAAAACTCACAGCTGCCATGTCTTTGATCAGCTTTATGATGATTTCAGCGATCTGTGGAGGTGTGGAGCCTTTCATCCACCAGTGGCTCTCACCTCTACGGATGTAGCTGAGCACAGAAGTAGAGAATGAATGAGCATAAACGTAAATAATGTGCGTAATCTTCACCATCTGATTGAAACAAGTTTACCTGGAGTTGAAGATCATGGGCAGCGTGACTGTTGTGACGCCCTTCCCTGCAACCGTGCCACCTGTGCCGGAGATGGTGGAGCCTTTGGCTTTCAGCTGCACGGTGAGGGCTTTGGCGATGCAGCCCAGGAACATGTCAAGGATGCCAAGTTTGTTCCAGTCACCTTTCTCCGTGGAGTGAATGATGTCACTGATGTCTGCCGGGGGTAGAGCCTTCACCCCGATTATGCTGGCAAGTCGCACCGGGGTCACCTCTGGTAACACGCGCCTCAGCAATGATGTTACCTGAGTGAAGGAAGCCCAGAAGGGAAACCATAATAAAGTCTGTATGATACTGACAGCACCACGTTATTCTGCTCACTGCCAGTTGGTGGCAGCGTTACAACAAAACGCTTCTAGCAATGAGCAAACACAAATGTAGGTTTAATAAACGAGAAGGAAAATGAACTCATTATACATCCCAGAGAGAGCATTCCTGTATCTTTAGTGGATAAAAATCTAATCTGATATGAGCCTGCACTCCCCCATGTTCCCCTTTTCCCCCACCTGTCTCTGTACTCTTGGAGAAGCCGTGTGCAGAAGGGAGAACAGGTCCTGCATGAGTGTGAGCTGCTGGGCTAAGTACTGCCGGCCCACATTAGAGCCACTCAGAGCCAAAACCATGGAGAGGAGCTCAAAGCAGTAGGCGTCTGAGGAGGCGTCGTCATCGCTTGGCTGAGAGTTGGCGTTTTCTTTGCTCGAGATGGCGTGCTCCCACTCCTCCCTCACGCGAGTGGCCTCCATGCGAATGGCCTGAACAATGTGTGCACACACCTGGAAACAAAGCACATTTATTTGTTTTATTGTCCATAGACTGGTCTACTAACACCGTATCAGAAGGAAACTGGCTCTACTTCTTTCGGAGGCGAAGTATGCATCGAAATCCTCAGTCGGAGGTCGCTAGAGTTTAGTTCTACGCTGCACTCTGCAGTTTCAGTGACAGGCACATGGGGCAGACTGGACAGGCTGGTGAGGAGCACATTGTTGGCCATTACAGGTAAAGGTAACCACCTCTCCATGACATCTTGTTGGGGCAGAGAAGCTGCTACTTTCATTCATCCATCATCAGTCTTTGAATGAATGTTTCTCATGATGCACCTTCTGCACTGGAACTGCTCATCCTTTGTCATTTTTCTGATTGTTAAATCTGAAATAATTTGTGTATTTTAATTGTGCCGTCACGTTGAGCACATTGAATTGCCTCTGCATACGAAATGTGCTATATAAATAAAGCTGCCTTGCCAACAGTGGGAGGCTAGTGCGTCGTGGTGTTCTCATCTGTATGCACGCATGCATCTACCCATTCATCTACCTACATGTCAGAATAACATCACTGACTGGTTTTATTACTTTTCTTAAACACACCTGTTTCTGCAGGTTGGTTAGTTTGCTCCTGCTGAAAATGATTCCCACCATGTGCTCCTTGAGGTCTGCATCAGATGGAACCTGTTTACAGAAAGACAAAGCGTGTAAAATATTTAAAAGTGATCAAAAATGAGCAAATCTTCTAGATTTGTTCCCCATCAGGACCCAGACCTTGTCCTCTCCTTCTGGAGATGACAGCAAGTTTTTCTCTTCCTGCTCTGGAGTTGGCTCCGCATCTCCACAGATTAGTTTTCCAAATACCTGAATGTAAACAAAAAAACACAAATATATATATACATTTGAAGGAAACTTTTCACAAAACAACTGTTAGCGTCGGGCAATCATAACGGAAGAGTCAGCAGGACCAACCTGTGAGGTGATGAGACGGAAAACTCGGAGAGTCTCGGCTTCACAGTTTTTCTGCTGAGCCATGCCGGCGGAGATTTGTCCAAGTATCTTGATGCTGTCCCCCTCTTTCCAACCAAGAACCTTTACCTGGCGCACCCTCAGGGTGTTCTCTGGACCTTTCAGCTCCACTTTGATCACATGATAATCCCCTCCAGGAAGCTCACTAGTCACCCAGCCCATGTGACGCGAGTCGAGGTCCACCTGAAGGAAATGGAACACTAATGTTGGAAATCTGAATATAACCTAACTATTTAATGTTTTATTTTAGTAAATAGTAAAAAAAATTAAACAAATAGGAAGTATACCATCGAGTTTTGTGTTTGAAATTGACTTTATTATGTAGGGATGCAACGATACCACTTTTTTCCAAACCAATACGATACCGATACTTGGATCTGAGTACTCGCCGATACCAATTACCGATACTTGGATCCAAGTACTCGCAATACCGATTACCGATATGGATACTTCTACCACACAAAAAAATGCTATGAATTGGAATACAGGTTTTATTTTCTTCTCTGCTTTCAACAGGAAAAGACTGTGAGGTAGATAAAAAGTAAAATACGTTAATATAAATGATCACAAAACTAAAATATTAGGTGAACAGAAATGACAAGTTACAGTGAAGCCTCTTTCAAGCAACTGCATTGGTATCGGTTCCTGGCATCTGTTAACTTTTACCGATACTGGTATCGGTATCTGTATCAACACCAAGGTATCGTCGTATCCCTATTATTATGTTATTATTTAAAAGAGACTTTCAAAAAAGCTCGCTTTTATTTATATTTACAAGCAATTCAATGCAGATCCAAAGAAAACGCTCAAACCTGCTTTATTCTGCAAAGGTCCTCTATAGCCTTTCCACAAAGGAACGTCACAGATGTAACTTTATTCTGCAGACACGAGAAACAAATCCACTCAGACTCGACATGTTACAGATATTTGTATCAGTGTCATCTACTCTGAAGGTAAGTTTGGCGTTTCTTACCCCGATGTCTCTGGAGTTGTCCACGTGGACAGACACCTTGGTGGCATTTATGCCCTTCACACAGCTAATGGTGATGCTTTTGGTTTTGTTCTTGTCCTCGTCTCCAGACTCCCAGAATGTCTCGGTGGAGCCGTCCGTTAGGCTGCCGATCATAGCAGGCCGACTCGATGTCTTGAAGTCCACCACGCTGGTCAGGTCCTTCAAACAGGTGACCAGGCAGAGATCCTATGAAACGCACAGACGTTTCAATCTCGTTTACGCACAGCGGACGCAAAACAGAAGCTTATTTTTGTTCTCTTGCCTGGCTCAGGGCTTCGTAGCCCGACTGCACGCTGATGTTAAAGCTCTCCTCGCTGTCTCCATCGTCCGACTTGGACAGAATATTGTTGATGTGATGGAAAACGTTGCTCTGATGGAGGAACTGATGGTCGGACTGTTTGAACTTGAGACTCCAGCACCTGAAAAATTCAGTTACAATTAATAACATTTCTAATAAAATGCATGGAAAGAAAACCATTTGATTAAGCACATAAGCAGTAGCCCTACCTAAGTGCCATTTGCTGTAGTGCACTGCCACTGGGAAGTGACATCATGAGGTCAGAGATCGTCTGCAGGAGGCGGTGGAAGGTGTGAGGAAGAGGATGAGCAGCTTCTCCAGCTATCACAATGTCTGACAGAGGGTGTTCACAAACACCAAGATCTCTTTCCTGTAAAGACGATCATCATTAGAAAACCCAGGTTAGAGGCACATGGCACACTGCTCTTCATTAACCCTACTTGTTCTAAGTTCTCTTTGTTCCCCTTGTTCTCTTCATCTTCCTCATCCTCGGGCTCGCAGGGCGACGGGGTGAGAGATGCCACAAAATGCCAAAGAATGTCATGCAGAGACGTGGTCTGGATCACATTGCACAGGAGCCAGTTGAAGGCCTGGCGAGTACAACAAGAACTCAATTTTAGCAAAACACAAAAATAAAACGTTTAATTGAACTAATTTCACAGAAAACAGATAACTAAATAATAAAGCTTCCAGTGGAGCTTTAAAGGCTTGAGATGCTGCAGCTGTACCTCCATGGCAAACACCCTGCAGGCAGACTTTCTCAGTGCATGCTTCATGGCCACCTCCAGGCCTTCAAGGTCATGGTGCTGGATGACAAAAGCCAGAACGGGCCACTGAAAGTTCCTCTCGCCCTTACTGAGGGAGCCGTGAGCTGAGATCAACCGGGACAGCTCAGGAGACGGGTGGCGTAACAGAGAAGAACCCACTTCTATACAGAAAACAGACATTAGACACGTGCACGATGCTACAACTCAGGCTGAAAGCATTAAAAAACATGAACATTTACTCGTTTACCTGCATCGCCACTGTGAACCCTCCGTCTGGGCACGGCTTTAACACGGGCTGGAGACGGCGAGTGCTGCTTGTCGTACTCGGATGCTACGACCGAGTAAGATCTCTGGAACACAGTGCGCTTTGCAGTGTCGCTGTCTGTGATTGGACTGGTTTCGAGACTAAAAACACAAAGAGAGAAGGCTTAATCTTTAGTTTAAATAACATGAAAACATCAAGAGTAAATCACTCTGGTAATCCGCTGCAGATGCACATCCAATAACTAAAATTAGAGAGCTTGATTTAAATCCATCCACTGATTTACAAAAACAAAAATAATAAAATGCATGATTTTGTTTTTCACCTGGGGGGCATTGACTTCATGTTGCTCTCTGGTTCCTCAAACACATTGGGGCAGGCATCAGGTGTGACTGAAATGTAGGGCGCAGGGACAGATGTTGAGCGCAAATACCTCATCTCATCTTGGAAGAGGTTGTCATCTTGGTAGGCTCCAAAGTTCTCAGTGTGTTGCCTAGGAAACGAGCAAAGAAAAGCACAATATTAGTGTTTTTAAACCATGAAACACAATATTATTAATGTTATTTATAACTGTAGCTACCTTGCTAGTGTCTGTAGGTAGAGGCAGCCCATTTTACTGGGGATTTCCTCTGACACACCCTCCTTCAGGCTGGGCAGCAGCTGAGGGTGGAGGGGTCGGGGAGGGTGGTGGCATAGCAGGCTGGGCTCAGCTGCACTGCTGAGAGACAGCAGGAACAGAGCGTTGGCTCGAATCACCTGGTGGGCCTCCATCGTGGGCAGTGCTCTTGGAGTCTTGACCTGCAGAGGTTTCTTTCTTGACTGCTTCACCTGAAGAAGCATGCACATAAAGAGTCAGTTGGACATCAGAAGGTGGTATTTTTCAGTAAGAGAGGGATAAAGTCTCTCAGTAGACCTTTTCTCTGGCTGCTGTCTGCTTCTCTCTCAGGTATTTCTCCCTACAGCGGTCACACACCAGGTACCAGGTGCTGCCTCCTATGCCTCCATCTCCACAGTTTCCGGCCCAACCACCACAGAAGTGGCCGATACTGTTGTATCCCTGGCCTCCGGCGTAACGGCCGCAGCCTGCGGCGGGAATGCAAAGACAGAATGTTTAGAAAGAAATGTGCAGATGGTGATTTAGAGAATGAAAGACTTCTCACCAGGATGAGCCTGTCTCATGTGGTAGGTGACAGGGTAAGGGTGTGATTCCCCACACAGCTCACAGATGGTGTCTTTCTCCGGTCCTCCCATGGCGAGCTGAGCCATCTCTCCAAACAGATTGCCCCTCGGACGCACCTCAGCCTTCTCCCGTTTCTTTTTCTCCTTCTTTGCCTTCTTGCTGTCTTTTTCGTGTTCCTTCTTTTTTAAGATGGCGCTGGAGCCTGGGCTGGGGAAGATCATGTTCTGGGTTGCTGCCTTAATGGTGGCCATTGAAATGTCCTCCCAGAATGCCACCAAGTGCTGTAAAGTTAGTGGTAAAACTGACTTTGGCCTCAAAGAAGGGTGAGAGGCCATCTCATAGGACGCTGCCTCTCCTTTTCCGTCTTCACACTTCTCCGGCAGTGGAGGCTCCTTCAGCATTGATAAAACTTTGTTTTTGTTGATGCTGCCCATCTTTGAGATGTCCGGACCATGTGGGGCGATGTTAAACATATTAAGTGCAGAGGAAATCTCCAGAGAGTGGCGGTTCTTTAGTTTGCTTTCTTTCTCCTCAGCCCCCTGCCCTCCCACGGAACTGCGAATCGGAGCGTGCTCTTTGGTGAGGTCAGGGTTGAACTTGAGGAAGGAGGAGCAGGCCATGGCATCGTGGACAATACCCTCATGCCACAGGAAAGAAGCAAAAACTGCACGGGCACATTCAGCCACAGAGGGAGACATGGCCTGCTTAGCGGGCTCTATGATCCTTGACGTACTTTCGCCTTTGAACAGAGGTCCTGATTTGTCTTTCTTAGGTCGAGCGTGTCGACTTGAGGTTTTGCGGCTGACTTTGGGTGATGAGCGGCTCTCTAGTTCCTCTTTGACGGGGGCCTTGCCAATGCTAAAGTGCACCTTACACGAGTCGTCTTCATTATTAAGGACCTCCACATTCTCATCATTGACGTCCTCATTAGACAAGAGAGCACTAGAAGTGCAGACCTCCACCACCTCGCTATGGAGGTTCTCTTGGGTCACATGAGGAGAAGGAACGCGGTTCTCTGTATTACCGATCACGTCTTTATTTGGATCTTTAGGAGACAGTTTGGATTTAGGGGAGGTAGATCTACCTCTTAGTGGCTCTGTAAGGGGAATTTTCTTTTTTCTGAGCGTGTCTGGGTCCAGAGTGTATGAGTCCGACTTGGATCGTTCTCTTGGAGGATCAAGCTGTGCTTTGGAGGAAGGACTGGCTTTAGGAGGGAGGTTCTTGTCATGATGTGATATAGAAGAGAGCTGGGAGGAGGTGCTGGAGGGACTAGACCGGCCGGATGGGGATACGCCTTTCTGTTTGGGGGACGAGGAGCGAGAGCCAGAATTTGGGGACTCGGATCGAACTCCGGATGTTCTACCATCTGCTTTGAGAGCCTGAAGGGTGTTGTGGTTGGGTGAGTGGGAGCGGCTGTGGGAGTCTGTCCTCAGCTTGGCCGTGTCCGAACGCAGGATGAGGGCGTCGCTGGCCGAGAGCCCCCCCTCATTCGTTTTGACCCTGCCCTGCTCAGATGAGCGGCTTCCTCGACCTTCCTGTTTGGGCGAGCGATTCTCCTGACGATGTTTAGTGGATTGGGACGCAGACCGTGTGCATGACATCAGGTTCCCTCGTTCACCTAAAGATCGATGATTTAAACATAATTACACCAAAAGATAAGTCAGTATCTGTGGTGAAAGTGTGATTGTGACTCTCAGCATCAAAAAGCTAAAAGCAATGTTAAATGCTGCAGAACAAATACAATAATGGGCAGAATAAATAAAAACTTAAGCGCCAAAAGAAGCTCCAACTGGTGAAAAAAATGACTAAAAGAATCTCCTAAACTAATTTTAATGATCTTTTTTTTTTTTTACTGAACAGTGAGATGGATGAGGATAGCTGGTGAAACATGAAAGATGGATTCCAGCCCGGTCTGAGGAGCACTCTACGTAACTAGATACTAAAACTTATTAAAACTAGCATTACACAAAACTCAGGAGACTATTTTAATTAATTCAAATGTCCTGAAATGAGTTAAAATCAGGATAAAAGCAGGAATTCCTAACTTTATGTTTATTCTCTTTATATAAATCTTCTACTACTGACCCGTGTCTGAGTGTTAGCAAGAAAACAACAAAAGCCTTTAATTAGCAGCAGCTTTTCAGGAGCTCCTACCTACCAACCCCTCTGTTTAGTCTGAGGGAAGCGTGCGTTCTGTGATTACCCACCCTTTTGCCTCAGAGCGAGAGATGAAAGAGCGCTACCATGACCAGCCACCGACACACTGCTTTTGTGCACACGCTCACGAGAAGCAAGGCTGCGTGATGAACCATCTACAGCGGAAACAGTGGAGCAGGTAAACAAGCAAGACATGGAATGCACAAAAGAACGCAAGCAAGAGACGGAAACACATAGACAGAAGGAATAAGGAGACAATGGGACCAAACCACTACTCAAAGGTTATGGGAAGATCAACGGATAGGAAAAGACGCACGACAAAAACCAGACAATAGTCAGAGAGGCCTGAAAGTGTCATGGAGGAAAAACACCTACATGTTTGAATTATAAAACTAATATTTATATGTATGAACTACAGAACTCTGAAGCCAGTTTTCTTATGTAAACATATTTTATTATCATTTCAATTAACAGATTAATATTTACAGCTAAAATCTGAAGAATGAATCAAACATACTTGATATACCAGGTTTGTTTATCAGGCAAAAACTTCAAAACTTATCACTAAAGGGGTTTTTTACCCTTTAAGCTAACACTTTCAAACTGGTTTATGTGATTCTTGATACATAAACTTGAGAAACTTCACCTAAGACAGCAGTCTGTTGACCAGAAACCGCACTTAACAGTTTTGTGGTTCAGGTTGGAACACTTGTGGAAAGTCTGTAAGAGCAATAGCCGTTTACTGTGGCTGTAGCTAAAGTAAAGGCTAGCAATTAGCTTTTTCAGTTTGCGGACAGTCAATAAAAAGAACAAGTAGAAGATGTTTGCTTTTATTGTTGGCATCATGGCGGAGCCTGGAAGTAAAGATAAGTCAGTAATGTCTTTGGAGGTGAGGCAAAAAGCTAAAACCAGAGTGAACATCCGTGTAGCCTAAACTAGTTTGAGGGAGTGAAAGAAGGCTATGAAATTACAGATTGATGGTGACCTGGCTTTGTTGCTACTGGACTTGCAAGTATTAATATTTTCTGTCTAACATTATGGAACTTTTTAATTCATGGCGTATTTGGTATCAGATTAATTGTGTTAGCTTTAGCTCGTTGTTAGCACAAGCCACAGCAGGCTGCAGCTGGACTGTTTAGAACAGTTGTAACTTTCCTTTCAACCAGTTGGAAGGAGAAGCAGAAAGCATAGCGTTGCTTTAAATTACTTAATTGCAATTATAAATTTAATCTTTCAGCCATCTAGTTCTAATTTCTAAGTGTTTAGTAGGACAGGGAAACGCGGCAGCAGAGGACAACATAAAAGCTGAGCTAAAGTTAGCAAGCCTTCAAAGATGGTAATTTAATAGACAATTATTTTTGTTTTGACAAAACAATAAAATAATTACAGTGCTAGATCCAGGAGTGAGTTAGATGTCAGAAAAGCCTGGAAGGGGTTTGTGCTCAGGCGGGACAGATGCTCCCGTTGGTATATTCAGTCTCATTTTGGGTTAACGCCAGTTTATTTGTGATTTTGTTGCTCTGGTCTTTCAGTTCCTCATAGTTTACTACTCTGGTAGGCTGAAATAATCTGACTCAGTGGTTAAATGTAGAAATTATTGTGAACTTGATCAAATTACATGATAAAATCTTTAGACATTGTGATATGAAGTTTCACCCCGTCCTAATTTGAAGTCCTCTTAACAAAAAAGAAGAAAATGCAACGGACAAAATTTTGCTAAACGTTTACAAGAAAACCAAACTCAACAAGGTTAAAGTTAAGTTATGCTAGAAATGTTGACAGTTTTCCATGACACCTCCAAGACTTTGTATAAAACAGACAACAAGGAATTAGATTAAAAATAAAACATAAGCAGGAGACAGATGGCAGTGGGGCAGAAAACTTTATCAACAGGGGAAAAACTGTGGAAAGGTGGGTCCTCATGGAAAGTGTGAAGGTCTTTCACCTTTTGAAAATTGTTTAGGTAACATTTAAAAAATGTTTATTTGCTGTTTTTTTTTTAAATATCACTGTTGTTTTGTTATTTGTGGGTATAGGGCTGGTTATGGTGGAAAATGAATCATGACGTTTATCAAAAAACAACTGTCTAAACTCATGAGTTAGAGACATTCTGCATAAGAGAGCAAGCAGAGCCTACAGAAAACAAAGCAGTTCAGCCTATTATGTAGCACATAGCTAAAACATCCATGCCAGTTTGAAATCTTGTTTTGAAGTTAATTTTAATGTTGATCATCTTCTGCATCTTTCCCTTTTCCTTTAGAAACAAGATTTCTTCAACTTCACATGCTAGTTTTTGACTCTGTAAAACACAACTGCAACTACTTATTGCAGTTCCCCCCCCAACACTACTCAGAATTAGCCTAGCGAGCTAGACCAAATTCTTGCTTTAAAAAGTTTAGCCTAGGAACGCTCCATTGGAACCGCCGCAGCCCCTAGCAGCATTCTGGCTGACCAATCACAGCTCTCTACAGGGGTTTCAAACTGATAGAGTGCTGTGATTAGTCCACAATGGTGGGTCAATCACAGCACTCTATCCACTTTGTGGGTCAATCAGGACTCTTTATTCATCTGATGGGTGGGATGATGCAACGGAGTGGAACAAGATGGCGACAGCTTGTTTGAAACGGCTTTTACATCAACTTTGGACTATTTGGACTTGGGCTTGGTGTTACACCACGTTGTTCGTTGTCCAGTAGCATGCGGAGATCGTTTGAAAGACAATGGTAGAACCCGCCCCACGGCGAGAACCGTCAATGGAGCGTTGTCAGACTAAATATTATATTTATTTAGTCTGGCTTGACAGGCTAACTCAGAATGGTAAAATAAATAAAAATATATAACAAATTAAAGATCAACACCTGTACAAAGCAAGTGCTGTCAGAAAGCTGGACAGACTTACTCAGAAGCTGTGGTTGTGGCTGAGACACTTGGGAGGGGGACTGTCCAAACACAAATGGGCTGTTGACAAGGGAGGAGGAGGAGGAAGAGGAAGAGGAGGGAGGTTGGGCAGCTTGCTCAAATGTGGAGGAAGAGGAGGAGGAGGGATCTGCTGAGAGGAAGGGCCCAGACTGAATGGAATTCAGTATGGCACTTAACCGGTCACCTGCAAACATGGAGACAGAGGAAGGGGAGAAACTACAGCTTATACTACGGTCTGAAGATGCCAAAGGGGGATGAAGTGATTTGGTTCAGTTTTTGCCAATCATTCAGTCACAAATCTATGGACGAACAAAACATGAAGAGTTATAAGTTATAATGGGCTCATATAAACTAGGGAACTAGACATCTTTGCTAATGCCTGTACCGCTTAAGTTTACCAAACAGAAATATATTTCACCCTAATAAAATATAATATTACTAGAGGCCTTCTATTGGGAACTTGAAGACGTCTGTACATTTTGAAGACCTTTTTCTTGTTTAATTACATCTGTAGTAACAAAGTGCTGAATTTGTTGCAGGGTTGGTTTCTATCATTTTGTCTTGATTCGTGAGCAAGATACAAATTGCTGCAGTCATCAAAATATCTTGCCATATTACCATGGCATTGCGTCTGTCCAGAAGTGTGTGCAACCATCCAAAAAGTGGATGTAAAACTTGGTCTCTTACGCTATGTTTTACACTGCAAGCCAGTGCCTCAGATCCAACTTTTTTGTCCAATACAGTGGAGCAAAAAAGTACTTAGTCAGCTTCCAATTGTTCAAAACTTAAAAAGATGGGAGAGGCCTGTCATTTTCCTCATAGGTATACCTCAACTATAAAGGGACAAAATGAGAAAAAATATCCTGAAAATCACACTGATTTTTAAAGAATCTGTTAGCAAATCCATCCATCCAATTTTGGCCGCTTATCAGGGGTTGGGTCACGGGGGCAGTAGCCTAAGCAGGGAGGCTCAGAGTTCCATCTCCCCAGCCACTTGGGCCAGCTCCTCCGGGGAGTCCTACTGTGTTCCCTGACCAGCTGTGAGACAGTATCTCCAGCGTGTCCTGGGTCATCCTTTAGGCTTTCTCCCAGTTGGACGTGCCCGGAAAACCTCACCACGGAGGCATCCAGGAGGCATTTTAACTAGATGCCTGAGCCAGCTCAACTGGCTCCTCTGGATGTGAAGGAGCAGTGAGTCTACTCCAAGTCCCTCCCGGATGACCGAGCTTCTCACCCTATGTCTAAGGGAGAGCTCAGCCACCCTGCGAAGAAAACTCTTTTCAGCCACTTGTATCCGCAATCTCATTATTTCTGTCAGTACCCAAAGTTCGTGACCATATGTAAAGGTTTGAACGTAGATCGACCGGTGAAAAACCTTCCAGCTCAGCTCTCTCGTCACCACGACAGATCGGTACAACACCCGTATTACTGCAGACGCAGCACAAATCCACCTGACCTCGCGTTCCATTTTTCCCTCACTCGTTAACAAGATCCCGAGATACTTAAACTCCTCCACCTGAGGCAGCACCTCATTCCTGACCCAGAGAAGGCATTCTACCCTTTTCCGACTAAAGACCATGGTCTCGAGTTTAGAGGAGCTGATCCTCATCCCAGCTGCTTCACACTTGGCAGTGAATCGCTCCAGTGAGAGCTGGAGATCACGTTCTGATAAAGTAAACAGGACCACCTCATCTGCAAAAAGCAGAAACTCAATCCTTAGGCCACCAAAACAGATAATCTCAACACCTTGGCTGCGCCTAGAAATCCTGTCCATAAAAGTTATGAACAGAATTGGTGACAAAGGGCAGCCTTGGCGGAGTCCAACTTTCCCTGGAAATGAGCCCGACTTACTGCCGGCAATGTGGTCCAAGCACTGACACTGGTCAAACAGGGACCTAACAGCCCTTATCGGAGGACCTGGTACCCCATACTCCCGGAGTACCCCCCCCCCCCCCCCCCCCACAGGGCCCCCCGAGGGACGCGATCAAACGTCTTCTCCAAATCCACAAAGCACATGTAGACTGGTTGGGCAAACTCCCACGCACCCTCCAGGATCCCCCTAAGGGTATAGAGCTGGTCCAGTGTTCCACAGCCAGGATGAAAACCACATTGCTCCTCCTGAATCCGAGGTTCGACAATGCGCCGGACCCTCCGCCCCAGAGCCCCTGAAAAGACTTTTCCAAGGAGGTTCAGGAGTGTGATCCCTCTGTAGTTGGAACACACCCTGCGGTCCATCTTTTTGTAGGAGGACCACCACCCCATTCTGTCAATCCAGTGGAACTGCCCCTGATGTCCAAATTATGCAAATTATGGTGGAAAACAAGCATTTGGCCTCCTACAAACAAGCAAAATTTTTGGCTCTCAGACTTGTAACTTCTTCTGTAAGAGGCTCCTCGGTCCTCCACTCATTACCTGTATTAATGACACATGTTGGAACTTGTTATCCGTATAAACATGTCTCCACCTGTCCACAACCTCAAATACTCACACTCCAAACTTCACTATGGCCAAGATCAAAGAGCCATCAAAGGACAAAATTGTAGACCAGCACCAGGCTGGGAGGACTGAATCTGCAATAGGGAAGCAATTTGATGTGAAGAAATCAAATGTGGGAGCAATTATTAGAAAATGGAAGACATACAAGACCACTGATAATCTCCCTTGATCAGGGGCTTCCTGCAACATCTCACCCTGTGGAGTCAAAATGATCACAAGAATTGTGAGCACAAATCCCAGAACTACACGGGGGCTATAGTGAATGACCTGCAGAGAGCTGGGACCAAAGTTACAAAAGCTACCATCAGTAACATACTACGCCACCAGGAACTCAAATCCTGCAGTGCCAGATGTGTCACTTTGCTTAAGCCATTACATGTGCAGGCCCATCTGAAGTTTGCTAGAGAGCATTTAGATGATCCAGAAGACGACTGGGAGAATGTCAGATGGTCAGATGAAACCAAAATACTCCTTTTTGGTAAAAAATAAATACTCTATTCGTTGTGTTTGGAAGAGAAAGAATGCTGAGTTGCATCCAAAGAACACCATACCTACTGTAAAGCATGGGGGTGGAAACATCATGCTTTGGGGCTGTTTTTCTGCAAAGGGACCAGGACCACTGATTCGTGTAAAGGAAATAATGCATGGGGTTATGTATCATATTTTGAGTGAAAACCTCCTTCCATGAGCAAGGGCATTGAAGATGAAACATGGCTGGGTCTTTTAGCATGACAATGACCCCAAACACACTGCCCGGGAAACAAAGGTGTGGCTTTGTAAGAAACATTACGATGTCCTAGAGCAGCCTAGCCAGTCTCCAGATCTCAACCCCATAGAAAATCTTTGGAGGGAGTTGAAAGACCGTGTTGTAGCAACAGCCCCAAAGCATCACTGCTCTAGGGGAGAGCTGCATGAAAGAATGAGTCTAAATCCCAGTATCAGTGTGTGAAACCCTTGTGAAGACTTGCAGAAAACCTTGACCACTGTCATTGCCAACAAAGGGTATACAACAAATAATTGAAGTGGAATTTCAGTATTTACCAAATACTTTTTTCACCATAATTTGCAAATAAATCCTTTAAAAATCAAACGATGTGATTATCTGATTTTTTTTCTCCTTTTGTCTCTCAAAGTTGAAGTACACCTATGATGAAAATTACAGGCCTTTCGCATATTTTCAAGTGGGAGAACTTGTACAATTGGTGGCAGACTAAATACCTTTTTGCCCCACTTATATGAAAATTTAATGGCTACAATATTCATGAAATAATTTTAAACCTCAGCTAATAATTGGAAATGAGCTCTAACACCTGCAGCGTGAACATGGTCCATTTCATAATCACAGCTTCTTGTAGAGGAAGTCAGACATGCAGACATGTGAAGGCACATTCTGAAGTAGTGCCACATCATCAGCGGTTAGAGACCGAAATCTAAGTTTGGGCCTTATCATCATCATCATCATCATCATCATCATCAACCTTTATTTATAAAGCACATTTAAACGGCGACAACGCCAACCAAAGTGCTGTACAAGACAAATACATCACTAAAATAGATATGGGAAAGTGGATGAGGTTAGAGTGAAGCCTGTGTGGTTTGTTAGGAAGGCTGCCATCTTGCCTATTAGTCGTGGATGCTTGGATAAATTTTGCTTATGTCATTCACTGTAAGCTGGCACAAATGTTAAACTTTGACAAGTCGAACATCTAAAACCTAAAGGTTGAAATGGAACTGGACAGAATTGTGGGTAATTGCTACTTAATAGAAGCTAAGTGCCGAATAACAACCAAGTGCTCAAACCGCTTGAGGAAATTATGTCAAACAGCGCAAACGTCACCATGACTCTGATGCATCCATCCGTCCATTTCACAGAACAGTCAACGCCTCTCAGCTGCAGCTCCCACTTTAACCCAGCACTCATAAGCTAGAACCGTGGGTTTTTAAAAGACTGAAGACGCTAACAACGCCAACCAGATAAAAACAACCTCGGTAATCAGACTGACACATAACATGGCTGTAGCTTCAAACAAACTGATTTACTTATTCTTCACTGAAAGAGCAGAACGGTAAGATTTATATAACCATGAGCATTTATTTAACACAGACAAGCATCCCTAGAGATTAATCTCCTATTTTAAGCAGCGTAGGGAAGATAAAAAACATTTGCAAGGAAACTTGACACCCTGCATCAGCAGAATATTCAGACAGAGAAGGATGTGAATAAACGTCTTGTGTTTTAGCAAATCTGATGAACTCAGCAAAGTGTTGGTCACTGTACAGTTTCAATGAACCGATGACAGAAATGATCAGATGTTTTCTAGAAGACTAAAATTAAAACACTACAGAAAAAAGAATGAGACAAGAGCTCAGAACCCAGATTTTTGCACACAGCTGCACAGACGTCCAAAAACACACTGACTGGCTCATGCTGGCAGACATATGCCTGACATTTCAGCGATGTGAGGCATAAAACAGCAACAGTGGGCACATTAGAAAGCATGCATAAACAAAAAGGTTCATGGATTTTGGTTTTTCCATTAAAAAGGCAACCTGAGTTAGTGGATCACTTAATTCACAGAGATGCTGCCTGACATACTGAAAAAATAAGTATTTATGCTGCATTTAATTAAAAATATGCTCCACTTTAAATATATGTACGCTAATGATCCTTTGATTATTTTAATAATTAAATGTAAAAACTTGGGACAAGAAGTAATGATCAACTCAAAAGACAAATGAGGTAAGCTGGTAATGATTAAAGGTGCATTATGTATAATTGAAGTAAAAATGATATCCTGTGGTGAAACTTGGTAACTGCAACTACTTTAAACAACTCTGGAGCTTTTTGCCGGCCGTCGTCAAATTACAAATGTCAGCGCTGCAGTATTAGCTCACAGGACACAACCCCACACTCACTGGTGGTAAACAATAGTTACGACCCTTCTTTCTTTGTTTTGAAAAAAGAAAAACTGACAATCCCCTCAACCAGCTGAATATAAAATATATTCCAGTATAACCCTCCTTCTAAAATGACTGAAACTTTAGACTCTTTGGGGGGTTTTGTCACAGTAAAATTCTCATTTACTCTTGCATACTACACCTTTAAACATGATTTCAAGTTAATCTGATGAATGAATAAAAGTCCTTGTTTACAAATCTAAATAAGCAGATTATACAAGTTCACAAATTATTTTGTTTTTGCTAACAAGCTGTACATTTAGTTGACTTCACCTTTGTTGTTGGAGATGCCATAGTCGAAACCCTGAGCTCCGTTTGAGGTTGTGGCTCTGCCGAAGGCTTGCACAGAGAAGGGGCTAGGTGGTGGAGTCTGATTCCCATGCTCTAATAACGCTTGTTCTGCAAATAATTCATTTATCCAGACATGCAAAACGTTTTAAGCCCAAGTTATCCACCCAAATGTAGCAAGATGTGGCTAAACTTACCATCATCGTGACGAAGGTACTGGTTCCCACCATGGTCTCTAGCCAGTGACCAAGCTTCTCCTTCGTCACTCTCACAGAACTCCACTACACTGTTCTTATCCAGCTGCACCCAGGTTCCCTCTGAGTTGACCACCTGATACACAAATAGCCATATTTATCCACACTTTCTCACACACTCATATCCATTCTTTTCCAAATTCAACCACTCAACAATTGCTTTTATTACATCACGTATAAAAAAAAAACAAGACCAATCTTTGCTGTGTATGATCACTGACATGAAAGCAGTCACCGCATCTGATTGATATGAGATTTGACAGCAGCAGATCACATGACACTGATTGTATCAGCAGCAGGCACTGTTGGACGAAACTGTAGCTAAAGGAAAACGTTAAAAACTTACTCTAAGAAAGGGGCGTTTTATTGAAAAGTAAATGCATGAAGTTGTGTTTTCTCAACTCCTTGTGACATTAGCATTGTGAAGAAACAGACACAGATGAAGTATTAGTATGTGCAAGTGTGTCCCAGATCCACACAGGGCGTTCTACTGCAGGCTCCAGAATCCACTGAACAGCATGACACACCAGAGCAGTCAATGACAGGTCAGAACCAAAAGAGAGGAAGGAGACTCCATAAAACAGATCAAAGGAAACTGAGAGGTTCAAGGTTTACTAACAGACTCAGCTCTTACAAGTGGATTTTGTAATCCAGACTCACAGAGAATCTGAAAATAAAACCCTGATTTATACACAAAGTGGAATTAGTAAGTCGAGTAAAAATACTGCAGCCGCAGAAGTTGCTAAAACCTCCAAAAAGGCAGAAAGGCAAAGAATACAACCCACACCCAGAAGCAGCTGATGCAGACTTGGTTGCATATAAGAGTTTAAGGCCCAAATCACTCAGATTTACTTCTAGTTTAACATGAGATCTAAACAGACTGATTTAGACTTATTTAGCTCCAGCCACATAAACACATTTCATTATTTGGGGGGAGTGCGTACCTCGCCTACGGCCTTGACCTTGTTGCCATGAACTAACATTCCAATGGGGATACCCCTAAGGTTTGGGCAGCTTCTGATGTTGTGACCAGAGGGGCCGGTCTTCACTACCTTATAAAGGCCCGGGCCGCCCGCCTGCCCTGCCCTGTTTTGCACCCCAACGGGAGCCTCATGGGAAGGGCAGCTGCTCACCTCCTTTACGTTCTCTTCAGACTGGCCCCTGACCTCCTGCAAGAGTTGAAACCATGCATTAGACTCAGCGTACAGCAACAAAACTGGGTCAAAACATCCTAAAGCCTATTTAATATTTACTTAAACTATTACAGCAAGTATATATAATTATTAAAATGGTTCAGTGTGCTCTTTGAGATTATAGTTCAGATTTTTTTCAAGGTCATATAAAATAAATATCTTACTTGTTGTAGAAAGCTATTTATTTGAATGACATCCTGGAGGAACCTGGGAGATTAGTTCTGACTAGATTGATACGCTAATGGCTAGTCCAGACAGTCGCGACTAAAGTGGATCGCTGCCATCATGTCTCAGAAATTTCTTAATTACAAGGGAACTCTCTTTTACAAATTTGTATACATGGTATTGATTTTGCATTAGTTAATTACATATAATTGTTTTTTTAGCACAGCTGCAGCCTAGCAAATACCGTAATGTTTTTGCTAGAATAACCATATATTTTAAAATTGGTGGTGTTAAATTTTTAGATTGGAATTCACCTTAACTTACATGGCATTTTTGAAATTGAGATGGTGGCAGATCAATATGACCTTCTGTTAGCTCTTCAATCTGATTTGAATTTAGGACTTTCTACAAGAGAAAGACATTTTTGCTTTTCCACAGAACACAAATTCACAAATTCTGAAATATCTTTAAAATCTAGTGGCAACAGTTTGCAGTATTAGAAAAGATTTTGTAAGAAGGCCGATCAGTCAGGAAAAAATAATTTGAACCCCGACAACTTTGCTAGTTTGCCCATTACAACAACATGATCACTATAATTTCAATGGAAGGTGAGAGACAGAAATAATAATTTAAAAAATAAGGTATTTCAAATAGATCACTAATTATTTTGCACTTTCAACAATGAATAAATGTTTTCATCCCCTGGTTCCCAGATATATTTACCAAGCTGACATTGGCTGGAATGGACTACAAAGACCATCGTCAAGCAGCTGGGTGAGAAGGTGACAACAGTTGAGCCATTAATCGCTTATGGAAGAACCATAAACAACTGCCAATCTCTGTTAGTCTAGAGCTCCACTCAGGATCTCATCTCATTGAGTTTAAAAGATAATGGGAACAGAGTGAAACCAGCTTAGAAGAAGGAGGGAGTCAATGATTTTAACGCAGCTGGAACCATAAGAAAACCATCCGTAACAAGCAATTACACCACGAAGGACTAAAACCCTGCAGTTCCAGCAAGGTGCCCCTGGCCAAGAAGCACATGCACATACCTGTGAAGTTTGCTACTGAAAAGCATTCAGCCAATATTAACTGTTTTAATATTGGCCAATATTTGTCCTTATTAAAGCCCTTTTAAAGTCAGGCATATCCTCAGGCAGCCCGGTGTTGTTGTAGAACTTAATTTAAATATATTTTTACGTCCACTGATAACATCTGCATGACAAATATTCTAAATTAACTTTATTTAGGTGTCTGACTTTAACACTGAACTACGAACAAATGTAAGATGTAATGCTTTAATTCAGAGTTCAAAAACCGATTCAGAAATTTTGTGCATTAACTGATGTTATTAGTGACATTATAACATGAAAATAAGGTAACAAACATCAAGATATCGCCCATGAAAACCAGCCCATAAAAAGGTCTGTACATATCAGCCATCAGCTCACCATGCTTCCTAAATATCGTCATTGGTATCGGCAATAGAAAAACCAATATCTATCGACCTCTACTACTGGACATACAGTAAATGTTGCAGTCAGATGAATTTACAATAAAACTGTTTGGCATCAACTCAACTCATTATGTTTGGAGAAGGACGAATGCTGCCTATGACTCCAAGAACACTGTCCCCATTGTCAAAAATGGAGGTGGAAACATGCTTTGGGGTGTTTTTCTGCCAAGAGGAAAATTGCACCACAAAAAAAGGATGGATAGGACCACGTACCATCAATTCTTGAGTGAGAACCCTCTTCCCTAAGCCAGGGCATTGACAGTTGGTCTTGGGTGGGAGTTCTAACATGACAATGGTCCAAAACACAGAGCCAAGGCAACAAAGGATTGGCTCAAGAACAAGAATGTTAAGGTCTTGCAATGGCCTAGTCGACCTCTAGACCTTCATTTGTGAGGGAAGCTGAAGGTTAGCATTGCCAAACATCAGCCATCAAACATTGATGACTTGGAGAGGATCTGCAAAGAGGAGTGGGAAAAAATCCCCCCTGAGATATATGCAAAATGTGTGGCCAACTACAAGACATGCCTGACAACTGTGATTTCCAACAAAAGATTAGCCACCAAGTCCTCAGCCAAGTTTTGCAAAGGGATCAAATACTTATTTCATTAATAAAAATGTTAATTGATTTACAACATTTTTTAAATGTTTTTTTCTAGATTCTTTGATTTTTTTTCTGTCTCTCATCGTTCAAATAAACCTACCATTAAAATTATAATTTTTAATGGTATACTTCTGGACCATGGGTCCTCGTAAGAACGAACAAATGAATGCAAGTCAATGGCGCTAAAAACGCTATTTTCTAATTCCCGTGATTTTTAAAGACACATTCTGATGCAAAGACAGCATTTATTTTCAAATGGGGGCTAAAGTTATTTTAGGTTTTGTGTGAAAAAACTTCCAAGACTACAAATGCGCATCCCCACACTGATATCATTGAACCAGACACGGAGAAGCACAGAGAAAAATGTCTGCAAGTTCAGCAAACTTCAAATCCGTCCTTTAGGAGGAAAGAACCACCATAAATCATGCCATGTGGTAAGTAGCAGCTATGCTAGGAGGTACGAGATTCTGTGGTGACGTCATATATGCAACATACCAACATCTGATTAGTACTCATAGGAATTATGAATTTTTACAAGCTGATAAATCTCAAAGTCTGTGACGGGCGTGGTCGAAACACACGTCATTGTTTTCTATTTAAATTGAAGTACTGTACAACACGTGTGATTCAAGGCGTAAGGCAAAGTGGATTAGAAAATAACTCATTGACTTGCACTCACTTTTTTGTTCTTCCGGGGATCCATGAGCTGATTGGAAAGGGAGGATACTTAGGCTCCCTATGCAGTCAACACATTTTTGTTAATGGGCAAAATCAGTAACCATGTTTTACCCCGACTGTAATTGTTGACAAAATATTAGGCCAAAACTGTGCAGCCAGTTATAAAAACCTTATCACAAATGGACATTTTCATCGCCAACAGCAGTATGAGCAAACAGAAAAAATTCATATTTTTTCAATCACCACATTTCAAAAGCACGTCTACTGTGAACTAGTCTGTATGCACTAAAAATAAACTAAACTAAAAATAAACATTAAAATCTACAAAGAAGTCATTTCAGTTAGACAAAAATGACAATGGGTCTATTCTAATTAAACAGAATGCACAATTAATTATTTGTACAAAGTCTAAAGGGAGGCATGCTATGACACACATGGAAACTGCACTGCAGATAAAAAGCCTTTCAAACAAGACCTCATGCATTAGTTCCAGAAACCCATGCAACAAACAATTGTTAACAGTATTTTATCCAGCATCTAATGTGATCATTGCAGAGGTTTACAGGGGCAGGACTGGCTGGTGACCCATATTGTCAATGTACAGACAACCATGCAGCTATGGTTGACTTCTTCTGAGGAAACAACATAGTCACAAAGGGTTCAAGGTGAAAGGAAGATCAACAGATGGATGATTAGCTGTGGGGCAGTCAAACTACTCATCCCTCGTTCATACAACTCACCTTTGGTGGGAATATAGTTAAGGGGGTCCATGACAAAAAGGCGATATCCCTGACTCCTTGGCTAGCGTTAAAGACATTCTGAGCAAATCGTGAGAGAGTCAGGAAACAATAAACGAAGAGACGATTCCAGGAAGGAAAAAGTGGGAGAGGTGCATTTATTTTTTTGGAAGAAATTGTTCCTTCTTGATTTTCAGGGAGGGGGAGGAGTTTTTGATAAACTAAGGAAGAACGGAACACTGTGACTGAGGCCAGACGGGCTGATTAGTTGTGGAGCTTTGATAAAAAGGGCCCAAAAAAATGACTGAACGCCTGTGGAACGTTTGTATCAGGAGAAGTTCACTCCAAACACCTTGGAGTAATATATTAAAAATCAAAGATAAAAGATCGTATAGATGAATATCACACTTCCAAAAAAATTCCCCACTTGGATGATGTGGTGTGTCATGCTGTTCACACTGAGAAACCTCTGAGTACCTAAAGCATCCCAATGCAGAGGTGGAGTGTGCAGTGGTCCTTTTGTGGATCAGTTTTGTTCTTCATGACAGAAAATTATTTGGATGTTTCACTTTGATGCATTCTTCATTTTTTGCATAGTAGCAGATGTTGTCATTTGGTTTTTGTAGCATGGAGCAAAATGTGGTTTACACTCTTGTTACGATACGCTCGTTTGTGCAAACTGTGAGCATGAATTAGCCAAGCAAACCACAGGTTAGTGATTTAATCTCTTACATTTCACCATATAAGTCAATCCCTGCATTGGGGGTTCACTTTAATGCACTACAACAATATACTACCAGGCTAAATGAACAGCTAAAGTGGTCAGCTAAACACAAAATGAGAAAATTAACGTTCTGCCTGGACATGAGTTAATGCATGCACAGTTTCAGCTGCTACTGCCTTGCAAAGTGAGTTAGTAACTGTTTCATACTCAGTGCTGCTCAGATACTCCATGCAAGAGTACACCCCAACATTTACACTCAGATCTGATGATTTTACCATGCTGCAAGGACATTTGTGGTGTTGAGTGCTTAAAAGCTGGACTTAATATTAGGTTGCATCAAACTACTCAGAGGGCTGCCTTCTACTTACTTCTGCTGGGACCAGTAGGTTCCTGCCCAGGTGCTGATTAAAAGAGAGGCACCAGGCTTCTGTGTAACCATTCATGCTGGGAACATACTTCTTTACTGTTTCATCATTGAGCCTGAGCCAAACACCATCATCATTGTGGATCTGAGGGAAAACAAGCAACAGAGTAGAGCACAGCCATGTTGCCTTGTTACTGAGGGAACAGAGAGAGAGCCTCCACACTTCTGACACCTCTGAGGCTGCAGGAAAGCTGTTACAAAGATAAGGGCAGGTGTAACAGTGGGATGCAAATAAGGAATATTTGTGCCTAGAGTTATAAAACGAGCAAATATTGTGCGCATTTGAAAATATAGTATTAAAAGAATCATGCAGTTTAAACCTCCTAGACCTTTTTTAGATAAATCTGCTTGAAAATGACATGTCCACACTTTAAAGAGTATATTTCTGTAACCACAAGGAATATTTGATTGCTTCTGGTCTAATTTTACAGTAAAATTCTGTGGAATTTGTTGAGATGTGTAATTATTAGTATATGTATCATTGATTAAGTATAAATGGAACATTAGCATAGGTGGATGATGATGAACCCTGTTGAAAGACAAATTTCTGTAACCGCTTGGTGTCAGACAATAAAGTGTTTCTATTCTATTCTATAGTAAAAAAAAGATTATTTTTGCTTTACCACCTGAAAATGTTTTATTTCTGGATGAATACCTCTTATGAAATAATGCAGCAGAAGCTTCAAACTTTAATAAATTCATAGTCCTACATCTTGACAATAACTGTACAAAGTTTGAGTTTGATAAAGTGAAGAACAGCAGTTTAACAGAGATTTATATACAGACACTTAAGGCGAGGTCTCTAATGGTACATCTGTGCCAAGTGTATCTGGATTACTCTTTCTTCCACTAACTTGTTTGTTATCTTTGATAACATTGTAAAGTCATTCTGTGACAAAGTATTTAGAACATTTTTGAATCCGTGCGCCACGGGCATTGGCAGAAGCTCCATTACACGTGAGTTTTTCTGAGGATCCCACTGGACTGTTTTGGTGGTTCCACCCTGGAGTGGAACCTCTCAGCCAACAGAATCACTTGCTGTTGAGTTTTTTCGGCTGGGTTACGTAAACTAATCACAGAAGGAGAATCGTAGTAAACCAGGAAATGATTGAACTTGGCTTCGGAGAGTTGTAAAGTTTCTCCAGCAGGTAAAAGCAGCCCAAAGCAGTCATTGATCAGCTCTGTTTGACGATTGGGACAAAAAACGACTGGATTATGATAGTAAAACAGCAAAGGTAAGAATAAATGTGTGCTTTGGACATCACGAAATTGGCGTTATTTTGATCTTTTTGATCAGTTTTACACGTGGAGTAATGATACTTATACTGTTGGAAAGAGGAGAGTCTGGGCTCCTGTGGATAGGAGCATAATGCATTCTCACTACTGTGTGTTTTTCTCAATCTGTGTAGTCCACATGATTTTTTTGGGCTTTTCAGTTAGTGGATTATTCTCGCTTATTGTTGGTATTTTGTGTTGTTGTGGTATAAAGCATGGATTCTATCATTTAGGTGAGCCTCTTCCTGTTACATATGCGTGCAGTTTGCATATATTGGTAAATATATTAAGTATGTTTTTGGTAAGCTTTTGTTACGACTTTGTTACCAGAAGTGCGCTCGGACCCAGTATCGGGCCCATCGAGCTCAAGCATCATTTCCTTTGAATTTACACGAAAGCTTTTCATGCAGCTTCAGATTGCCTTGGAGGAGGATGTGAAGCAAGAAAACGTAAAGGCAACAAAGGAATGAGGTTGTAATTAATTAGAAGTTATATAAATTTACATTTTTTTTCACTATTCAATCCAGGTCCTTGAGGGCCACCATCTGCATATTTTCTGTTTACCTGCGCCAACAACACACCTGGTTTTAACCAACAAGCTTCTGAAGAGCTTGAGGACATGCTGAAGAGGTGATTCGATCAATGAAACAGGTGTGTTGGAGCAGGAAAGAGCTAAAACATGCAGGGAAGTGACCCTGCAGGACCACATTTGAATAGATGATTACATTTTGTGTCATGTGAGCTAAAGACCAAGAAAATGGATCAACGCGCCCCAGCGTGGATTATTCTAGCGGTCTCCAGGCAATTACCTCGTCAGTGAAAGTGATGGTGCCATTGACATGCACTGTGCCTATCTGTTCACTCTGCAAGGAGGGGTGACTACGCACACGGAGGCCTGCGCTGTCCCTGGACACAAATTTGCGGACCTGATAGAAGCAGAAATGGAGATAGAGTCCATGAGCCGTAAGAGCAGGGAACAGAATGAAAAAAAAGTGCATCAGAAAGAAAGAAAGGACACATCATCGGTAGGAGAGAGCATGCTTGAACCCACACAGAGCCTGCTGTTAGGTCAACTAATACACAAACTTTACGAGCTCAGGTTTTGGTTGCACAAGATGAATAAAGTTAATTTTCAATAACCAATGATCCAAAGCAGAATAAAAAGATACACAGCACACATCATTGCTTGTTTCCCCCATACAGATGGCAAAATTGAGGAAATTAGCAGAAATTATGATGAATATGTTTTCAGTTAAACTCTTCTTAAAGTGTCTAACAATCAAAAATGGTCGACTCTCTTTGACAAACTTTTATATAAAACAGGATTGGAAATCATTTTCCTTTTTCCACATCTGAAAACAGCAAAGACACATTATGAAGTGACTAATGCAGCTTTATTCAATAGCAACATTTACCTTGCTGTAAATCAAAACACTAAAACCTAAACACTGCCTCAATATTTTAGGTTTCAATAAAAACTCACCTTGCTAGGCTGAGGTTCTGCCTTCGGTTTGACCATCTGAGTTCCAGGTGGTATCATACCTTTAGGGGGGTCTTTGACTTCTACCTCCAAACCGGCATCTTCAATAAAAACAATTCAGCTTTTACATCTAAGCTCGTGACATATTTAAAATATTGTATTCTGCACCCATAGAAAACACAGGAAGTTCCTGTAGGTGGCGGCTTGTGGAGGCCTACCTATTTCAATGCCATCGATGGTGACGTGGATGGTATAGAGGCCGACTGCCCCTGGAGTCCAGTTGGCGCTATAGGTTCCATCAGTGTTGGCACGGATTAACATGTTTTCACTGGGCCTGTATGGAGAAGCGTCAGTGAGCGGATTGCATCTCATCAGAATGTATGTTGGGCTTCTGCATGAAGCTGCTTACCTCTTTGGGGTTGGAGAAGCAAAGCGCAGCTCTTCAAAAGAGTAACTTTCATATGCCTGAAGGAGAAACGCCGTTCATGTGAAGGTAGGAACAGAAACGTACTGGCCATCATGAAAACCTGGTCCACTTCATTATTTCCACAAGCTCCTACTTAAATAGCAATTATTTCCTTTTTGCTTCAAGTACATGTTTAAACTCTACCTAAACTGACCGAATGATAAAAAAAAATACCACTGTTTGGTGATTTTACTAAATATTTAACAACTAAAAAGAGAGAAGTGAGTGAAGAGCCACCAATACACACTGACCTTCATCATGGTGATGGCAATGTATCGTGCTTCTTTCACAATCACAGGCTCGTATGTGGCCTCCAGCTTAGGCACCGGCAGACCTCCGAAGGTAAGGTCTGGACCAGAGGAAGAAGGGGAGGAGCTTCCAGGTAGTCTCTGCAGCTTCTTTACATTATCAGTCTGAACTGACTTCTTCTGGGAAACAGGGACTGCCTTCACTTCCACCTAGAGTTAAAAAAAGATTAAATAAATAAATCAGAAAAGTCTGAAAGCAAGCTATTTTTTGCACTTAGAAGCACCAACACCGTTATTCTTACCTTCATGTTGGGAACATGCACCACGTCTCCATACTGGTCTTTAGTCTGAACGACCACAGTGGCTGGCCATCCACAGCGTATATCATCCTTGTTCAGAATCAGAGCCGTCTTCTGAGGATCTGCGTAGGAGTCGGGCTGCAACCATCTGGATGGAACGCATAAAGACAGGAAGTACGTGGGGAGTTTGATCAGAAATAATGAAAACAAGAAGGTTGTCATAAAATGATCATTACTGTGACACGAACCTGGCCAGACGCCCTCCACTTGAGTTTGCTACACAGGTGATGAAGTCTTCGAGGAAAGAGTGTTCGTTGGTTTGGAGGTGCAGAGGCAGATTCCCCTCCAAGGCTTCCAGGATGGTAGGAGAGTGGGACAGGGCCAGACCCTTCCCCAGAATCCCTGAGTGGGCTTTACACACCTGGATCAGAGTAATGGTGAGACTGATTAGGTAATGCCCGAGCTTTATTTTGACTTTTCTTAAAAGAAAAATGTTTACATGCAGAATAACTGAACACATCACACACCTGAAGAGATGCTTCCTCAAGAATCTCAAGATCTTCTTCCAGTTCAGTGCCTGAAACAGAAAAATTATAATACACGATTTGTTTCTTAAAATAATAAAAATATTTCAAATATTCTCAGTTCATTTTTATGCACTGTTGTTTCTACCAATAGGGAGGGCCAGATCCTTCTTCATCAGAGCTGCAGCGCACACGCTGCCGAGGAACGCCAGCTCTTTTTCTAGCTGGATGATCCCCTGAAATGTCAAAACAAACTCAGGAAGTAAATTTCTACCTTTAACAGGTGACAGAATTGCAGATTTTAGCTTGTTAAAGTGACACTAAATTGTTTTTTAACTTGAAGCTAGAGCTTTAACATTGATCTCAGTGATTGTCGAGTTAGAAACTCGACCAGTTTCATATTTGACACCAATCTGCAGCCCTCTGCTGACCAGATACTGTACGTACAGTTTTGTGGAGCGGGTAGGTGTTCTAGGGGGCGCTCTTATACCTGCATTACGGCTATTAGCTATCTTCTGTGCAGTTAGCTTTTTCAGTTTGCTGCTCGTCAATAAAAAGTACAAGAAGAAGAAAAAGAAGTTTGTTTTTCTGCTGGCATCGTGGCAGAGCCTGTTAGTAAAAGTAAGAGAGTAAGGCTAACAGCCGTAATGCATATATAAGAGCACCCCCTTGAACACTTACCAGCTCCACAAAACTGTTAAGTGCGGTATCGGGCCAGCAGAGGGCTGCAGAGTAGTGTCAAATATGAAACTAGTCAAGTTTCTGACTCAACAATCACTGAGATCAGTGTTTAAGATCTAGCTTAAAGCTGAAGAACTATTTAGTGTTACTTTAAAGTATAAATGATTATTTTAGACATCATCCATCTGCTATTTTTCTACCAAACAGAACAACTCAAGTCTCTGTAAGAGCGTCCGTACCTCATCTGGACCTGGATTAAATTCGTATCCAATAGCTACACACTTGAAGCCGTAGAAGCAGGCTTTCTCATCTTTCACATAATCTGAGGCTGTTTCCAGAGAGAAGAGAACTTCGTTTCCTGAAAGACAAGGACACAGAATGATAAAATATGATGGATTAAAAAATAAAAAGATACTAATTCTACTTTTTTTGCATTACAGAACTCTGTCAGAAGTAAATGTGTGATAAAAGTCACAAGGTTGTTAATTTCTTACCTGGGAGGACAAGAACAGTGGTTGGCCAACCCGTGGAGCCTGAGAACTTCTTGAGCTCAGTCCAGGTGTTGATGGTGTCATGGATCAGAGGTTTGCCTCCTAAGTTGGACAGGTGCAGCGTGCGGCTAGGGATGAGCAGACGAAGCACATCCTCTGGTTGAGCAGTGCCACACTGTGGATCAAACTCGATGGTGGTCCAACGAACACAGTCTGGAAATGATACCTGAGGACGGATTACACGAGGACAAATCAAACCCAAACAAAAAACGTTCCTTTTGTCAAGCTAGTTCCTCTTAAACAGATGAAAAGGAGCAGTACCCTGTGCTGGGTCACACCGGCTTGTTTGTAAGGATGATCGCTCTCAATCACAGAGTAGTGGTTCGAGGTGGTGCATGCCGACAGGCCCTGCTCAGGCTGGTTGCCGGTGGTGCTGTCAGTTGACTGGTTGGGGTTGAATGTGGGTGGGGCATATTTTTGGTTAAGGGCAGAGACCGCAGGTAGCAACTCTTGAACAAGCCCAAAGACCTCGACGGCAGCCTGGAAAAACCAGCATGAAGCATTTTATCAAAGGAAGAGTCACACTGGTGAACGACAAAAGACCCGCCGTCCTCATTTCAGGTCTTACCTTGGGCACAGAAGCAGCAACAGGGCCGATGTAAGCCAGAATGTGGGGCAGGAGCATGGAGAAGAGGCTGGAGGAACTTAAAAGCTCTGGAATGTCATCCACTGAAGAGAAGAAAGGAAGAATTATTAAAAACTGATGAGATGCATTTAATCTTAAATGTGTTTATAGTCTGATTAGTGTGCTTACCATCAACTGCAAATGCCCTGTGAAGAAGGTCCTTAGCAGCTCTGACCACAGCACTGACCACAGACAGAGCTCTGCTGCAGTTTTTGTCCTCCTCGTTGGCTTTGCTGAGCAGCTGAGACTGGAGGTCCCCATCATACTCGCTCCTTCGGCCGCGAGAAAGAAAAGCACGAGTTACATTTTTTAAGTAAATATCATAGATGAGATTTAAAAAGGCAGGCTCTTACCTGTAATAAAGAATCTGTGGGATCTGACCTCTGGTCTGGTTGGTTCCATTGCTACTCAAGCTGCAAGTGCTAAAGGTGAACGATACACCATCAGAGCACTGTACCGTGGTCATGCCTCCATCTCCGTTAGCCGTTCTGCTGCCGTAGTTACGCAATCTGACGGCGTATTTGACCCCTTCCTGCAATAGATCAAGAGATGGATCAGAAAATGTTTATTATCCAACCCACGCCGACAGATGCAGATTTTTGCATCATAACAAAGACATCCATGACTTAGTGGAACGCTCACACACCTTGAGTGGTACAGCTTTATCCAGGCGAATTTCTGCTATATCACTGGGAGAATCATCAGTGCTGTAGGTGCCTTTCACCAACTCCAGAGACGTCCATCTGTGAGAGTGTGCCGAGTCGCCCGGGTGTTCCGTCTGTGCCTGACGAAAGACGGAACAAAAGTTTATTTTAACAAAAAGTAACCAAGAAATAAAACTAGAAAGATTTATGATCACTTACATCATCAGCAAGCACCTCTAGTTCATACTCGTGGATGCCCCCTCCCCCGTAGACACAGACGCCGACCAGAACGATGCCTGGCTTGTCCACCGTTAGACAGATGGCATCTGGGGAGCCGTTGCCCGTGTTCCAGCTGCGTCCCTGGCTCGTTTTGGTGAAGCGGTTGGGAGAAGCTTTCACAGAGTGGAGCGAGTTCAGACCATCAACCTGATGGACAAATTTTAAAAATGACCTCCACGCTACAATATAGCCACAGATAAAAAAAATCTATCCTTCTTTCAAAAGCTACTGGTTCTCCACAAGAACTGGTTAGAAAAGTAAATCTAATCTGCACGCATGTGGTAAACACTAAAACACTTTTTATGACTGCAAAGTGCCAGACACAGCTCTAGAGGGACCTGATCAGGTACTCAGGGGAGGAAGAGTTGTTTCCTTGACAATAGACTGGGCAGAAAAAACTGGTGTGGAGGCTGCTGTCAGGTGACATTTCTATGGCAACAGGAGTCCTGACTGCAGTGCATGATTGTAGTAAATGATGACAGGAGGTGTGAGTGTGAGGGAGGATGGGAAACATCTGCCACGAACACATAATGACTTGGCATGCCAGAAGGACAAAACAGAAGTGACAGGCTGGGTTTGTGGCCCTGAGAGCTGGGCGGGTGGTCGTTTTTTGTGAGTGAAGTTACCTCGGAGCCCATGGCCGATGCAGTCAGCTCGGAGACAATCGAGGCCAGCAACCCGCAGGTATTGGACACCAAATGAGGAGAGAACAGCTCCACTTCCTTCCTCAAGCTCTTTCGCACTGGAAGTACCACAATCACCAGCATTTTCTCAAGGACTTCCCGGAAACTGGTCATGCCCATCAGGTTCTCCTCCGTCTAAATCAGGAAGACAAAAGCATCACTACTCTTTGATGCTGACCAAAGCCGACCCCAGACATCAGTAAGGTGGGTGTGAGGTGCGGAAAGCTTGCACACAACTGAACTCACATGGCTCAGTTTCTCCATATGGGCCACGAGCAGGGGGAAGCGGTGAGCCAGAGCAGAGTCGTTCTCCGTGCTGACTTGTTTGACCAGTGAACGCAGCAGCACCTCTCCATCATATGCAATGGGCAGGATGGAGGTCAGCTTCACCGAGGTGTTGCACAGAGCCGACATTACAGCTGCCAACAGTCGGCTGCTGGATGTGCGGAAGTTGGCCTCGGCAATGTCCTGATTTACAGGAAGAGAAGAAACTTTCATGTGTCTATCCATCAAAAACATTTTGTGAGGTTTTAAAGGACCATCATCTGCAGAATGACATCATCCTACCTGGTCTAGGCAGTTGAGCAGATCGCAGAGACAAGCCCACTGAAGAGCTGGAGTGGGGTAAAAGGAGTGAAAGCAAGCAGTGAAGGTGTTGTGGCACTCCTGCAGCACAGCTTCCAGCAAGGTAAGTGGCTGAGACAGGTAGCCCTGAGGGTCATTATCCAGCTTAGTCAGGCAGTTGTCCATGCCTTCTGACAGGATCTTCTTCAGCAGGCTGCGTGTCTTTCCCACACACTCCGCCAGCTTGCTGGACTCCTCCACCACAGCCTTTGTGCTGGCTGGAAATCAAACAACAGAAATGTAAAAAAAAAAAATAATAATAACTGTTTAAAGCTGGAGAAACACTATGTGGTGAAATTCTCTCTCAATGTGGAAAATTTATAAATACACACGGACACATTTATGTCTAAATCAATATTTAATAAGCTAATTATTAGTCTATTTTCCTTGTTAACACTTTAAATGTTGTGCTCTCCTACCAGCAATAGGGAAGATCTCACAGATGTAGACCCGGAGCAGGCGGAGGCAGCACGTGCCGACAAAGCGCAGCCTCTCCAGGTCCAGCAGGGTGGCTGTGTACTGGAAACCCTTCAGGCCTCGGAGCTCCTCAACACCCAGAACCAGGGTGGTCCAGCTCCAGTGAAGGACACTCAACAGAGACTCAAAACACTCCTGAAAACAGAAATTTAGTCATATGAAATACTTAGATAAAACGCACGGTTAGTTAGAAAACAGGAAAACACAGATAGCTGACCACTGAGACGGTACGAGCAAACGAGCGTTTAAGGATGTGGACAGGTTCGCTGCTCTGCTGCTTCCCTTTAGATGCATTGCCATCATTTGAAGGAAGTCTAATTAAGAAAATAAAGTTAGAAATGACTTTATAAGGAAAAACAACTGCATGCATTTAAGTGTGCTTACCTGTAAAGCAGCTGAGGTATCTGACCGGCGTTGACATCTGTACCGTTGTTTGACTTTTTAGAGCTCTTGAACTGAAATACCACACTGTAAATAAGACACAAAACATGTTAAAAAAGTGATTTTCACAAACATGTTACTTCCACACGCAGTATAAATATGCTTTGATGTAAAGAAGAGGTATTTTCACATGGATCGGTTTAGGGCAGAAGTGTTTAAAATGATCCTGGAGGCAAAACTGATGAGGAACTCAGCAGCTTCTGGACTGACTCAGTGTTGCTGCAGCACTTATCTATTGATTATTAGGATTGAAACGCTATTTTACCCATCATCAGTGGTGATGGTTGCCTGTCCATGGGAACCACAGTCACTGCTGGGTCCAGACACCCGGGCCCACGCCACATACCACCATCCAAGCTGCAGCAGCACCGGCTCATCAAACATCATGGCGTATTTCTCCCTGAAGAAAAAAGAAAAAGAAACAATAACATGAATGAAAACATCAGTAAAGGCAATTAGGAGGCAAAACGTATTTTTAAAAAAGAAGCAGCCTTACCTGGCCGCACAATCATACGCTAGAACATCGGTCTCAGCTAGGAGGTCACCGTCGGTCTCGTGGTCCCCTCCGTCAGGCCCCAACTCAAAAAGCTATACAAGATTACACTTTTTTTCACGTAAATCCAAACATTTATCGATAACAATTTCAAAAATATATATTTTGTACAGTAGTCCCTCGTTATAACGCGGCTCACCCTTTGCAGCTTCGCGGATTTTTCCGTTGATAAATAAAAGGCAACAATGACAATTGGCACTAACGAAAATCCAGTCAGAAAATGGGAAAGATAAGCGAATGGAAAAAAGAACCAATCAGTAACTGGGACAGGCAGGACTAGACGAGAAAAGAATAAATGAACACGCTAATGTTAAACACATATGCCGGTAACAGTTGAACAATTTATGTCTGAAGCAAAAAATGTCCACGGCTGGGTGGAGGAGCATTAAATGTGACCATCTGAAAGGTTTGGCAAGTACACGTCCGGAGTTTCTCCTGGTTTTAAAAATTACAGTGGTAGCAGCGAGCAGAGGCATTCGCTTTCTGGGTTCTAGTTGTGTTTTTGTGAGGAAAAACATTCAGGCAGCTCAGTTTAGTTAATTAGTTAAGGGAAAACTAATAAATACGCCTGAAAACAATTCTTACCTTTAGTACAATTTTGCATACATTTTTTACAGCACACTGTGTTCTGTGTCATGATCAGGGAATGGGAGTTAAACAAGGGAAACGTTTGAAAATATTAATACCGTAAATCCTCTAATATTGGCCTATATTCATTTAACGGCCGGGTATCACATTCTGGCCGGTGTCGGAGTCGGCGGAGGTGAATAATGGCCGGTTTTTTATTGTGGCCGGGTGGAATGTGGTAACAAGCAAGTACCACGGGGGGGCGGTTGTGTCATCCGTCTCACTTTTGATTTGCCAGTGATAGACCGCGAGGGTAACTTAAACCGTGCGGAGACGAAGAGGAGGCAAAAATTTGATATCAAGTTCAAAGAGAACGTGCTGATTATGCTGCAGAACACTCTGGGGAGCAGTAGCAGGGGTTGTATGAACTAGTCACTAGTCGACTTCACCGCTCTATAGTGACTTTTTATGCCTGTCATCGACTAGTCGCTGTCACGTGATAATGACCGGCAAGATGCAGTCCACGGAAAAGACAGCAGTCTGCTGTCAGCAGGTGACAAGCTCCTGCGCGTCGGGAGGCAACGCGCTGTGCCAGAGCGTCGGTACTGACACCCGCCGTAAAACGGACATTTAACCAAATTGTAACCTTCACCCTCTTGCAATTTAACATTCCCCTCACCTCCATCCTAACCTTAACCAGCTTGCGCATGCAAAGCTCTGATTGTTGACGCGCTCCAGACATCTGCGTCCTGAGCACGGCCACAGTAACATTATCAAATTAGGTCTTGCCACCTCAAAAACTAATTTAACACGCGATCGTTCATGTCGGCTCATTTCCTTTTATGTTTTCTGTCTTTTATTCTTTTATTTGGGCCTGATGCGTTTCGCTGCTGTGGAGTGGGGTGCATCACCTTGTCCTCCGCTGATGCACCTCACTGATGCGGCCGGCGAGCAGCGCGTACTCCGCTGTTTTTGCGGTCGGTAGATCTTTTAGAACTGCAGTTCAAAGGTAACTCATGAGGTGAATATATATGAACCCAGGTAGCAGTTTTTCTTTAGGATTGAGAGGAGATGCAGGAAGATAATAAACAGGCAGGACAGAAAAATAGTCAAATAAAAACAAGTTAGTTTTTGTACCTGGTGGATGCAACAAACAGACACCATTGAAGGTCATCAGAAGTGAGGAACAGAAAATGAAATAATGATTTTAATGTCTAGAGCAGCAGGAACTCCGAGAGGCTGCAGGCGCATCAGTTTGCTGCTGCTGCGCAGGGGGAGAGGACCGAAGTAGGATGCAGAAACTACCGTTGTTAAAAGAGATGTTAGAACATGTGGGCGCAATTTTAATTGTCAAAAACTCCAGCGAACCATTAGTTCATTTTGCTCAAATAGAAATTGAGGCCTGCCTCTAATTCTGGCCCTCCTTCCAATAAAGGCCTGGAGCTTGATGAGCTTGAGTAAAATACAGGCCCGGGCCTGTATTAGAGGATTTACGGTAACCATCTGAGAAAAGCGTATAAAGAGTAGTGAGGGTTTTTTTACAGCATTTAAGCCTCTATAATAATTGTAAAAAAAAAAAAAAAAGCTGGCTAATTTGTGGAATTCACTTTTTGTGGTTATTTTTAGAGCATAAGCCCCGCGATAAACGAGGGACCACTGTATTTTAATAAATATAATAATAGGTATTCATATAACAACAACAAAAAGAAGAATATTTTTATACAACAATCCAACAATCGCAGCAGTCAAGATAAACCTGCTGCAGCAAAGAAGAGAAAGAGGTTTCGTCACCTTGATCTTGGCGGTGTACTCCCCCCGCCCCCCAAAGAGGCCCAACCCTCCCAGCAGGATGTCTGCATCAGCACAGAAGCGGATAGCCTCCACAGAGTGGGCCGAGTAGCCCCAACCACCACCGTGGCCTGTAAGCACCACGCATGGAATCAACATTCAGCCGTTGTGATGCTTCATGTGGTGGTTTCATAAGCAAGGTAATAAGTTCATGTGAGTTGCATCACTCACACAAAGACTCATCGTTTTAATATAAGCAATGAAGTATCATCTTATTAATGGGGTCATGCAATACCCGCACATGTTCCACCCCTTTATTACGTGTAGAACATCTTACTCTCAAAGCGGTTGACGACGCTGTAGTCCTCCTTGGAGTAGACCTTCATCACTGCCTGGGTCTCTTCTTCTGCACTGGTTACACCCATTTTTAGCTCCTGCATGGCTGCCAATGTGTCAAGGCAACCTAAAAAGATAAAAAAAATAAATTTTAAAATTGTCTACTGAATGAGGCACATAAACTTTTCGGTAGCAGCAAATGACAAGTGCTAAGGATTACCAAGGATGTGCAGGGCTCCATGAGAGCGAGTGGTGGTTGCATGTGATCCTGAGGGCAGTGCCAGCTCTGGACTGAGGATGCTACAGCGAGCTTGTAGATCAGTTGCAGAAGGAATCCTAGCATCAGCAATGACCGCGTTGTAGCACCACATCTCCGTAGAGGCAGGCAGGAACCTGGAAGGTAGATCCCATGCACCGTTACTGACTATATACATTTGAAAGTTAAGCATTTCTTTCTTTGTGGTGTTAAAGGTTAAACGCATTAAACTTGTCCTGGTATTTACCTCCATATGACATCATAAACTGGGTCCAGACAAAGGCCAAAGCCCTGCAGGTCCTCCTGCTCAGAATCATTGAAAGTCCTGCAGCTTCCATCCATTTTGTTGATGAGCAAGCATTTAAATGGAGGTGGCTCCGACACAGAGGAGGGCACCAGCCCAATGATGTGTTTGCTGGCAAAGATCTCTGAAGTAGCAAGAACATGGGAGTTAATAAGAGCCTCGTCAATCCGCAGGAATGTCTGGTCTCCGCTGGCGCCGATCCAGGTAGCCTTTCGTCCATATTTGGCACCGATATTGGGCATAGGTGACGGCTTGGCATTCCAGTAGGGCATGTCCAGGATGGGCCTGCCCAGCTGCCCTTTCTGGAGAGTAAACAAGCAGACCATTAGACTGAAAGGTAAAACAAAATGTGCACTCACTGAAAAAGCTATTGCCGGGAAACTATATCGCAACATATTTCTCACCGAGAAGCTGCCAAATGTGAAGACCTGCCCATCCATTAGGAGGACCGCTGTGTGGTTACTGCCTGCTGTCACCTGGACACTTGGCCCCGGAAGGGCCTGCACAAGAGTTGGAGAGCCCCTGGAAGGTAGAAGTGTTGGTTTGAGAGAGAAGTGTGTTCAAAAAACATTTCATTTACCAACACCTGTTTTATAAATTATAAATATAAGTAAAACACTCAGATTAAAAGGTTTAACAGATTCAATACCTGGAGTTGACATCTCCATGTCCAAGTTGTCCGTGTTGGCCATAACCAAAGGTGTAGACATCTCCGTTCTCCATCAGCACCACTGGAATATCAACAGGAGTCATGGGTTTGGCTCAAACTGGTTATAATATTGTAATTTTAATCATTCAAAAAGAAACAGCTAGAGACGGCATCCTAGCCAATAAGCAGAGGCAGCCATGAGGGAAAAGTAGCTACCCGAGTGGTGAAATCCACAGCTGACTTGAACAGCTCGAAGCTCACAGTCAAACCTCACGGCCCCTGGAGGGTAGGTGGTGATTTTGCTGGCGTCCTTCTCTCCACGTTCACTGCTTCCATCTACAAGGCAAACAAAACAGTCGGCACATTTAGGAAGGCACAGCAGACGGAGATTGGGACTCTCTGCAAAGTCCTCAGAAACAGAGCTGGAGAAAAAGGAGGATTAAGCAGAAAACGAGAAGAAAAGGGAAAACATGCTGAAACAGAAATCAGAACCTAACACCTCTGCAGTATAAAGGTCTTTAGGTAACCAGTTCAGATACGGATTAACGAACAACTTATGCAGAAACGGCCAACTTTACTTTCTGACATTTATCTCTAAGAAATCAGACATGAGGTTCCACTTGAGAGGACAGAGCACCATCAATGCTCCATGCTTCTGTTCTGAGAGGGAAACCCTCTTGGGTATGGACTTCAGAAGCTGGTGGAGAAGGGGGATCTGAACAGGTCTACCCCAGACTGGGTCTGTAAAACCACAACCTGCAGATCTGAGGCCTGAACTGACAGAAACACAGTTACAGGGTTCTATTATGGTTGTAGATTGTTTTTCTGCTCATATTAATCAGAAACAAAAGCATAAAAACAAGGAAAGTGATTTTCTAAATAAGTACCTTTACCATCTTACAGTTTTTATCCAATCATGCCTCGAAAGTTCCTATTAAATGCAACAGTTACCTTAATTAAACCAGAGCTAAATTATCATAATCTAGTTATGATTCCAGTCTCGTTGCATCTCGTGCCCCAGAGTCAGACGCACTTTCTAAGTTTGCTGTATTTTGTAAAAAGTGACAATGATATTGAGGAACTGATTTAATTTAATTTAATAATCCACAGTAACTTTGAATTAAACACACTGGTCATATAAAAGTTACTGAAGTCTAAAACAAGACCATCTATTTTCCTCACACCAAAGTGTGCATTCATGAGTGTGAAAATGTTGTTCCTTTATGAAATGTTAAAAAAACAATCAGATGTTTTTCAGCAAAATAGAACAACTTCGCTCTACGTAGAAAAACCAGAAATCCACTTATTACAGAGGATTGTTTCCAGTGCAAAGATAAAAAAGGCATCAAAATCAGACTGAAGGATTTTTTCTTGTAATAACAAACTGCATGTGTCTTTGACATTTTCTGATTACAGAATCATTATTTTCTTTAGAGAATAATTATCACAAGGGTGCAGATTCAGAGATTAAAGCTGCAATAGCAAATTGGAAAATAAGTTCTCTTAAAACATTTTAAACTATGTTTAACATAGTATAGCTTTAAATACATTATGAAGATTAAAAAAAAAAGAAAACACGTTAACAAAGTGGTTCTCTCGCATTTTTCTAAAAACCTCCACCAATAACACGGCTCAGACCTAAAGCAATGATTGGACGACCCGGTTGTCGGTCTCACCCAATCCCAGCAGCTCCCTGGGTCCTCTGTTCGTTACGCACTTGTGTATTTAGCAACAGAACACCACTGCTGTGAGAGGTTCTCTCCACATCTGAAGTCACTAACAGCAACTGGTGTTTAGCGCTACCTCGTTTCCCCCAACAATGTTAAATTTTGGTTCCAGCAGACGTGGCCAGGGGGAAGATACATGAGGAGAGGGGTGAGCTTTCTGCGACCGCGTTCAAAAGCTAGCTTGTTCTGTAGATTTGCTTTAATGGGCTAGAAATAATTAGACAAGCTTTGCTCCTACAGTAACTAGCTGATAAGGACCCGAAGGTTTTCTGGTATCTAAAGCCAGTAACCAACTGGGCCGTGACTGTTGGACACACAAACACCGGTGATAATCTTTGAATTCTCAGCACGAACCACTGAACTGATATGAATGGCACAAGGACTCAGACATTTGTTTTGCACAATTTCTGAAGAAGAGTGTGAGGCTCTGAGACTCACCACCATTTTGGAAATGTCTTATCTGTCACCAACAACTGTAACCCCACCTCCTGAGTCCATCAACACATCCATCATTATGTCCCTTCCATGTCCCTGTTCTGTCTGCTTGTGATTCTGCAGCTATAAAGTGGCAAGCAGTGATGGGTTTGGTGACAAGCCCGGTTCTGCCAAGCACATCGATTTCTACTCATGTCTGCAAACAATAGGGGTCAGAGCTGGGTCACTACAGTAATGATTAAAGCTCAGTAAACTAGGAAATCATAACAAATCAGATGTTTAGATCAGCTTTGTCCACACGTATCATCATCCTGCTAGGAGTCGTCCGTGCCAGCAGGCTTTGTTACCACGAAACCCGGTCAAGACATAAGTGTCCTTCCTTCAGAAAGTGACAGAGGAGGTGGACGGGACAGCCAGATTAGGAGACGGGTCAAAGGGGTGTCTCTACACCCACTGAATTAGTGAAGACCATAGTACCTTTGTGCTTGTCCCGTTTATGCCTTAGTGCCTGAAGGGGTCTAATTCTGGCTAGGGCCTGCTCACGCTGGTTCATAAAAACGGGACCAGGAAAAACAAGGGGGCCTGGGGGAGAAAAAAACTTTCACATGCATGCACAATGCTCACAAATGGGAAAGCATACATGGTAATACTACATCACTACAACACACACACACACACACACACAAAGTGTAGACACACGCAGGAGGTAAGTCACCAAGGCACAACATACAAACGCACACCTGAATGTAAACTGAAACTAGAACACTACAGTATTGGTTGTTATTTCACTTTCTTCCTTCCATCCATCCAATCAGAGACAGTCCATCAAAGACATCCTCACTGCAGAAAAGTCCACCCACAACCAGATTCTCTCTGGCTTTGACCCGTACCTCTTCCCTCCTCCAGCCTATGCCGGCGGTTGATTCTCTGGCGTTTCTCCTCCTGGCGGATCTGAATGTGCTCTTCGATGTTCACTCCTGGAGGGGGAGGGACAGGCACAGCTGAAAACATAAAAGGCCGCAGGTACAGGCCGCCCCAAACGGGATAAAGGAGAAGGGAGGATGAAGCAGAGCAGAACAAGACAAACATCAATGAGTGATGGAGGGATGTAACAGAGTGCTCTTACACAGAATGACCAGAGCGTGAAATACAGTGTTCAGGTACAAGACAGCAATCTGTGTGGCATTAGCATGTGCTAGCATAGCTTAGAATCACTGGCCAGTTGTGGAGTATCACACATTCACATTCACGTTAACATGCAGGTGATTTATCATTATGAGAGGTGATCCAGAAAAACTAAAAGATTGGAGCAAAAATCAGATGGAAACTAAAAGTGAGCATTTTATGAGGGGTGGGGGTGGGGGGGTGCCACCATTAGACCTCCATGAGCTTCAGCCTGGGAAAGACGCAGAATGAAATTCCAAACCACAAAGTGATTTGCAGATATCATAAAAATTCATCTTCGATTATCAAAACAGCAATCTGTAGTTTTAGAGCCCAGCGCCATAAACATGTCTGTTCATGTTTACCCTGATGGAGAATTACATAAATCACACTAAACCATCTCTGTGTGTCTGAGTGCTCCTTTAGAAATCAGAGATGCTGAAGACGGTGGATCACCGAGGCCCATCAGGCATGTAACTATGGTTACGTTCTTTCTTTTTATAGTAGAAGAAAAACATTTTCTTCAACATTAACATCCATTTGCACTTCTTGTTTAATACTTTAGTGATTATCTTGAATGGTGTTGACTCCAAATACTCAGATTAGATTTATTACTGCCCAATAATAATAATAATAATAATAATAATAATAATGAGTTTAAAGTCAAATGATGTTAATTAGCCAATACCTAGCAGCAGATCCAGTGGAATCATCTCCTTCACAGCATCAAAGATACCTCTCTGCCTGGCCTCTTGGCCATCGAGCTCCCTGGCACAAGCTTTGCAACAACCACACGCCGAGCAGCCAGACTCTCCGGACCCGCAGCCACAGATGCTGGTCGACACAAGATAAAAGGACAAAAAATATTTAAAACTCCACCACAATATTAAGTAAAACCAACGCTCCAACCGTACAAGTTTTTTGTGACTTACCCTCCTGGAACTCGGTCCGGCCGCCCGCTGCTGACACAACTGGCGCCGTAGCCGGTGCAGTCTCCACACACAGTGCACACCATGCACTGGTCCAGCTTCCACTTGTGCATGCCAGGCTGGCACATCATGCTCTTCTCTTCCTTCTCCTCTAGCTCATCCTCCAAGTCCTCATCCATAGCTGTGGCCATGTTCTCGACACCAAATGCTGCAATAAAAGCAGTAAGACTGTCAAAATCACAAATCTCATGTGCAATAAGTAAATGAAAACAACTGAATTGTGTTCCTGTGAGAGTTTTACTGGCGTGTCTGCTTACCCTTCCCTGCCTGGCTCATGGCTCCAGTGTCCCTGCCACACTGGCCCTTGTTATTCACCCCAAATGTCCACACCTCCCCGTTCTTGGTCAGAACACAAGTGTGAGCCTTCCCCATGGCCACCTGAGTTACAACATGACCTTTGAGGTCTGTTACCTGGCCTGGGGAAAGATATAATGAGACCACGGTGAAATAAATGATTGCTAAAGGGATTATCTATAAATTAAATGTCAAACTTGAAACTAATCCTTCTAACTCACAGGTGCTGTCACTATAAATGGCATCTTTTCCAAACATGAAGAGCTCCCCCTCCTTTGTAACGACGCTGCTGCTGCCATTGTTGCACGCCGTATATACAGCTGTTTTTGTCTCTAATTTGATTATCTTTTTGGGCTTGTATGGCTTCGGCTGTCTGCGACTTTTAGCTGCAAATGAGATCAGGCAAGATCAGCAATTGAATTTGAGTCAATTAAATTTTAAATGAGGGGAAAAGGCTGGTAAATGTTTGCAGGTAAGTGGTAAGTGTCCTACTGGACTCTCCATCCTCTCCTTTGCTGGCAGACCCGGTGAAGAACACCCCTCCATCTTCAGCCACCAGAAGGGCATGAGAACCGTCATGGCCGACAGAGAACTGAACAATCTTTGGAGACTTTGTGACGGGTAGTTCCACCCATTTTCCTGACGATGGGCCACCCTGCTTTATTCCCAAGCTCTGGTACTTCCCAGTGTAGTAGATCTGGGAAAAACAGGAAAAACTTTCAAATATATGCTTAAAAAAGGACTTCATTCCTATTTGAGGTCAAATTTACATAAAAACGGATCTCTAAAGGAGACAAAATGCATAAAGGAAGGAAGGCTTTTGGAGAAATGTGTTAAAATTAATTTAGATTTTGACACATTTCCAAAGTCATTCAATGACAGTGAGCAGGTACAAGTGAACAGAAATGACATGTCTTTTAACACATAACATTGTGACAAGATAAAGCCCTGCTGTTGCTATTTTTTTTTTTTTTTACACATCCATGCATCCTGAGCAGCTGATAAAGTGCTGGGAGTTTAGACCTTTTTCACAGACACATAAAATGTGCAGGAGGCGATTCCCCCGGCCGGCTATCTAGAACAGAAACACCACACCTACGGCAAACACACAACCACACCCTGAAACACACCCGCAACCATCTACATAGTTTGCATTCACTTCCTGTTGAGCCATTGCCCCAAATATGTGAAATATTTACTGCAACAAAGAAATGCATCAGAACACAGCTTAAGTCTACTCATTATGGTACAAGGGTCGAGTAGCTGGGATACGTCATGTTTTAGCTTCTTAAACTCAGCTATCACAAACGAAAACATGGTATGAGGCAATAAAATGTCACCTCAAAGAAAAGCTAAATTATTTGGTTTCATCTAGGGACCGAGAATTTCTAAAAACACAAATGATCTGATTTTATGATTAAAAGGTGCGGTTCACTGAAAAACAGCCACCCTGAGTTTTTCATGCAGGCTGAACATGAAAATGGTCTCCTACATTTATCTCCTGCATTAGCTTCTGATAGAAAATAGAGGGTGAAAATCTAGGATTTTAAAAACCTGACAGTGTGACATCACACTGTCACTTAACCCTTTGAGCGCCAAAGTTGTAAATTCGCAAAAAGTGTCATATCTGGGTTTAAGGAGCCACAGCTGCAAATATGGTCCATTTCCTTACACTAGAAGATAGTAGAGATGTGTAACTTCAGTTTGGGCAACACGTTCAGGTGTGTTTCTATTGAAATACTCTGAGTTTGTAGAGTTTGAAAATCACCTCCTGTCAGGAGGGTCTCGGTGGAGGAGAGGAGGAGACGAGCCAATCACACAGAGGGTGTTTATAGAGAATTTTCCACGCATTCCAGCTATCTGGTCCACATAAGGTACTTTCCTTAGATCAAATAATCTTTCCATGAAAGGGAAGGTCAATCCTGAAGCTGAATAAGCCTAAAAAAAAACCTGACAAATAAAGCTATAAAGCATTTATCTTGCGTGAGGCCAATATAAAAATAAAAAATACAATATAAATGATAAAAAATGAAAATAACTTTTCAAAATAACTTTATATATGCATGTATAAATACAAAATTTAAAAATACAATGACATTTTCTAAATAACATGCAAAAATAAGAAGGAACATCTGTAAGAATGATGCATTCCAATTTGGCAGCCTGATGATGGCATATTATGCCAATTAGATGAGTGAATTTGCTCCCAACAGAAACTCTGGGTCCTACTGAAGATTGTTCTCTTTTACATTTGACCGTTATCTCTAACCATTTTCAAGCTACAACCTTTTGTCAAAATTGAATATTTTCTTGAAAACTCTGGCGCCAAACAGGTTAACATTCATGGACTCACCCATCTTGACTCGTGACGGAGAAGGCTGTTGTTGGTTTAGCGTAACAGCAGAGAACGTCTCAGCCTAGTGTAAGCTAACGTTAGCATTAGCAACTCTACCACACAGCAAAACTCCTCCAGGTTTGTATTATTTGTGGAGATAAGACATCTACATTGCAAAGTAAACTGAATCAGTGGTAGTCGCATTCTTGTTAGCCAATCAGAGGTGAGATGTCCAAATATGCCGTCTGAAGCTCAGCTCTGATCTGGCTCTGAAACAGGTGCGCCTGGGCTTTTTGTATCCAGAGTATGACTTACAAGGCACTCAATCCCACTACCGACCTCTGCAAATGTATTAATTAAACGAGACCTCTGCAAATGTATTAATTAAACGAGTGAACCACACCTTTAAAATTATCATTTGTAAAAACACAAGAAATCAAAGTTCTTATATTGAACTATTTGGAGCAGCAGCTACTGTTACTGCTGGTAAATGTTCTAGTAAACAACCACTCACCTTTCCCGAGGCGCTCCTCATCAGAGCAAACTCCCTGCCAGCTCCAATCAATGCTGCCTCTTCATCAAAGCCAGTGCCTGAGAAAACATCACGCCCTTTACCACCAGAGAAGAACAAGCCAACATGTCTACAACCTTTTACATGTATATGGTGCACAGAGACGATAACACACCACTGTATTATTTGGGTTGATGATCATCACTTACTGATGATGTGTAGGTCTTTTTCAAGGTCGAAGAGAGAAATGCCACAGGCATGCAGACATTTTCTTGCCAGCTTCAGCTGCAGTTCCTGCTGCAGGGCCGGGTCTGAACTCATGGTGTAGATCCGCACAACAAAACCGTCCTGCACAGCAGTTGGGAGAGACAGCATTTCACTTTCTAACAAAATGTAGTTTTTGTGTGTGATTTCATTCATCTGACATGATACACTCCAGGTCTAAAGAGAACAGGTCCCCATTTTTGTCACAACATGAAAGAAACATCTATCACACTTCCAGCGGATTTGCTACGTTTGTACTTCAATCAAAAGTCATAATTTATTAATAGGTTCATCAGTGCAGTATGTCTGGAGGAATCCGCTGATGCTGAGGCTGAGCGCTGCCACGTCCATCCACTCCTGTTTAATATTTAAGTTACAATAGCATCTTTGCCCCAGATCTATCTGACTCAATGCAGAGCACACAGGGTGTAAGACTTCAAAGCTAGGCGCATCAGAAGAAGCTGACTGCAGGAATGTGGATGAATTTATAGGTATGGAAACAAAGTATAAATTCATTAATAAAATAAGACAAGGTTTGTACTGGACAACATCTTTTGCACATTCATTCTTGCAATCAGATCACCAACATGTAATTCTAGGTGATCTGCCAGCTGATAGAGAAAAGAATCATGCAGATGCCAAGGATAAACACCCCCCAGTCCCTAAAGCAGCTCGCCACCCCTCGATTAAGCCTCGCTGCTGGAAAATATATGCATTTCACGTGTCCCCTCCCCCCCACAGACATTACAGAGTGCTTATGCAGATAACTGCTCAAATGAAGCCTCTGGAGAATACCCACATGTGGTGTGACAGCTAACGCTGCCACGCCCACAAAGAGACAAGGCATACGCCTGAACAGAAACGACTACGCCTCCCTCCGTGGCACAGCTGTGGATGAGCGGGGGTGGGGGGGTCGCCCTCCACTCCAGGGAGCTTCAGATGTGCTCCAGAGAACAAGTTAAGAAGAATAACTAAGCTTTGACTCACTAAGAAGACAAGAGCTTGCACATATAATATCACAATCACAGATTATTTTTTTCTCCTAAAAATGACTCGTGTGTCTCCGCCTCTTCAGTTTCACATTAATGACTGTGATGAGGCTTAGGGTGAGTCTGTCTGAAACTACGTATGACCTTTAAACTCAAGACAGAAACTGAGAAATACAAATACAAGACACAGGAACTTCTACAGTCTTCATTTCATCAGAAGCAGAAACGCACATTAAAGCTAGTTTAATCAGGCTTGCTGATGTGAGAACATCAGATGTTGTTTTTCTTAAACGAACAATAAACATTAAAGGTTACTTCTGGGAACTGTGAGGTGTACTCACTACAAAGACTGCTGCAATTTAAAGTGACCTTTTCCTTAAAAAGTCAGAGAATGAGAGGAAATTCTGCTGAATCTGCAGCAGCTTTATAAACGTACGTCTTTGCAGGCGGCTATCTGATTGATGTACTCTCCATCTGTAAAGATGATGTTCTGTCCATCTGAATGTTGACCTGCACAAATGAAGTCAAAGTTAATGTTATTTAGCCTCCTACTTTTGGCTTTTCATTGATACACGTTAAACATGAGTTTTCCCAGTACCTGGCATGGTGACCACTCCCTCGTGCTCCAGAGTCTCAGGGTTGATCTTGACCGCCGACATGCTGTGGTTACTTGTGTCCCGGTACAACAAATACCCCTAAAGGCACAAACACTGCTGATTGACAGTGATAGCTAAGGACGGGCAATGCATCTTAAATGATATTTCTTTCTCTCTGAATAATCAATTTTTCAAGCAGAAATGTTTTCTTAGAAGGCATCCTCTCTCTCTTCTCTCTCTCTCTCTCTCTCTCTCTCTCTCTCTCTCTCTCTCTCTCTCTCTCTCTCTCTCTCTCTCTCTCTCTCTCTCTCTCTCTCTCTCTCTCTCTCTCTCTCTCTCTCTCTCTCTCTCTCTCTCTCTCTCTCTCTCTCTCTCTCTCTCTCTCTCTCTCTCTCTCTCTCTCTCTCTCTCTCTCTCTCTCTCTCTCTCTCTCTCTCTCTCTCTCTCTCTCTCTCTCTCTCTCTCTCTCTCTCTCTCTCTCTCTCTCTCTCTCTCTCTCTCTCTCTCTCTCTCTCTCTCTCCTCTCTCTCTCTCTCTCTCTCTCTCTCTCTCTCTCTCTCTCTCTCTCGGCATTTATAGTAGCAGAGCTGCAGCTAGAGTAAACTGCTATCAGACACCTCTCAAACCAAGGTTACCCCCCCACACACACACACCCGCATGTGACGTACAGGGTTGCACATTCAGTGTCAGACACGTTAGACTGATGAAATTTATTTTTCAAGACCTTTAGCTTTTTGTCCCGCTTGACGCCCCGCTCAACCAGTGTTTTCACCACTCTGTCGAACAGCTGGCTGTCTCTCACCGTCCCCGTAAAAAGGCGACTAATCTGTTCGTCCGCTCGCACGGCCAAAAGCTCCATGGCCTCCACGTCCGTCCAGTTTGCCAGGTGGTTGAAAGACACTAGTGAGAGGCCATGTTTATGTGTGTTTATATCCTTTCCGGCCGGCAATCGGCGAGCGGTATATGTCACTAACGCGACCACATTAATAAATAAATATATATATATATATATATATATATATATATATATATATATATATATATATATATATAAGCAAAAACATATTCCAGAAAGGAGGAAAACTCCAGGTTGCTCCTTTAAGGAACAGAAGAGCAACAGCATTGGGTCTTTGATGATGATGATTGCCACCATCACGTAGCACCTAATTTGGTCGTCTGGTTCCTCCACTGCTGTTTTGTAGCCTGTGTTTAACTGTGGTTATTTTTTTTATTTCACAATCATTTTGCCAAATTCATGTTCAATTAACAGAGATGACCATTATAAGATTCTCTTTATTTATTTTGGTAGGAAAAGTGTTAGAAAACCAGTCGCCACTGCATTCCTCTGTAGTGTTTGATCATTTTATAAGTCTGTTACACTGATTTTAGGAAATATCACTTTTATCACAAAATTCATAGAGAATAACTCTAACTGTGACATAAAAAATCACTAAATACCTTAAAAAGAACACTTTTCTATGAATTGCATGTCAAATGGAAGCCACCCTACACACCTGAGCAAAGCCAAGCCACGACCTTTTCTCCTTTCGATTCCTGACCCGAGATGTGGAGTTGTACACGTGGCCCTGTGAAGAAAACCACCATCTGTTAGCAAACAAACGCTACCAGTAACCAGACAGGACGGCACGCAGCTTACCCTGACGGTGCCACTATATCCAGATCCAACTTTGTAGAGTCCATCTTTGCAGAGCAAATACAGAAAGGAACCATCAGTCTGTAGAAGACAGCGTTCATCATCATCGATGGTCACTTCCTTCAGGACCCATTTGTTCATCAAAGCGGCGCGTTTGATGCCATTTCCAAACCAATCCTGGATCTGGATCTTGCCAACCAGGACTGCCTGCACACTCCTCTGTAGTGCGTTCAGTATAGTGGGGACCTGGTTTGATTCAACAAGACATAATGGGGTTTATTTATTTATCAAGCTGCAGAGTAGAAACTCCCTGTTCAGCTCATTTGTGGATCATTCCAGTCAGGTTCTCACAGTAATTGGGAGTACATTTGTCCGTGCGTTTTCAGTTTCACTGCAGTCGTTTTTGTCGCACAAACCTCTTCACACACAAAAAAACATTACAAAAGCATGCACAGCATGAGAGCCCACACTTCTCATCAGCCCACCTGCCACTGTGGTGACTCAAGCAAGTCAGCAACTAAAAGACAGAGAGGCAGGAGAAAACACAGGCCTTTGTGTGGAGGATAAAGTTGTTCTTCTGCAGCCCAGGTCACCAAGGGGACTTTTATTTCATATATTTAAGCAAAACATCCAAGTTACAGACAAGCCGTTCTGCTAACTAGTGCTCAATGTTCACTTTTATTTAGAACGAACCATTTTTATTCAAGAAAAAGCAGTACAAGACGAGGAAAATTGAGGTAGACAAAGGATCAGCTAATTGACGAAGGAATTCAGTTAGAGTAACATCATTGAACAGGAGGATCAGAGTAGCCTGACATGTACAAAACTCGATTTGAGCTGTCCAGACGCAACCCCGGGCTTCTCTGTATGGAGGAAATGCATCAAGGAGGGAAAAGGGGTTTCTATCCTCCTGAAAAGGCATCTTTTTAGTCAAATGCATTCTGCTAATCTGGAGGAAAAAGGGTTAAAATGTCATTTTTCAGATGTGTGATCTAAATGGATTTTTCAGCCATTTTGAAGTGTGTTTCTGTGGGAAAACAATGGAAAGCACACCTGTAACAGCTGTTGTTACACAACAGGAAAGAATATCAAGTGACCATAATCTGCCGTTTTGGTAAATTTAACCAGATTTCCGTGTTGATCAGTTGATTACCTGTATTATCTGACAGGCATGGCTGCCATTATTAGTGAGAATGGCGGAGACGGCTTGCAGGATTTTGCCCGTGTCTCCCCAAGCAACGACGAGACTGAAGAGGCATGCACAGGACAGCGCAGTGATCTCCTGTCCTGTTGGGTCATTAGGCCCTGTGCTCCGGACCGTGGTCTCCAACAACAGCTGGAAAAGAGACTCTGACAAAAAAGGAAACAAAACGAATAAATGAGTTAAAGTGCTGTTCTATTGATCACTAGCTTTTAAACAGGCATTTTCGGCGTTACCTAGAACATCAGGTGGCTCAGTCTGGAACCCTTCTGGTTGTTGTCCCTGCAGCATGTCCAACAGAGCCTGCAGGCTGCGCAGGCACAGTAACGGGTGAGAGAAGCGTGTCTCTTTAATCAGCTCGAAAACACCACACAGGCCGATGCCAATGATCTACAACAACAGACAACAACAATATGTATAAACTATGTAATAAACCAGCATCCCATCATTTTACTTGTTTAAAGATGCTAAGAGGTAAAGAGTAGGTGCACTACTCAGCCTGGAAGAACTCGTTCAAGTAAAAATAACAAAATATGTGGAGTTACTGGAGCCGACTTAAATATCCAACATTAACGTTTCTTAGAATACAATTGGCTGTTAGTAGAAAAGAGGTAAACAGGGCGCTCTGGCACAGAAAACATGGCTGGCTTGTTTATAGAATTAAGTAACAACATCATGGTCATTCCTTCTTCAGTAAAAGCTCAGAATCTTTGTGTTAAAGTCAAATTTGAAGCGCAAACAAACAAACAAACACACTCACTAACAATGTCATTACAGTAAGAGTATAAAATATATTCTATTTTATTCATATTTGGATCTTTAAGCTTGTGAGATTCATTTTAGATACATTAAAAGTTATATTAAATCTGTCAGTGCTGTTGGGGTCACTCTCACACACACACACACACACACACACACACACACACACCAATAGTTATTATCGGATTATTACAACTTTGGATTCATAAAGAATCAAAGAACAAAAAGCATAACAAATTGTTTTAATCAAAAGATTTACCAAAAAAAAGACTGCAGAAGTTATTGCATCACTCATAATAGTGGCTTAGCAGTCATAATAAGGTTTTATTTTGGCATCCCACATTTTGCATATTTCACACAGCAACACTTGACAGGTGCTTTGAGCACAAACCTGCATTAACCAGCCACTATTCAGGTTTTGATTGGTTTTAAGGTCAGTGCTCTTGTTCCTGAAAAATTTGGAATAACCCGTTCACATACACAGTGTTTAAAAGTGTGGGTGGTGAGATTTCTCTGAGGTAAAAAAGATGATAAGTATTAAAGTATTCTAGCCCCCACCCCCCGAAAATAATTATTGGACATTTTACATTTAAACGCATCAGTCTGGTGCATTTTTGCGGGGAAAGGTAGAGTTACAGGCTGGTAGCTATGTATGATAAAGTATCTATACATGTTCACTATAATGGTATATTTGAGTTGGCAATGTTTTCCTGTCCTTTCTTAATCCATTATGAACACAGACTACAGTGAAATCCGCTGATGCATCCATGCTGCTCAGTACCAGAACGGCACTAGATACCAAAGGAACCAATCAGCTGGCAGAGCTTCCTGTTGAACGTGTGAGCTGCAGAACTTGCAAAACTATGTGACTCAATTTAAGGAAGAAAGTAGAATCCAGCTGCTGTTATTTATTTGTTGTTGGTGTTTATCGAAACTAAATATATCTGCAGGGCTTTAGGCCCAGCGCAGAGTTTTATACCTCAGACCAGCTTTAGATCACGACCTGTTATTAATAATATCAAGTTATTTACACCAATCTGAATATTCTGTAATGTTCACAGACATCCAAACCTTAGAAATGAAATATAATCAATATTAAAATAAAAATTTGTTTTCTGTTATACTTATTTACATTTGATAGTAATATGATTAATAATATTTAATCTTATCTTCTATCATTTGTGGGTTTAGTGCATTCACTTAATATTAATTATAAAGTTATATATAACAGGTCACTACAGTCTGGGCATAGAAAGTGTTTCTAGGAACGAACGCTTGTTCAGCAGCTCACCTGTTCCACTGACAGGAGAAATCCTCTCAGCAGCAGGTGATCAGCAGAGTGTCATGACTGAACACAGGCCCGAAAAAAACAAAGAGACGACAAAAAACACCGACCTCAGAGCGGCCCACCAGGAATTTGGGTCCTGGTTCCGCTCATCACGTTAACTCTCGTTGTGATATCAGAGCTTTATTGGCTCTGTTAAGAGTCCCAGCGCCTGGTGCGTGCACAGTTTGTGTTTGTGCGCACCGTGAGAGCGAGCAATGAGCGCACGCGTTTTTGCAGCTTGGGCGGTGCAGAACGGTGGAGAAACGCGTTTCAACAACACAGGTGCACGTTTCAACAGGAGAGAGCGAGAGAGAGAGAGAGAGAGAGAGAGCGAGCGAGAGAGAGAGAGAGCGAGCGAGAGAGAGAGAGAGAGAGAGAGAGAGAGGAACGAGAGCGCAAGAAAAGATTTTGACGGAACTTTTTACTGATTATTCCAACTGACGGATTTCCGTCGCCACGACGGAGAACATTAATCCCTGTGCTAGAGAGAAACATTCACCATTCTAGAAATACCATTGGGGTACACACATAACCACTCCAAGGACCGCAATTGGCCCCCGTGCCTCACCTTGGACATGCCTGACTTAGAATAATGCAGAGAAAAACATCCTAACGAGATCCCACCGAAGCGTTCAAAGAACAGGCTTTCTGCAAACACACAGAGTGTTTTCTTCATACCTTTGGAAGCTTCACGGCTGGCTCGCGGTACTCCTCCTCCTCCTCGCTGTCCGAATCGCCGCTCTGCACCGAGGTCCTAGAGGCCAGCACGAGGGAGGCCTCTTTCTGCTGCCAGTCCAGCACACAGTGCCGCACGTTGCAGTAAACATTAAAGGCAGATGGGTTGCTGTGCAGTTTGATATCCGGCACAAACAGGGCTCCATCTAGACTCTCGGCCTGTAAAACAACAAAAGGCAGAGAAAGTCTGAAAAGGACCACATCCATGATCCCTAAACAGATTTACTTCATCATCATACAGAGGATCTTAGCATACTTCAATCACATTTTTGAAGCAATTATTTACTGGGACTGCAATGTCACACCAGTGGTCAGCGGGAAGCAGATGGGTGTGGGTCATCATGCTGTGTGGCGGGCGGCGGACCTTTGTTTTGGTAACGTCAGCAGTGTCTACATCCAGGCATTAATGATTTCTGTTGTGATTTGTAAGAAATTTCCTTCCATGTGATATTATAGGTTCGTTATGCAGTTAATTACGATGTTAGAACACCGTCAGCATTAGAGGTGATCTTAATCACACCATTATAATAAAATAAACCATCCTTAATCCACCGTGGCTGTTGCCGAGGTTTTCCTTTCCTGTGATGTTACTACGTGCAATTTCAGGACATTCTACGGGCTTGGATTAGATGTTTAACCTTGTTTTTTTAGAATAAAGATGCATTTTCATTGTTATTACATTTCAGAACAAAGTCATTTAGAATAAATCAATAAGAAAATTCATATAACAAAAGAAAATGTGGCATCTAACATTTTATTTTTTAGAAATACAACAAAATATGAAAGACAGGTCTGTGCAGGAGATCCAGTTAGCTTCCAAGTGTGTGTGTGCATTATTGAAATTGTGCTCACACACACACACACACACACACACACACACACACACACACACACACACACACACACACACACACACACACACACACACACACACACACACACACACACACACACACACACGCAGAACTGAGATGCTAGATTTACATCATACAAGGGAATTGCTATCTTTGTGGATCAAAGGCTCTCAACACTAATCAGTCAGCTCAGCTTCTACTTGATCTTCCACGGAAAGATACGGGATCCCCTGGGATACAGGATTACTGTACGATCCTATTCTCTTCCATTCTTGTAGTTTAAAACCACACTACAGCACCTGATCCAAAAATCACAGCAATACAAGCTTTTTTCTCGATTATAATATGAAATATTGTGTAAAAACAGCTTACAAGAACAGCCGAACTGTCTCATAACTGGGAGAATCTACAATAAAATCATTATGCACTCAGATCCCAATAATCGTTATGAGTCTGCAGAAAAACATCAGAAAAGCTTTTTCAATTCCAATAAGTGAGGTATTTTGACCACAGTCCTGAGACAATCTCTCGAGAATCACGTTGATCGATAAGCTTCTCTTGCAGCGCTGTGCTTCTGGCATCACAATTACACAGGGTGATGTCATCTTTAAGGGAGAAAGGTCATTTATTATCAACTAAAGCCTGCTGGGAGAACACCCGCTTCACTTTCATCCTGCGGTGTTGTCTGGAGATAAACACAGGATTTTAGAAAATATATCCCTAAGTTTGTATCATCTTCATTCAGACGAGCTTCAGCAGAGGTATGTTTCGTTTGGAAAGCCACTCTAAAACCACGCTCATGTCCTAAATCACCAAGTCGAGAAATCTGATTTTGAGCCTCTCAAACAGTGTGATATTCAATTCCCAGATTTTCTACAAAATGGGTTTCAAAGTGCTTCTGCTGGTTTATAAATCACTCAATGGCACAGGGGGCAGATTACATGTCGCATCTCCTTGCAGTAAATACACCCAGCAGGGTTCTGAGGAAGCAGCCAGCTGTAGAACTCCGGGTCAGAACCAAACACAGTGAAGCTGCTTTTAGCTGCTGCTCACAAATGGAATCAGCTTCTGTATGACTTCAAATGTGCCCCAACTAGGGCTGGGCAATAAATCGAAAATTCCTTGTTATCGACATTTCTGACTCTTATCGTGATAATATTTCCCATAGGGATGAGCAAGTGCACCACTATCTGTATCTGTTCAACCATCTAAATTATCTGTATCTGTACTTGGAGTGGGCGTGGCCTAACCCGGAAGTGGGTGTGGTTTACATCAATACTTTATTTTAAGTCTGATCAGAAGTTGCTATGTGTATTGTTTATTTGAAAACTATTTACAGAGCAGCCTCAGAATTGAGATTAAATGTTTTTGACCACAATAGTAAAGGAACTATTACAGAACAAGTTTTTAAATAAAATCAGAACATTAATATTTAAGTGCATGAATTAAGAGAGAGAGAGAAGACAATATCTTTTCTATAGCGCCTCTCAAGATAAAAATCACGGGGTGCTTCACAAAAACAAACCATGTAAAATAGAAAAGAATTTAGAAAATGATTAAAATATATTTAAAATGAGCAAAAAATAGACAATTGTGATTAAAAATGTAAAGAAAGACAGAGAGTGAATAGGAAAGAGGGAGTGGATCCTGAGGAAGAGGAGAGAGAGAGGGAAAAAAAACCCTGACTGGAACGGAGGCAGTGACTGACGCAGCACGAGCCGTTTTCAGCTCTGTCTTGTCAAATGCACCATGTACGTTACGAAAAAAGTAACTTTAAATAACTTTAAAGTAACTTTAAAAAGAAGAAAACTGAAGAAAACATAGGGAGTACTGAAGAAACGTGAACAGTGAAGCAAGCACAGAGAGATCCGTTACTGTCTGTCTGTGTGTGTGCGTGGATGGACCGGACGCGGACTGAGCTGTGAGCGAGCTCCCGGCTGCAGAGTTTTGTGTGTAAGGAGGGGCGGGCACTCTATTTGACTGGCCAATCACAGAGCGTGAAGACAGTCAGTTACCCAATGAGGATTTTCCTTCAGCACGATTACAGATATTTACGAGTTTTACTCGTTTCATGCTCGTACTCGTCAAAAATGCTTTTTCCGTACCAGATACTCGTCTGAAACGAGTATCCAGCTCATCCCTAATTTCCCATGTCAATAAATTTGATAATAAAAAATGAAAAGATGTGTGTAGGTTGGCAACATTCATGTCCCTTTAAGAAGCTGTACCACCTTGAGTCACGTAAAAATGTTTCTAAGCTAATACATGCAAAAGCCCCATCTAGTGGACCACTTTTGTTTCTGCGCATACCTGTAGTTACCGTCCATTTATCGTTAGAGGTGAAATCCTCCATTTATCATGATGTTGATTTTAGGCCGTATCGTCCAGCCCTAGTCCCAACTCTAGAAACTTTTAATTCAAAATGGAAAAACCTTCATGTTTTCATCAGCCTTTGAATGAATGTTTCTTATACTGCACCTTCTGCACTGTAATTGCTCACCATATAGTTTAGTCATCTTTCTGATTCTTAAATCTGAAATGTATTTGTGTATTTAATTTGGTCTAAATGTATTTGTGTATTTTAATTGTGCTTTCTCATTGATTTTAATGTTCGTGCTATCCTTGTTAATGGAAAGTACATTGAATTGCCTCTGTGTAAGAAATGTGCTATACAAATAAAGCAGCCTTGCCTTTATTCTAAAAGCTTCTCTAACAAATGGGAATAAACGATGCTTCTGCCTGCTGCAACAAATTAGTTTTTGATTCGCTTTTCCACAATGTAGTCCATCCAAAAGGTCAACATCTCCATTCTCTGATCTAAACAGTCTCACTGTCAAAACTTAGATGGCAAAGAAGTTGTTTACAGGGCACAAAAAAGAAATTTTATTCAAAAAAAGTATGGAAGAAATAGTCTCACCAGAATATGACTTTTTTTAGACCAGAAATTTTATTCAGTGAAATAAAATTGTTTATTTATTTATTTTTTACTTAAAGTAGACCAGCAAACATTTCATTTGTAAAAATCCAACATCAGATTTTCAACACCAGAAATTCATCAAGTATATTAAAAATATCTAAGAAGGGGGACCGCAGGGTGTGTTCCAACTGCAGGGGGATCACACTCCTGAGCCTCTCTGGTAAGGTCTATTCCGGGGTTCTGGAGAGGAGGGTCCGGTGGATTGTCGAACCTCAGATTCAGGAGGAACAATGTGGTTTTCGTCCTGGCGGTGGAACACTGGACCAGCTCTATACCCTTAGGAGGGTCCTGGAGGGTGTGTGGGAGTTTGCCCAACCAATCTACATGTGTTTTGTGGATTTGGAGAAGGCATTCAACCGCATCCATCTGGGGGCCCTCTGGGGGGTACTTCGAGAGTATGGGGTACCAGGCCCTCTGATATAGGCTGTTAGGTCCCTGTATGTCCGGTGTCAAAGCTTGGTCCGCATAGGGAGCCTAAGTTTCCTCCCTTTCCGGTCAGTTCATGGGTCCCCAGAAGAACGAAAAAAATGAATGTAAGTCAACGGGTTTAAAAACACTATTTTCTAATCCGCTTTGCCTTATGCCCTGGATGGCACATATGTTGTACTGCAATTTGAATGAAAAGTAATGATGGGTGTTTCGACCATGTCAGTCACATACTTTGAGATTTATCATCTTGTAAATGTTCGTAGTTAGCATGACTACACAGCAGAAATCGGCACGTTGCATGTGTGACATCACCACATAATCTCCTCTCCCCTAACGTAGCTGCTACTTACCAAATGACAAGATTTATGGTGGTTTTTTCTGCCTGTGGGAAGTTTGCTGAACTGACAGCCCTTTTCCCTCAGTTTTCTCTGTGTCTGGTTCGATGACGTCCCTTTCCTGAAGCGCAGTTGTAGTCCTGGACTTATTTTCACACAAAACCTAAAATAGCGTTGCCCCCGTTCGAAAATAAGGATGTCCTTGATATCAAAATGCGTCTTTTTTGGACATTCATGGACATCATATGTGATATCTGTAGGAGCCAGATGTGTCATTTCTTTTTGTGCACTTGAGAGGAGGCTTGGCCTCATATTATTGGTTAATTGCTTGTGGAAGCACCAGCCTACTTAAGCCAACACAGATTGGACTCAGGGGTGGCTGGATGGGACAAACAGTTTTTTACTGTGTGGCGAGGACTGTGGCTGTATGTAATGGACTCTGCGGACTGTCATTGGGGCAAGTAACGCATTCACTGAAACCCAATTTAACTGCTGTAAATGGATCATGGACATTTTGGAACAAGACAACATAATAAACAACATCGGAAATAAACTCAAGCTGCATTTCTTTAAGCACACGTAAAGACCACCCGCAACAGCTACCAGGTAGTGCCAGTGTATAGGGCACTGGCGCTACACTTCAAGGTAAAAAAAACTGTCCCGTCGGCGAAGGAAGGTTGGCGTCCTCTGCAATCAAGGCAGCAGAGACGTAATTGGATCAGCTGTTTCCTGATCACGGGAGGAACCGCGCACTTCAACGGCGCGTCTGGAAGAAGCGCGGAGGGTCGAGCTGTCATTGGGACAGAAGGCGTTTCTGCGTGGGATCTGGCTGTCCTTCCCTGCAGCACATCAGCAGACAGCGGCGGGCGTTCTGTCATTGGGGCAGAGGTGTCTTTGTTGGATCAGCTGTGCGGCCTCGTCGCTGAAGGGTCAGCGCGCGTCAGAGAGCGGTGCGCATCTGAAGGATCGTCGCTGGAGCGGTGGGCGGCAGACCAGCGCACATCAAGGAAGCCGCTCAGCGCAAAAGGTGTGGCGCGCGGCGGAAGAACGGCGGGCATTCTGCCACTGGGGCAGACGTTTCAGCGTTGGATCCGCTGAGCAACCTCATTGCTGGAGCAGAGCACCGCTCGTCAGAGGGGCGGCGGGCATCCTGTCATTGGGGCAGGAGACTTCTGCGTTGAGCCAAGCTGTGCGGCCTCGTCGCTGAAGGGTCAGCGCGCGTCAGAGAGCGGTGCGCATCTGAAGGATCGTCGCTGGAGCGGCAGGCGGCAGACCAGCGCACATCAAGGAAGCAGCTCAGCGCAAAAGGTGTGGCACGCGGCGGAAGAAAGGCGGGCGTTCTGCCACTGGGGCAGACGTTTCAGCGCTGGATCCGCTGAGTGACCTCATCGCTGGAGCGGCATCGCGCAGCGGAAGGAGCAGCGAACTTCCTGCCACTGGGGCAGGCGTCTGGCAACCTCATCGCTGGAGCAGCGGTGCGCGGCAGAAAGAGCGACTCGCAGCGGAGCACCGCTCATCAAAGGGGTGGCGGGCATCCTGTCATTGGGGCAGGAGACTTCAGCGTTGGATCCACTGAGCGACCTCAACGCTGGAGCAGCAGCGCGCAGTGGAAGGAGTAGCTCATCGCTGAAGAGGAGGTGCGCATCGAAGGAGCGTCATCGCATTGGAGGAGCAACAGTGCGGTAAAAGTACATTGAAGCACAAGAGGTAACCTCGAACACTGGGCTTAGCCATTAAAGAATAAAGACAGTGACTTGTGAAGGTGAAATTTCTTAAGGGTTATGTTTTGGACAAAGGTTTAAGACGTTCCACTTGTCATGGCAGAAGAGGAAAATGTTGGTGTTGAGCTCCTAGGGGAAGATTAGGTTGCAAAAGGTATTACGGGTCTTTTGGTTTATGTTTCTTTTTATTATATATTGGTGTTTTTTGTGTTTTATAATGGCTCCTGTAATTTAAGTTATTGTAATTGCTTTGTCTTCTGCCATGCGCAATTAGGGGCTGGCGTGTAGGAGCCAGATGTGTCATTTCTTTTTGTGCACTTGAGAGGAGGCTTGGCCTCATATTATTGGTTAATTGCTTGTGGAAGCACCAGCCTACTTAAGCCAACACAGATTGGACTCAGGGGTGGTTGGATGGGACAAACAGTTTTTTACTGTGTGGCGAGGACTGTGGCTGTATGTAATGGACTCTGCGGACTGTCATTGGGGCAAGTAACGCATTCACTGAAACCCAATTTAACTGCTGTAAATGGATCATGGACATTTTGGAACAAGACAACATAATAAACAACATCGGAAATAAACTCAAGCTGCATTTCTTTAAGCACACGTAAAGACCACCCGCAACAGCTACCAGGTAGTGCCAGTGTATAGGGCACTGGCGCTACAATATCCACGGCACAAAACAAGCGGAATTAGGAAATAGTGTTTTTAGCCCCATTGAACTGCATTCATTTTTTCGTTCTTCTGGGGACCCATGATGCGGAAGTAGATGAGCGTGACTTCAGGTCTTTATAGCCAGCAGTAAGTGACACCAGTGAGGTGTCAGCTTAAGTGAGTGACGATTGCTTTAGCTTGGCTCATCATTTGTTCATGAACTTTCACTGAATTTTTGCAACTGAAATTCTGCTGTTGATTTTTTACAGATAAAATTTTGGTCGGTATAATTTAATTTGAAAAAAGAAAAATTCAAATACATTATTTCACAGAATAAAGAGTCAATGTCATAAATTCTATGTCTAAAAGAAGTCCTATTCCATTAAAATATAAAACAGCAAATTATTTTAATTCGTCTTCCTCTGACCAGTTATGTTGTCTTGATGCATTCATCCAGGCCCAGTTCCCTGTGTGCTCTAAAACTCATCGTTTCATAATAAAATCCTGTATCTGCCTATAAACAAGGTGTTACATCACCTCCTTCATAAAAATCATAAGTGTGTTGGTCTTTTGTTGTCGCCCTACTTTCATCTTTAAGCCCAGCAGCAGAGGAAGACGAGGAGGAGAGCTTGCAAGCCCTGTTCTGTCTGACCACACCAGCATCAGAGGCGTGACAGTGCGAGAGTCAGCGTAACACGCAGAAATACAACCCGACTGCCCGTGTATCGCCAACCCACGTTTTTACGCCTGCCAGCCAACAAGCCTCAGCTAAACTCCACTTCTCTGCACCCTACAATGTTTAAAAACCTCCAGTCCCTTGTTGTTTTAATCGCTCTGCCCTGTCATCACACCCCCCCCCACCTTCACAAGATAACATAATGGAAAATCTGAATTATAAAATGTTTCTTGTCCTAACTTTAATACACAGGCCATGAAAATTGTTCAGGAGCTCAGATGAAAGCAAAACAACAACAAAAACACCCTCATATGGAGGGTTTGTGTCCTCTTTGGATGATGGAGATGGAGGTAGGCATCTGTTGCCGTGGAGATGGAGAATGCATTAGGTCGCTTGGCAACAGAGCATCACTGAGTCAGAGCCACTCCCCATGCGTTTCACATTTAACCTCCCTATCACTAGTTTCATGTTTAGAAAAGTTCCTCGAAGCCTGGATGAGACTGTGACAACTTCAGATTATAACTCTTAAGTTAGCTTGATCATTTCTATAAAGACCAAAATAAAATAAAAATCCCTGGCAGAGAGCAGCTTTGATCTACCAACTCTTAACTCACACAGTACAGAATTATAAAAGAAAACTACTGATGTGAATAAATACACAACAACATGAACCAAAGCAGCTCTTACCTTTGTTCTTGACTTGACTTTTGACTTGACCTTTTGTCGCCTTTTCAATTTTTTCTTACTCAAAGCCTTCTTTCCCCTGAAACACACAGTGAATGGTCAGTTTTATAAAACACATGCACTTTTTAATAAGAGCATGCTATGTTCCTTCACCACTAGTGTTTAAGTTCAAATCACTGTTGACTAAAATCCATTAAGAACAACATTTACAGCTACTAATATTTTAAAAATAACACAATTGTGATCCATTGGGTTTCCTTCTAAAAGATAAAAGATTATTCAAGCCATAGAGCTTCTGTTTCCACGAAAGTCAAATTGGCAGAGAAGATTAGGTCATATAGTTGGAAAACATTATTTTTACTGGACTGTTGGGTCAGAAGAGATCAGCTTTACCAACACAAAAGCCCAGTAAAAATGACATTTATAATCTGTAATCAGACCCATTTTTTCATTTATATTGTTGAATATATCTGCTATGAAACATTAGACATTATTGTTTACATGACCCGATTACTATTTTAGTCACAACTGGCACCCCCTGACCTCATCCATTATAAAGCTCACCAAACCTCTTAGGTTGGATTGGGCCTACTCAACTAATTGAAGCAGAAAATTATGTTTAGATTAAAATGTTTTCTAAATGTTAACTATTGACAGATTTTACAATCAAAAACAAAGATTATATGAGAAATAAATCCATAGTGGTGAAAATTTGAGAAATACCAGTAAAGGACCAACCTAAAGATCATTCTCATCAATAACAACTGATCAGTGGCAATTAAAACCTAATAGATCTAAATCAACCAATTCAAGACTATATTTCTTAGTTTTCACAGTGAAATTGTTGTTTTTGATAATATATTAAAAACCCTATTTCAGATTCCTGTTGTCAGATGTAATTATCAATATTAATATCATGCTTTAAATCAGCATCCAGCTCTTGAATTAGCTGGCATCGGTCTTAAAAAACAAAACTCATACTGGTAAAAAAAAAAAAATAATAATATAAATGAAGCCCTTATGGCAGTAAACACACAGGTAGCTGTTCCAAGTTATCTTGAGACATCAAATCAAATGCACTTTTTTAAGACACAAAACATCTGGAAAAGATAGTGTACAAAATCTTTCATCTTTACATTCTTGTGCATTTTTGTACCCTTAGTAAAAAATGGTTACATAAACTAATGTCCTGAAAAATAACAAATAAGTGGGGCGGGCAGCATCAAACCTGACTAGCATGACGTCACTGTATTAGACAACTATAATAGAAAAACAAATGAGTACCTTTCGTTACCTCCTAACACAATTTATGTCGAACATTTACTATATTATCTGAAGATTTTGTAAAAAAAAAAATTAAATAAATAAAATTCCGTGTGGCCATCGAGCATTGCCCTGATGAGACTAGCCAACAGTGACGCTGTTGGGTCTAAAAGCACAAACAATGACACAACTAAATGGCTCAGCAACATAAAACATTGATGTCAAGAGAAAAAGTAAATGTTCCTTAAACGGTAAATATTAAATACATTTCTAACAACAGGAATAGGTTTGTTTACGTTTAGCAGGGTGGTACCCAAGACGCAAAACTGTGATGACAGTTCACCAGCTAGTTTGTTTTAGCCCTCACGGATTACATGTTCCGACCATGAAAGTTCAGACAAAACTGCTTAGTTTCAATGTGTTTTTTTTTTTCTGTCAATGTTTAGCTAATGCTAGGTTCGGGGCACTCCAGGGGGGAGCCGAGCGGTGAGCAACCGTCATGTTTAATAGAATTGTACCCCTAAGCTAAGGAAGTCACAGACAAAATTGAGACCCAGCAAGCTGGTTTTTCTAATTAAATTACTGATTTTCTTATACATTTGTTTGTGTTTGAGGTACTCAAAATTCTGAATTGTCAGTTGAGCCAAAAAGCAGCATTTATTATTTAATTTAGGTGTATGTTGGCTTTCTAGTGTTAGCGTCCACCGAGAAAGGGTTAACATTAGCTTACGGATGTTAGCTCAGTTAGCCCTTCAAATGACAGAGCAGCAACCTCTGATATCAACATTTTGTCCAAACTGACACCCACCTTCCTTGATTTATCCCTTGCTCTTTATCGTTGATGGCGGTTGTATAAATCCGTCTGTATCTTTCCGCTAGGGCTCGTCCTGAGAGTAAAAGCTGGTACCGAGTCCGACAATCCGACTGGGCTCCGGGTGTCGGGCAAGAACCCATTCCCGAACCGATGCTGGAGAGATCGGATCCTACACCAGAAATGACCCTGACACCCAGCCCCATCGAAGGCGATAAGGAGGGCAGGACCCCTCCAGCACCGGCCGCCACCGCAGCGGCACACATCATCGTTTTGCAGAACAATGCATATATCACACAGAAGATACAACAGCCAGATATCTAGCCATTAGATGCAATCCACATGTCATCAGATCCGTCACATGTCACAACATTGTTCCATCCAAGCAGCAGAAATGCCACAATTAGCATCCACAGTTCTCAGTTGTAATAAGCGCAAATTGTAGCCTTTTGGATGGTGTTGCTAAAGGTCTTCCGAAGCGAGCGCACCACAGAGACGAGACGGTGCTTCTCCCCTAAAAAGTCTCAAGCTACAGAGGAAAATGTTGTAAACGAGCAGAAAAGACATATCTCATGACCAAACGTGTCGTGTTTCAGTTTCATTCCTATTTCTTGACCCCGAAGAGGCAGCACCCTCAGCAGGGCTGCCATCTTAGCTCCATCATCATCAGCCCTCCCCTCCCAGTCCCAGAGTCATGCGTCGTTTCCATGCTAGGGAGAGACTTTTCACACTAAATAACGAAGAAAACACATATATTACACGTTGGAAAATGGATATTTAATCAACAAATGGAAAACTAAAAGCCTAAAAATCCATATAAATAGTCCATATAAATCCTGGCACCGTGCTAAAATAACTAAATCTGTAAGATTTATTTTTCAGTGAAACTTGCCACAAAATGTAACATGAGGCGGGAAAGAAAACAAGATTTAAATCAACCTGTGCAATATGAGGGTATTTTTAAAGTCTTAACAGCAGTTTTTGGGTTATTTAGTTGATCGTAAAAGAAAAAATATGAGTTAATTTTTAAGTCAATTTAACCACATTGATCATACATTTATAAATGTTAAATTTCCCAACTAAATATTTTGCAAGCTTAATATATATATATATATATATATATATATATATATATATATATATATATATATATATATATATATATATATATATATACGTAAAGTAAACATTTTACGTACTAACTTAATATTTAATTTGGAGCTAAACATTTAGTTTACAAGTTGAATACTTAACTCCAAATTAAATATTTAGATCCCAGCTAAATATTCATTTTGGAGCTAAACATTTAGTTTGAAAAATCAATATTTAGATTTAGCCCAAAAATAATAAAGCTCCAAATTAAATATTTAGTTTACATCCTAACCATTTCAGACCTAAATATGCAATTTGTAAACTAAATATTTAGATCCCAAAATATTTATTTTACAAACTAAATAGTTAAGTCTGACCAAAATATTTAGTTTGTAAAGTAGATTATACTGTAAATTAAATATTTAGCTTGCTAATTAAATATTTAGTTCGGGACTTTAACATGTATAAATGTATGTATAATATTGTGAAAATGTGAAATTGAAAAATGAACCCCCATTTTCTTGACCGGAAAAGGGTAGCTTGCCAACTCCGGGTCGGGGGAGAGGTCCTACCTCAAGTGGAGGAGTTTAAGTATCTCGGGGTCTTGTTCACGAGTGAGGGTAGGAGGGATCGGGAGATTGACAGGCGGATTGGTTCAGCGTCTGCAGTGATGCGGAAGCTGAGTCGATCTGTCGTGGTGAAGAGGGAGCTGAGCCAGAAAGCCTGGCTCTCGATTTACCGGTCGATCTACGTCCCAATCCTCACCTATGGTCATGAGCTTTGGGTAATGACCGAAAAAACGAGATCGCGGATACAAGCGGCCGAAATGAGTTTCCTCCGTAGGGTGGCCGGGCTTAGCCTTAGAGATAGCGTGAGGAGCTCGGACATTCGGGAGGGACTCGGAGTAGAACCGCTGCTCCTCCGGATCGAAAGGAGCCAGTTGAGGTGGTTTGGGCATCTGGTCAGGATGCCTCCTGGACGCCTCCCTGGGGAGGTGTTTTGGGCATGTCCCGCCGGCAGGAGGCCCCCGGGTCGACCCAGGACACGTTGGAGAGGTTACATCTCCAATCTGGTCCGGGAACGCCTTGGGGTCCTGCCGGAGGAGCTGGTGGAGAAGGCCGGGGAGAGGACAGTCTGGAGCTCCCTAGTTGGGATGCTGCCCCCACGACCTGGACCCGGATAAGCGGAGGAAGACGACGACAAGCCCCCATTTTTTTTCTTTTATGTTAAATAACCAAAAAAACTACTGTTAGATTATGACTGTTTGTCTTTGCAAATGGCACTCAATAGTGCAATGACACAAAACAAAATATCCAAAATTGCACATAAGTAAAAACACTACACAAGACTAGACAACAAGGCCCAAAGACGTGTTATTTCATATTGTCTCCATATTTTCTTGTAGGATTGTAACCTTACAGAACCACATGATTTATTTATGCATAAATATAAATTAATATGTTGCAAAATGTAGCTTTTTGTTAGTATTTTGCATTTTCACAGTCTAACAGTGGGAAACAAGAATGCATCAGGAACAGATATGGTCTGCGGGGGTTGGCAGTCTGTAGTGTCAATGAATGTCAGTAAAGTACAAAACACAGGTGGTGCACAGGTACACAGGGAAACCAGGTGCATGCAGAATATATTTGAGAAGAGAGAGCTTTCGTGATTTGAGTCATACTGATGTAGTTTGCTAGTAAAATATTCAACTGGAATATAAATGATAGTGTGAATGAATCTGCATTTACAATTGTGACACACAGAAAAAGACACATTCAGACCCCTAGAGGGCAGAGGACACAAGAGAAGAGTGATTTCAGTGTCGCCTCTTTTCAATTTCAAAAATAATAATAGTATCACTGGCAGCATGTATTACTCTGATTAGGTAAATATGAAGTAGTAAATTAGGTTAAAAGAAATAAACTGTTAAAATACACACATCCAAGGACTGGAACTGATGCTAAATTCTTATGTTAGATATGCAAACCTGCTATCTTAGTTCTGCAGTTTGTCATTGTTCTTTCATGATTGTAAAGGTCAAGGTCAAGTAAAAAATCTCCACAATGCTAAATTAAGTTTTACATGGATGATTGTGTTTTTTTCCACCAATGAACATGTTTATTGTTTTGTTTTGTTTTTATTTGTTTTTTGCTTTTTTGCAGAAGTACTTATTGGTTATGTATTTGATCACATCTTTTGTTTTATTTATGAAATCAGAAAGACTTGCGCAACTGATGACACAGATATTTATTGTTACACATCAGATTCTGTAAAATATGCGAACATCACAGATCAAACTTCTAACTAAGATGTAGAAGTTATGCATTAAAGGGAATCATATTTACAAGGAAACCTCCAGTTTAGCCTCAACAGCACCACGCCGTTTAGTGCTGCTCTTGTTCAGCAATCAGCTTTTCCTAACAGCCACAAATCAATGAAACAGCCAGCATGATAAAGAGGCCCTGCAGTTATTTCAGCACTAAAACTACTTTAAAAGTCTGCCAGAAGCTGCTGAAGTGAGCATTTACAGATATTTTGGTCTTCTTGGCTCCTTTATTCTCAGAGAAGCTTGCATTTGGAGGAATTTACTGTATTTTAGCACTGATTGTGTTTTATTTCTCTGGATTTTACTCTGAGCTCCACAGTCCTCCTTAATCGCAATCATTCTAGGATGAAAATGCAGCAATGTGGCTAACTCTATTGAAGGTGATCATTAATGTTTAATAAAACTGTTTTTCAAGGGTTTTCCATTGCAGATCCTCACCCTGCTTGTTATTGCAGGACAGTCTGCATTCCTTCCATGCTGTCAGTGACAGGGAGGGGTTTGACTATCAGTCCCATTCCATCACACCCACGTCAGGTATGAGGAACACCTTTCAAGCATCTGATCACCCAGAATGTGACACTCCCAGTGGTAAAATATCTCAATTACTCACTTTCCAGCAGATGCCTGAGTGTCACAAACATTTCAACACTCTCCTAATTGTGTGCTGGCAAAAATTAGGTACAACATGTCACTGTCTGGGTTTCAGTGAGACCGGCTGCTCAGATTGTTGGATATTATGATATTACTGGACTTCAGATGGGGATAGGTTATCTTCTGAACAAGCTTCTGATACCATTATCAGCATGTGAAGGGCAAAGTCTGCTGATATGTCTCTGCTGCAGGTCAAAACTTTAAATTTAACTTTTTGACCAGTAAATATGAACAAAAGTACTTGAGACAGTTGTGTTTTGCTGAATCTTGCATCTGGACATTTTGTATGTCTGCTTCCTCAGCAGCCGAGCTAAATGGCAGGTCCTTCTGCACTCCGCCCAGTTGCATCGACGAGCAGAAACTCCATCCATCCATCCATCCATCCATCCATCATTGTCCATGTAGGGTGGGGGGTGGGGGGTCTGGTGACCTGGACAGAGAGCCAGTCCATCGCAGGGCAACGCAGAGACACACAGGACACACACAAACACACACACACACATTCACACCTAAGGACAATTTAGACAGACCAATTAACCTAACAGTCATGTTTTTGGACTATGGGAGAAAGCCAGAGAGAACCCACACATGCACAGGGAGAACAAGCAAACTCCATGCAGAAAGATCCCAGGCTTGGAAGCGAACCCAGGACCTTCTTGCTGCAAGGCAACAGCTCTAACCACTGCGCCACTGAGCAGAAACTCCACTGAGAGTGAAATGATGAAGCTGGAGGCAGAGACATTTCCAGCGACAGGAAAAAGGAAAAGTACTCCTTTGATTTCTAAGCAAAGCCACTCCCTTGGGTGCCTCCCTTGAGGTTAAAAGCAGCAGGAATGACACAGGTGTGATTGCACGGAGCCTTGTGATAGACAAGTATTCTGACCGGGACTGAAGTGAGGTTTTTACTGGTTTTAAAGCAAGCTACGACACCCTCTGAGAAAGTAAGTGTCCATTTTCTTTCTAAAAACCTTGAATCTTCATAATTAGAAAATAAAAAATGAGAGCGTGGGTAATCTTACAGTTTTGTCTAATTTTATTTGATTATTTAATTATCAGAGCAGAAAAAATAAGTAACATTGTGTTTAACTTATCAATAACTCATCATCCATGAAGCATTCATCTCCATAAAGGCTAATGTAATAAGAAATAACTTACAACACCATTTTTTATTATCACCATCCATATTCAACTACATCATTATGGCAGTTTTTGTTAATTTATGACAGTTAAAGCAGAATTTCTGGGATCAAAATACTGAATAAAACATAGAAGTACTTTATGTCTTTTATGTAAGTACAATAATATGATTGCAGATTGTTTGTGTCACAGTGCAATGTGTTCAAATATGAAAACGAATGGACTGCTCACAACCGTTCAGAGAGATATTACGCAGCTAAACCCTCATAAGGGTTTTCTGCTGACTTAAAAGGAAACAAACAACAGAAACATGACTCTAAATCATAAACTGCATGGTGAAATTAATCATTTAACCTATTATATTATAAGAAAATACCACACATTTTAGAAATAACACTTAATTCTACTTTTTTTCTCAACATCTGGATTCTTGTCATGTGTCTTGTCCATGTATGTCTGATCTCTGAATTGTGTGTACTGAAACTCTAATTTCCCTCTGGGATTAATAAAGTATCTTTGATTTGATTGATTGATTGATTGTGGTTGCATCCTAATTATTGCAGCTTAGTTGTGTTTCAGCTGTTTGGGCGCATGTTGCTCACAGATGTTCCACAAAATATAAATGTCCCATTGAACCTGAGTATTTGTTTTCTTCTGTTGGTGGTGGATTATGTAATGAAGCTGTGGTCAAAAGGGCACCATCTTTCATTTATCTGTTTGATCAATGCTTTTATGGCATGCTACTGTTTTGCTGACAAGTGTGTGTTTGGAGAAAGAGCGTTATGGAGGGTGGGGTGTGTCTGCATGTGGGCGCAGATCAAGACAAACCAGTTTAGGGCTTTAATGGTTGAGTCAGGGGTTGAGCAGAGCGTCTGCAGCTGCTGGACTGGAGGCGCAGTGACAAAACCAGCTCGGTAGCATGTTCACAAGCAACCCTGTGATCTAACATAAAAAAGACAAAAGAATGCAGAAGATCTGTGAAAAGGCTTCCATTAGCTGCTTTTGCAGGTCACTGACCTTCTTCAGCTAACTCTTTCAGCCTGTGGTGCCCTCTAGTGCCAGATTAAAGACATACATTTCCTTCTTGTTTTGTCAGGTGAAACTTCAAAATGAGCTATTCATGTAAGTATGGATTTTATTGAACTCATGAATATATTCAGACATTTTGATTTAATCTTTTTTCATTCATGAAAAAGCCATGCACATCCTTATAGTAAGCTGTTTTAGTTCTGAATGAAAGTGCAGACAAAAACAGTACAGAACACACCTAAAAGTAATATTAATAAAATATCAATGAAACCAGTGACTCACAACAAACTACAAAGAATTGGAAAAATAGTAACTTTTTGTTTATATGGTTCATAAATGATAATAAAACCACTTAATGTCAGTAAATTTTGTAATATAATTAAGCTAAAGTGAATAGTTTAAACATGTGATTGACTATTAAACAATAGCCGCATATTCAAAGTTTGTTCCTGGTAACTAAACCTGTCGTTGTCGTCGTCGTCGTAGTCATCTTCCTCCGCTTATCCGGGTCCGGGTCGCGAGGGCAGCATCCCAACTAGGGAGCTCCAGACCGTCCTCTCCCCGGCCACCTCCACCAGCTCCTCCGGCAGGACCCCTGTCTGCTGCCTCCGGAGACCCACAGACCAGCCACGCCCTGTAGGCCTCCTTCTTCAGCCTGACGGCTCCCCGAACCTCTGGTGTCCACCAGCGGGTACGGGGGTTGCCACCACGACTGGCACCGGCCACCTTGCAACTACAGCCAGCAACAGCCGCCTCAACAATCGCAGAGTGGAACAAGGCCCACTCGGAGTCGATGTCCCCCACTGCCAAGCATTCCCAGCAGACCCTCACTATGCGTTTGGGTTTGCCAGGTCTACGTGGCATCTTCCCCTGCCATCTGATACAACTTACCACCAGGTGGTGATCAGTTGACAGCTCCGCTCCTCTCTTCACTCAAGTGTCCAAAACATACAGCCGCAGGTCAGATGATACGACTACAAAGTCTATCATCAACCTGTGACCTGGGCTGCCCTGGTACCAAGTGTACCGATGGGCATCCTTATGTTCGAACATGGTGTTCGTTATGGCCAAACTGCAGCTTGCACAGAAGTCCAATAACGAAACACCACTCGAGTTCAGATCAGGCGGGCCGTTCCTCCCAATCACATCCCTCCAGGTCAAGCTGTCATTGCCCAGGTGAGCATTGAAGTCCCCCAGCAGGACAATTGAGTCCCCTGATGGAGCACTATCTAGCACTCGTCCCAGGGACACCAAAAAGGGTGGGTACTCTGAACTGATATTTAGCCCATGAGCACAAACGACAGTCAGGACCCGTTCCCCGACCCGAAGGCGCAGGGAAGCTACCCTCTCGTCCCCCGGGGTAAACCCCAACACACAGGCAGAGAGTCTTGGGGCTAACAAAAAGCCAACCCCAGCCCTCTGCCTCTCACCTGGAGTAACTCCAGCAAAGGAGAGTGTCCAACCCCTCTCCCGGCCACCAGGCGCTCACTCATGGGCCCCAACCCCAGGCCTGGCTCCAGGGTGGGACCCCGATAACCCTCCGGGCCGGATACTCCGACTCTTTGGTTTTACTTCCATGAAAGATCTTCTGAAAAACAGTACAGAACACACCTAAAAGTAATAATATTAATAAAATATCAATGAAACCAGTGACTCACAACAAACCACAAAGAACTGGAAAAATAGTTACTTTTTGTTTATATGGTTCATAAATGATAATAAAACCACTTAATGTCAGTAAATTTTGTAATAAAATTAAGCAAATGTGAAAAGTTTAAACATGTTATTGACTGTTAAACAATATTCAGAGTTTGTTCCTGGTAACTAAACCTGATCCATTTAAATTCATTTTTAATTAGTTTCTGAATTGCCATTGATCTGTCATTGTGTTTTATTTGGATATAGATATATTTGGTCCAGTCATGACTCGTCCTTTATTCAACTACATCTATTTGTAATTTGCTGTTAGTTTGTGAATGTCACTTTTGTTTTCAGTGTATTTTATGTAAAGCACTTTGATTTTTACTGCTGTATGAAATTTAATGGTTAAGTGAGTTTGTACTTGAGTTGTCAGTAAAGCTCTCATTGTTTTGATGTTTGTAGACAAGACAACCAGCTCCAGTGTCACAATTGATGAGAATAAGAAGAAAACAACTTTACTGAAGGACAACAGCTGGATCAAGAGAGCGGATTATGAGGATGAACCTGTTGAGTGAGTGAAACTCAGATAAACACGTACTTAAACTCTGGGTTTGGCTGAACAGACAGGATTCACAGCTTTAGGTTTCTAAGCGATCTGTTACATCCCTTTAGTCACAGTGTTGACTCACAGTGGCCTGAATGAACAGACGTGTTTTCTCTTACAGCGATGACCCAAACTTTGGCAAAAGCCTCTTACATCACTCCAAAACTGGTCAAACTGTTGTGAGGTATGCACTTTTCAACTCCATTCCTCTTAAAGACAAAGTGTTAAAAAGCAAATGCACACAGAAACAACACTTTATTTTTATTCTTTCAAGCAGTTCAACAGATCCAGACCCTGTGAAAAGCACCAAACCTGAAAGCTCCTCCACGTCTGTGCATGCCCTCTCCAGAAGGTAAAATTCTTGCTGATTGGTGGAAATCAACAAGAATCTTATTGTTGAAGATTGCAATAATAACTGAGAATTGTTATTTTTCTATTTTGTCACTGCAGGTTTGGTGTCCCTCTGGATGAGTCAAAAACCAGGTTGGAACAATGTTATATTTTCCTGTTTTTTCAGACAACAGAACAAATCTGTCATGTTTTATTTTAACATTTCAACACATAAAAAAGTGTAATTCTCTCCTACTTGGCAGTTCTTCCACCAAGACTTCCACCTCCTACACAAGAAGGTACATTTTATAAAACAGTCCATATACATTATGGAAATGCACTGAATTTAACAAAAGAAAACTTACAAAATTTATTTTATTATCTGAACAATGTAATTATTTATTCTTACAGATATACAAGTGGGATAACAGATCCTCCCAGCATGTGTGTATAAATCCAGTTTATTACAAAATAACTGAATGACTGGTAGCTCAGTATTAACACAGAAATAACACATTTGATATTTGTGCATTTTTAAAATCACAGGACCACGACTACTGTCACAGAGGACCCAAAGACGAGGTAAACGAGCACAACATGAAGCAACAATGAATAAGAAAAACTCTGTGAACACTTTTTAAATGAAACCTTTTTACCTTTTGCTGCCTTTAGCACAAAAACCACAACTGTGACCAAGAACGGTACCACAACTGAGACCACCATTCAGAACACCAAGTATGGAATACATCAGATTTAAACAATAATCTCACATACGATTGTGTCAATGTAAATAACTTCATATTTTCAACAGATCTTCTGTCATTACATCTCCCACCAAGACGGAAACATTCAGTGAGCGTGTCAAATCCTCCAGCAAAGGGTAAGACAGCAGACCCTATGGACTTTGGTTGAAGAACACTTTTCTCCTTGGTGCCTTAGCTTAAAAATCTACTGAAAACGAGATTACAGTTCATTTAGTAACTTGTTTATTTCCCACACAGGGCACAATTACCACCATATTCACCGACCAAAACAACAACAACAACAAAAGTGACCTCAACCAAAGAGTAAGAAATCACCAGATCATATTGGAAATAAAATCTTCACCCCATCTAAAGTTTCATTTGTTATTGGTATGCTTCTGTTCAGAGTTGTGGACAAGCCTTTGGACTCTGCCCTCCAGTCTTCTCTGAAGGATGAGGATCTCACCAACTTAGACAAGTAAATGTTTTTATTAGCGGTGGGAGTCGATAAAAAAATAATCTAATTAACTCATTCACTGCCATTGACAACTAAAGTCATCATTTTAAATCCAACCGTTCACTGCCAATGACGATCGGAACGAGCCCCCGCACTGTGAGAACAAACATCTCAGCTCTAAAGCCGATCTTCATCCGCATTTGTCACACGTCATGTGATCAGGAAGGAGAAATCCATGTGTTAGGAGATCATTTTGGGCCGCTGCTGTAAAAAAAGTGAGACACGAACCAGAAAAGCTCCTGCTGATCACAATTCAACAACAGATTATGAAAGAATGGATAAAGCTCGAAATGCGTAGATTCGTCCTGATGTAAGAGGTGAGTCTCTGCTTTGTTTTGGTTGTTTTGGCGTTTACATCATCCAAGCGCAACATTCTGTGATTCTTAAAAAATTGTAAAAATGGTGAGAAATGCTGGCAGCGAAGGGCTTTACCGATCAGGAAACGGCTGGCAGCGAATGAGTTAATTAGAGGCTTTGTGATTAATTAATCTTGATTTATCGCATTTTAATCGTTCAAGAAAATTTGCGCACAAGCAATTTTAATAATTTTTTTGAGTCACAGATGACATACCCACACTTGAATGAGTATATTTGTGTTACCAAAAGGTCTATTTGATTACTTTGGTCTCATTAAAAAGGTAACTACAGTGGGGCAAAAAAGTATTTAGTCAGCCACCGATTGTGCAAGTTCTCCCACTTAAAATGATGACAGAGGTCAGTAATTTACATCATAGGTACACTTCAACTGTGAGAGACAGAATGTGAAAAAAAATCCATGAATTCACATGGTAGGATTTTTAAAGAATTTATTTGTAAATCAGGGTGGAAAATAAGTATTTGGTCAATAATAAAAATTCAACTCAATACTTTGTAACATAACCTTTGTTGGCAATAACAGAGTTCAAACGATTACTATAGGTCTTTACCAGGTTTGCACACACAGTAGCTGGTATTTTGGCTCATTCCTCCATGCAGATCTTCTCGAGAGCAGTGATGTTTTGGGGCTGTCGCCGAGCAACACGGACTTTAAACTCCCTCCGCAGATTTTCTATGGGGTTGAGGTCTGGAGACTGGCTAGGCCACTCCAGGACTTTCAAATGCTTCTTACGGAGCCACTCCTTTGTTGCCCGGGCGGTGTGTTTGGGATCATTGTCGTGTTGGAAGACCCAGCCACGTTTCATCTTCAAAGCTCTCACTGATGGAAGGAGGTTTTGGCTCAGAATCTCACGATACATGGCCCCATTCATTCTTTCCTTAACATGGATCAGTCGTCCTGTCCCCTTAGCAGAAAAACAGCCCCAAAGCATGATGTTCCCACCCCCATGCTTCACAGTAGGTATGGTGTTCTTGGGATGCAACTCAGTATTCTTCTTCCTCCAAACACGACGAGTTGAGTTTAGACCAAAAAGTTCTACTTTGGTTTCATCTGACCACATGACATTCTCCCAATCCTCTGCTGTATCATCCATGTGCTCTCTGGCAAACTTCAGACGGGCCTGGACATGCACTGGCTTCAGCAGCGGAACACGTCTGGCACTGCAGGGTTTGATTCCCTGCCGTTGTAGTATGTTACTGATGGTGACCTTTGTTACTGTGGTCCCAGCTCTCTGCAGGTCATTCACCAGGTCCCCCCGTGTGGTTCTGGGATTCTTGCTCACCGTTCTCATGATCATTTTGACCCCACGGGATGAGATCTTGCGTGGAGCCCCAGATCGAGGGAGATTATCAGTGGTCTTGTATGTCTTCCATTTTCTGATAATTGCTCCCACAATTGATTTTTTCACACCAAGCTGCTTGCCTATTGTAGATTCACTCTTCCCAGTCTGGTGCAGGTCTACAATTCTTTTCCTGGTGTCCTTCGAAAGCTCTTTGGTCTTGGCCATAGTGGAGTTTGGAGTCTGACTGTTTGAGACTGTGGACAGGTGTCTTTTATACAGATAATGAGTTCAAACAGGTGCCATTAATACAGGTAACGAGTGGAGGACAGAAAAGCTTCTTAAAGAAGACGTTACAGGTCTGTGAGAGCCAGAGATTTTCCTTGTTTGAAGTGACCAAATACTTATTTTCCACCCTGATTTACAAATAAATTCTTTAAAAATCCTGCCATGTGAATTCATGGATTTTTTTTTCACATTCTGTCTCTCACAATTGAAGTGTACCTATGATGTAAATTACTGACCTCTGTCATCATTTTAAGTGGGAGAACTTGCACAATCGGTGGCTGACTAAATACTTTTTTGCCCCACTGTATTGTGGAATTAGTTGGGATGTGTAAATATTAGTATATGCGTTACGGAAGTGCAAATAGACATGAAACATTGTAAATGTTGTGTACTGAACACTAGGTGGCAGCAGAGCACGTCTAATACATATAGAGGTGTAGTGCAGAGTTCAGGGGAAGTTCTGCTGAGAGTTATAAGATGAATGCTGTGTGTGTGCTCGACCCTCCGGCTGAAAAAAGGTTCATATGGATCAGATTACTGCCTGCTGCTTTCTACCAACTACAAAACAACAGTTTAAAAGTTGATTTTTTTTCTTTCTTTTTTTCTTCATGAAGAGAAATTTGTCATGATTCATTTATTAGTTTAGTTTATATGGTCTAGTGGCCCAGGCTCTGTAGTTGTTTTAGCAGTGCAACTTGATATTTGTTGATATATAGGGCATACGGACACAACATTTTGATTCCGTCCCCCACTCGGGGCCAAGTGTTCATTTTTTGACACATCTTTTTTTTCTAATTAATTAATCGGAATTAACACGTTAAATTCCCACCCTTAGTTTGAGAACATTTGAGAACAAGTTCATCTCAGCACCAGAACACTAAATTCAACATGATTTTTTCCCTTTGCAGCATACCTTCCTTTACCACAACTGGGACTGTGATGGTGAAAAACAGCTCTGATGCAATGTAAGTTTTGTCTCCTTAACATCAGTTATGGCTTTGCACCTCAGATCTAAAATACTGAATGATATATTTTATATTTTAAATCCTTGGGAGGGTAAAAAATGCATTTTTCCTGACCAGTAAAAAAAATCCCTGCAGTTTTCACCCCAAATCTAAACAGAAATGCCCATTAGAGTAGTAGTACGCCCCTATGTGTTCAATTGTCATGCTATTTATTTTTGTAAAATAGGCTAATTGGAATCTCAGATGGTTTGTAGGTGTGTGAAAGTATGTGTGAGTGTTAATTCTGCCTGGTGTCTATAGGTGGAATTTACATTTCCTGCTGTCAAATAAAGAGAGATAGCGATTTACAGGTGTCTACTCTCCACCAATGAGCTCATGCCTGTTTAGGCAAGCAGCAAAATGAATGAACACATAAAAGATCAAAAGACATTTTACAGTGAGGTATGCACACAAGGGTCAGTCCCTCATTAAACAGGTTAGATAAAAGAATCCAGGTATTTATAGACTGAGAGAAAGCAATGTCCTTGTTTCCTGATGAGAATGTGCCTGGGCATTCATGTGATTTTCTGCACAACTGCAAAACTGTTGAAAGCACATTGTCATGCACAGATTTGATGCTTTACCCTTACATCTTTAACCAGATTTAATGCACTTGTATGGAGCCAAAATAAGACTGATCATAATATGTGAAACTTACTTCTATAATCTGCTTAAAATAACATATGCAGTCATTACCCTGGGATTGCTACAAGTAGCCAAAGGGAACACTTTGTCACTAATGTCACATTTTCTACTTTTCAAATTTTTGTTACTGGTAATTATATAAAAACATCCCAGTAAAGAAATATATATTTTTCTTGCAGTGCCGAGGACAATCTCTACGACACGCTCATTCCCTCATCTATTAGAGACGGTGACTCAAACAGGTAAATGTCACTCATCAAACCTACATTTTTACTCTTCACCAACACTTTGTGGACGTAATAAACTGTTTAAACTCACAAAGTAAAGAAAAATCAAATTTTACGAAGCTGTGGTGTAATTTTCTTTTTCTTTTTTTTTTTTTTTTTGCATTTTGCAGCTCAACTGTGACCACAACTCGTACTGTGACTGTGAAAAGTAGCCCCGACTCATTGTAAGTGTTACAGTTTTTAGATCACATAATACATCACACTCGCCTCAGATTTTCATGCAGCCCATTAAAATTTACATGACCTAAAATTTCTGTCATTGATCAACAACAAACATCCAAATAAAGAATCCTTTTATTTTGTCCTCTAAAGCGTTGGAGACAAACTGTATGACTCACTGATTCCCACATCAGCTAAAGATGATGCCATGAACAGGTAAGGGTCTCTTAAAAAACTTTTAACAGGTGTGGTGTAATTTACATATAAACTTTATGAAAATCTAGAATCATTTTTTAGATTTTAAAAGTAGCTGAAATGCATTAAATCTGCATAAAATCTATTATAGTACAATTAAATCATAAACCTTATGTTAAAAGCTTTTTAAATTTTGAAAATAAATCACTTTTTTCTTCTTTACAGCAGCACAAAAATGACCTCTTCTCAGACTGTGACTGTGACAAGCACTGCCAAAGAGTATGTGAATTCACTGCTAGTTAAGGCAGATATTTCAAAATAAAACTGTCACGTTCCGGGGATGTTTAGGACCCAAATATGCAGATACCCAGGAGGACACGAGGCAGGATGTGATATAAGAAAAAAATCCTTTATTGGAGGAGCCAAAAATTATAATAAATCCAAAGGCAATCCAAAAACTAGAGACCAAAAACACAGGAGGCTAGAGAAGGCTGAGATCAAAAACACTGGAGACGAGACAAGACAAGACAAGACAAGACAAGACAAGACAAGACTGACAGAATACAAACAATGGACCGACAAGACACTGAGACAAGACAGGGCTTAAATACACAGGGAGGATGAGAGGGAGATGAGCTGCAGGTGTGTGGGGTGTGGGAGAAGAACCAGGTGAAGGCAATGACTAATCAGGAGAGAAACTAACTTGACCGAAGAATAAAACCTAATACAAAAGGGCAGGAAACATAACTACAATTCAAAGGGAGTGGGGAGAAAAAAAGAATGAATACTGATGGGAAAAAATCATACTAAATCATGAAAGGCTGTAACTAAAGGAAATGATTGAGAAACCTAGAGGGCTGGAGATCTAGGGGCAAATGGGGAAAACCAGAAGACACATGAGGAAGACGCAGACATGACACGTGAGGGCGCTAGGACACAAAAGGAGCACCTAGAGAACAAATGGAGGACACAAGGAGACACATGAGGGGAGATGCAGACACAGACCATGACAAAAAACTCAGTTTTCCCAAATTGATTTATTTTGTCTTATGGATTTCAGAAAAACCAAAACAACCACCACAACAAAGACTTCATTTGAGTAATTATCCATTAAGTAGTTACACTCATTTATTATCTAATGACCTATAAACCTATAATGATGTATTTAAAATCTTATGGTTATATATTTTAGTTCCATGGATGAATCATATGGCTCCTTCCTGTCTAAAACGATCACGTCTGATGTTTCTTCTCCTATCAGGTGAGATGCCTCAGACAACAAGTTAGTATATTAGTGATTTATTTAGGGGTGGGAATTCAATGTGTTAATAACGATTTCTTAATTAGAAAAAAAAATTGCATTACAAATTTAACCCTTGGGTCCCAAGCGCCCCACAAATGGGGGATGGAATCAAAATTTAGAACAATGTTTCATGTCCATTTACACTTCATCAATAACACATATACTAATATTTACGTATCCCAACTAACACCACGATGGTTACCTTTTTAATGAGATCAAATGTGGCTAAATGTCTTGAATGATTAAAATGTGATTAATCAAGATTAATTAATTACAAAGCCTCTAATTAATTAGATTACTTCTTTTAGTCGAGTCCCACCCCTGGAACGCTGTTCTAACGCCTGTCACAGCAGCACCACAAAGAGAGTGGCTTCAAATCTTTTGAGTTAATTCTGGCTTTGGATTGTGTCCTGATGTTCTATTGTCTTGTTTAGATCACAAAGTCCAGTCCTGTCAACACCGACGTCAACGCGCAGCCTCAGGTAAAAAGAACTGATGAAATCTGTCTTTAGTTTGGTGTGTAAATGTCATGTCACCTCATCAGCTATCACTGACTCCATCAAAAGCCTAATTCCACATTCACTCTCAATTATTAATAAGTCATTAATACGTTTTAATGAAGACTTTCTTAGATAAACATGCAAGGGTTCTGACTCCATCCCAGCTGTGCTATCAAGAGATTTGATGTTCTTTTTCACAGTTTCTGGAAATTAGTTCATTAGTTCTACCGGCACTTTTGTTTGCTTTGATGCAAGTTTGCTATTATTCAAAGTAATTCAGCTAAACATGGTCTGGATAATCTGGGTCCTTAAATAAACTCCTAATTTGTACAAACACTAGATTAAATTATGTAATTATTCAGACATAAATCACTATAACTGTAATATTATCTCCTCACAGACTTAAAGAGTCTGAGAGCAAACACATGTTGTGTTTGGATTGATGAAAACCTAAAATCAAGTCAATCAACTAGAAAACAATTTAATAATTTGAGTATAAATTTCTAAATCACAGGAAAACAGGTTCACCAAATAATGATGAAAAAGTGTAAAAATATTAGGAACTATTTGAAGAAAATAGCAAGATCCATCCATCTGGTCTGCTTATCCGGAGTTAGGGCCAGCAGTCTAAGCAGAAAGGCCCAGACTTCCCCTCTCCGCAGCCACTTGGGCCAGCTCGGGAATCCCAAGGCATTCCCTGGCTAGCCGAGAGACGTGGTCCCTCCAGCATGTCCTGGGTCTTCTCTTGGGTCTCCCCCCGATGGGACGTGCCTGGAAAATTATAACTCACCAGGGAGGCGTCCAGGAGTAATCCTAACCAGATGCGCGAGCCACCTCCACTGGCTCCTCTTCATGCGGAGTAGCAGCAGATCTACTCAAAGCCCCTCCCAGATGACTGAACTTCTCACCCTATCTCTAAGGGAGAGCCCAGACACCATGTGAAGAAAACTAATTTTAGCCCCTTGTATCCACAATCTCTTTCTTTCGGTCACTACCTCGTGATGACGGTAGGAACGTAGATCAATCAGTAAATCGAGATCTTCACCTTCCATCAAGAAGTTAATTTTTTTCTGTTGTATGTTTTTTTTATCTGATTACAACGTACTTTTTAAGTACGTAATACAGTTTCAGAATCATAATTGTTGAACATTAGAAACCAAAATCAGGTGTTCAAACTCATTTCTTTGTCTCAGTTACAGCTCATACACCGATGACATTCCCTCTCCCCGCACCGGCTCCTACAGGTAACCCTTTAGCCCTTTAATCTGGTTCCATAAACTCTATTTGCTAACTGTTTTATGTCTGATCTGGTCTGGTTTTGCCCCCTCAGTGACAGCTACAGTAAAACCTACTCCTACTCAAGACCAGACACCAGGTAGGAAACCAGACAAATAAAACTCTAAAGAAAATGGAGACCTTTTAATTCACAGGTGCTGTTGTGTTTCTAGCTATGAGTACACCAGTATCACCAGTCCATCTCTCTACAGCTCATCATCATACAAAAGCAACAGGTTGTTTTAGAAACTTTTGGATCAATATTTTTGCAGATAAGATGATATAAATCAGAAATTCATCAACTCTGCTTTATTCTCAAAGGTTGTCAGACGACTCTCTGGCAGATCCGATCTACACTAAATCCTCCACCAAGAGCGTTTATCAGTCTGAAAGGTAAGAAAAGAGCCACAAAAGCATGAATGAAAAACAAACAGACTTGAAGACTTTTTGTATGGTTAAGCTGCGAGCAGTCTGCTCACAGACTGATGTTTATCAGTTAGTTTTTCCCATTATCATCAGCTTCTTCCTTTAGCATGCTGGTACAGAACAAGAGTGATTTTGACTTGCAGTGCTGCACATTGATGGTTATTTATTTATTCTTGCTGGTTGCAGGCCACTGCTTGAGAAGGACCTGTGCACCAGCTGCCGTAAGCCCTTCACTGGTGACGCCAAGATGATCCTGGATGACATGAAGATTAACTGCCATGCTACATGCTTTAAAGTGAGCACTTTGCATTTAGACTGGGGAGTTTTGTTTACCATGACAGTAGACAGTACCTCGGGAAGTGTCATGGTGGTTTTATAATGGAGTCTGCAAGACACCAAACACAAATAAATTCCACCTATAAAATATTGATACCCACATATTGTAATATAACAATATCTGAAATCAGTGCAGCTGCGGCATCACATATTCTTAGAAGCATCATCAGCAGATTAGCGATACTTATATAAATGTGCCAAGTGACAACCAGCATATAGAGGTTAGATCGTGTCATTTCCTTCATTTGAGCATTATGCTTTTTTGGCAGTGTGATGTCTGCAACTCCAGCCTGAGTAACATGAAAGCTGGGGACAGCATGTGGATCTACAAACGCACCGTGCACTGTGAGAACTGTTTTGAGGCCACCAGAGGTAAATCAACACATCTTTGTCTCACTGTGACAAAACTCTTTGTTTGGCAGAACTTTAAAATGCTGCCATTTGTTTTTTCTCCCTGCAGATAAATGGCGCCGCTGAGCCTCAAAGATTATGCCGATTATTGCATCATGGTGGAAATGGGTGACGTGGGTTCTTACAGCCTAGCATTTTAATGAAACCTCTTTCTGGGGGTGTTTTGACAAATCTCAGTTACATCATATCTCTGGCCTTTTATGACTCTGGTGCACACAGCTGTATCTGTGTTGTTGAGATGTTGCTGCCTGCATCTACCTCTATAAAGTATCTGCTTATACTCTCTTTTCTCTGCAGCCTTTCAGGGGATTTCATGGCAAAACATATTACAATATTTAGGGCCGGGGGCTTTTTCTTTGTGCAATAAAGGCTATGCAAATTCTTTACCAGACATAAATGAACAAATGGAAATGCCCCATATTGTTTTATGTTTACTAAAAAGTTGTTTTTAACCTATTTTAACTGAATATGCCTTCAGTGTGTGTGGGAAATGTGGGGTCTATGTTTATCAAAGCCGGTCAGCTTTCATTGGTCAGCAACGTGTGTGCTAAATGCTGTGTAAAACTGTTATTCTATTTAAACTTTGTAATCTTGAACAGCATATCAGACATTAAAGAATAAACATTTTATCAAAGAATATTTGGCATGAAGTAATTGATCTTTACAACCTAAAAATATTATTTTTATATAACAAATGTGGATTTTTGATATAAACACTATGTTCTTTTTTGTAGTTTGTTTTGTTAATGTTTCCAGTTGTTTACAATTTATTTGTTTTTCTTCAAACTCCCTGTCCTTAAAGAGCAAGTCACCCCCAAATCAACTTTTTACTGATAAACTATGTAAATGAGTGTGTGTGTGTGTGCTCACTGTTATGAAACTGATTCGAGATCTTTCTCATTCACAACTCTGTCATTCACTCATCATCTTATTCCTCATTACGGAGCTAGTTTTGTCTAATTTCAGCTGTCACAAGGCAAGAGGTGGAAGCACCCTCTTTACCCCTCCATCACGAGGCTTCATGTTCAGATGGAGAAGACAACAACTATTCACAAACTCACTCACACCTTGGAGCAGTTTAAAGTCAAGCTCATCAATCATCCATGTTTTTTGTCCTTGAGAGGAAACCGAAGCACCTGGAGGAAACCCATGCATGCATGTAGAGAATTGTCAGCTCCACTTAGAAAGACAGCAGGATTCAAAAGTGCATCCTTCATGATGCAAGGTAACCGTGCTATTGACTGTGCCATGGTTACAAATTTTTACTGGAAATCAGCAATATAAGCATAAAATAACAAGTGTTACTTATTCTTCACTCCACTGGGATTTGTTGTCTCTTTTAGCTGCGTGAAGCTCATTCTGCTTCTGATTTCCCTCAAACATCTTTAGATCTTTAACTAAAACTGTAACATGATTAACTACAGAGGATGAATCCATGTTATTGTGCTGGTTGAATATATCTTAAAGATTGTTTGGTTTATTAAATGTCAATGCAGGGTTAGAATTTGTTACTATTGAGTAGGTAAATCAAAATATCCTTTCTTGGCCCAAAGTGGGAAAATTAAAGCAAGATAAAGTTAAATGCATGGTAACTTCTCTATTCATTCATGCATTAGAAATATAAAAACATAAAACAAATAAAACCCAAGAATAAAATACTATACACTAATTACTTCTGCTGCTCAGAGGTAAAAGTCAAGTCAGCTCTGTGGGAGTCAGTGGCCCTATATTGCAGCTTATTAAAAACAGATGCTGTCTAAAATTTTACATGGAAATTGTGTAAACAGAAGTCAAACTGTCTGCATGAAGAAAAGAGGAGCAGAATCTATGGAAGTTGATAAATGTGGCTATAATGATTTTGAAGAATATCATGCAACTTAACGTAATGTGTCACTCATTTTATTATTTCTCTGACTTGTCCAGGATTTTGGTGCCATTTAGACCCAGAGTTAGTCCTGATCAACGTAGTTATATTAGTTCCTTTATCAAGTTAAACAAATAATTATATTATTGCATCAGTTGGGAAGTTTTCCAGCATTCCAAGTGCAGCACCTGTAGGGTGTCCTCCCCTCAGCTCTGACTGCACACCAGGCTGAAATTAGCAATCAGCGCATCTTTTCCCTGGTTGTCTCTTCCTTCACTTCCCAGTTCTATTGAAACTCGGTTCTGTCTTCTATTCCTTGTAGTTTGTGTCCGCATGTGTCAGGACCAACAAGGGAACAGAATAGAAAACACAATTTAATTGACAGATTTTTTATCATTTTTGACATGAGAATTTCTATTATTTTATCTAGAACAGATTAGTGTATTATTATTATTATTATTATTATTTATTCAATTTTTCCATTAAATAAATGGCCGAGTAACCAAACACCCTCCACGTATACAAGAGAGCCACAATGATGACTTCCTGGGAAGTGGTGTGATGGGAACTGAACTCCAAGCTGCTGACCAATCAGGAGGAGGCAGTGCAGCCACCCCAGCAGCAGCAGCAGCAGCATCACTCAGACTGCTTGTAGTGGCTGTAGCGTGGGGGATCTGGAGATCTGGACACCCTCTGCTCTGAAGGACTGTCTACTCCTCTCATGTGCGTTTTACCAGATGGAAGCAGAGGTGTTGAACCACCAGAGGATGGCGGACGTGAATGGCAACAGTAAAATCTCCAACGCGGAGCTGGAGGTGTTAAAGCTCCAAGAGCTGGTCCGAAAATTGGAGAAGCAGAACGAACAATTAAGGACCAAAGCGAACGCTGTAAACAATTGTTCCTTGGGCCCTCCTCCTGTCCAGACGGCGCTGTCGTGTCTGCATACGGCTGCGACGGGTCTGACGGACAGTTTCTCCGGTAAACGTGACGTTTCGAGCCTGACGCGGTGCGATTCCGCTGGCTCGGCCGACGAGCCTATCGCTTATTTCCAGCCGAGCTCCGTGTCTCCTGAGGCGGCTGCGGAGGACAGCGGAGCCGCCGGTGCCACGACTGTTCTGGATGAGGTGGATGTTTTAGACCTGAACGCCGTGCTTCCCATTGGAGAGCCTGATCGCTGGTAACCTCTCATTTATGTGCCACTCACTTATTGTAACCAGATTCTTTTATTATGAGAAAGCCAACATTTTTTGTGTTTATGTGGTCTACTGTGATGCATCTTCTTTTCATGGGTTAGACCCAAAGGCTGTGGCGGCATAGGTAGCTGAATTTATAAACAATGACCCTCTTCATTGTGTGATCAAACAGCTCGACATTGTGTGAGCTGTTCAGCCCCAGGCTGAACTACAGTAGCTGCCGACTTGAGAAGCTCCCACACTGAGGGCGTCTGATGTGGAAAATGTAGCACAGAGAGCAGCACTGATTAGATCAGCATTTGTCTCCTGCACCACCACACACCGCCCTCCTATTAACTTGACAAGTTGACCCAAAAGTTGGTCTATGTTGCCCTAGTTGTTAGATTAAAGGCCAGCTTGGCCTGCTTTAAGTCATTTCACTGCAGGACTAACAAATCTGCAACCTTTCATGCAAGAGTTTACCTGAGATTATGTGTTGATGAATAATGAAGTTGACACTTTGGTCAAATGTTGGAAACAGCGGTGCCATGCAATCTGTCTTGTCAGTTTTGTTTGAAGTTGGATTATGTGTTGTGACCATCAGCTATGATCTCATCACATTTGAGCCTAATATCTGCTAAATAGACAGGGTTGTTGATAATTGCTTGTGTTTTCTAATTGGCTATTGTGGCCATCTTGAATTGTGATGACCCCTAAAATGAATCTGTTGCAGAAATACATCCAGTGATCACCTTCTAAAGGTTCCATGAAAATACATAGTTGATTTGTCGTTACTGATGCAGCAGATGGACTAAGCTTTAACCATTAGCCTTTCAAAAACTAATGGGATGTATATTTATGTATGTCCCAGCAAAAAAAAACAGCATATGCTGTGTTTTGGTGCTTGTTTAGCTGGTGGACCAGCGTCGTAGTCTTGCATGCTGGTCAAGCATTCAGTCATCAGCATCCCATGCAGGACCAGCATACCAGCATCCAAAGCACAACATATGCTTGTTTTTTCAGCAAGGTTTAATTTCACTAACATTTTCACCTAACTGTAAACATCCAGATTATTTAAGTGAATGAGTTGTGAGTATTTGTTTTTCAGGCTGTATGAGAGCCCGAAAGCTAAACTCCATGGTGGAAGCCTCCTCAGCCCTCTTCAGTGGTGCAGGCAGGTCCTGGACCACCCTGGGCCTGAGGCGGAGCTGGCTAAGATGACCTTCTGCCACAGACTTGACCAAGGTATAAAGAATATTTATTACCATCTGCAACTTCATCAGAAATCATACATTTATGTTTTATTTTTCCTGCCATAGCAATGATCCAGATGCTTTTCTGGAAAATTTACAGCATTAATTTTGGAGTTTTTGCAATTTTACGTCACAAATTTTGAGATTTAACAATCTCATCAATGCAAACTGCTTTAATTTTTTGAGTTTTTGCAACCCCCAACACCCCCATATGTATGTTTTTATACCATTTGAGGCTTTTTGTTTGTTTATATTTTTATTGGAGAGTTCCCAAGTCTATTCGTTTGACAAAAATCTCAGAAGGTCTGAATTTATTCTCATTATTATAACCCCAGTGGACTTAACACGGCATCATAATGATCCACAGATTAACCACAAGGCTCGTGTGTTTTTTCAGAACACATCTGGGTTCTTCTCACGGTTCAGAACGATTTTCCACACGGCGTTTCTTACATTGGTCAGTCACAGCTGGAAAACTAATACAGGGCTGTGCAGAAATGTACTCAGTGCTGGATTACTTTCGGAAACTTTTTTTCTGCACACATTTAGAACAAAGTTGGATTTTATTGTAAAAAAAACAAACAACCATGAGACTTACACCAGTCTTCATCAACACATTTCCTTGCACTGCCACTTTCCGTGTTAATTGCATTTAGTTATTCATCTACAGCCAACAAACCTGTCATTATCATTTTTACGAAGAACCAAATGCTTCCTGATCTCTCATCAACGGAAACCACTGCATCCATTTTTAGGTATAATCCTGTTATCTGGGACATGGGATTATTGAAATCCCATAAGAGATAATATGGTTTTTATGTTTAAATGCAAAAAACCCACAACTATGCGGCATTAGGTAACATTTGCTGCTGGACCCAGATTTAGAGCCTCTGCTCTCATGTGTGGGAATATGGTTACCATAGAAACTCTGGTTACATTAAATAGGTTTTTGAGTCAGATTTACTTGCTGCTCAAACAGCCTTCACATGATGAGAGTGCTGATCTGTACAAGAGCATGCACGGCTGTATGTGTATAAATATACAACACATACAAATACATTTGTGTCTGTGCTTGGATTTTAGATGGAGGTCCTGTGGTCCGTGGCTCTTTGATGCAAACCCGAATTTTTGCATATTTTCCCAAATATGCAAAGTCAAGACTTAAGTGATTACTGAAGTTTATTGAACATTAATGATTCATATGGGAGTTCAAAGAAAGGCTATAAATAATCCAATATCAGGCTTTTTACATTAGCGATTGGTTTATAAATAAGGAGCTTATGTTTTAGCTAATATGCAGCCCCATTATTTGCCATTTAAACATATCAAGCACAGCAGAAGCAGCATCCGTTCTGAGCAACAAATTGGGAAGTTAAAAAAAAATATATTTTACTTTGAAAAAAGTTGTCCAGAGATCTAATCCCATTTTTGGAATGGGATACAGCCTACATGCATAATCCCCGCTTAACCCAAGAAACTTCTAAAAACTGGTTCAGCCCAATAAGCTGCTATGGGAAGCTCAACCCTGTCTTACCGTATCTGCTACTTCTGACCTAACATCAATACTGCTCTGTAAGAGGCAGATTAACATGTGTGTGTGTGTGTGTGTGTGTGTGTGTGTGTGTGTGTGTGTGTGTGTGTGTGTGTGTGTGTGTGTGTGTGTGTGTGTGTGTGTGTGTTTTACATGCTGAAAGGATCCGTCTAACACTAAAACCTTGTTCCTGTAGCAAAGCGGTGGCGAGGCCTCTCCTCTGTCCGTCCCTACAGCTGCATAGAGGGCCTCTCTACCCTCAGCTGTCCTGTCCTGCCTTACACTAAACCTGCTGCACTAACTGAGACCCCAGGTAACTCAAACACCTGCACACCCATTGCTACTAACAACCATGTCTCCGAGAGACCTAGTCACTTAAAAGTAGGGATTTGAATCTTAGAGCAACTCAGGATTTGATTCGATTCCGATTGTTGGGGTGCCAATTCGATTCAGAATCAATTCTCGATTCTCAATTTAAATCGATTCACAATCAGTATTAACAAAGAGTATCAGCTCCAGGATGAACTACTTTGTTGTACAAGTTAGTTAAAGCTGTGGGACATTGCTATTTGACTTTAAACTGGTCATGCTCCAAAAATGCAAATTTACAATGTAAACTAAAGTGATTCTAAAACTGTAAACAGAAACAATCTTTTGACCAAAAGGCAACATTTATTTTTGCTTACCTTGTAAAATATAACAAATCTGTAGTTACCTAACAGTAGCTTTTAAAGTAATACGGTCAAATACTTTTCAAGTATGTGTAGAAACAAGTTACATGAGTAATCCTGAGTACTCATTTATCAACTTAGAAAATAAATATGACAATATCTCAAATTTTCAAGTGCCCTCTTATCAGCAGATTCAAACATAAATCATCTCAATTTATGGGACCACAAAAGTAAACGGAGTACTGACTCTCCTAACAAAGATCAAAAAAGTGCATCTCAAACCTGTAACATGCCAAATATTTGAGTTCTTGGAATCGATTCTGAATCTTTGTTAATCGATTCTGAATCTTTATAAATAAGAATCCCGATTCAGACTTGAATCGATTTTTTTCAGCACCTCTACTTAAAAGCATCATAAATTTAGGACTGTTGGTGACAAGTTGGACTCAAAAACACAAGATTTCAGTTGGGATCTTGCAGAATTAGAACATACCATGACACTTTTGTGACATGTTTAATATATGTCTATGACTCATGGAGCTTATGATGAAATAACAGGAAAATGTTGAAATTTGTGCAAAAGTGTCAGTTTGGCTGCAAAGTGTCTATTTTGTCTAAATTTGATTGCAGACCTTCTTTTTATTTGCTGTTTGGTCACCAACTCCAAAGTTGTCTAGCATTTGTTGCTCTTTCTGACTCATCTGAACTCAATTTTAAAGTTATTGAGGAGGATTTGTGATGAGCTTCCAAGTCACCTACGACATGGCGACTAATCTCAAATTCTAATTTTGTCCAACGATTGCAGCCCTGTGATATACCAGCTTCATTTTTTTGAGACTGCTATAATTTTTGCAAAGTCCAAAAATATAAAATAAAGATTTGGTGTGTATAAAATGTACAAAAAATGATCACCTCAGTTTGCAGCACCAGTATGCTCCTTAGCTGTGTATGCATGACAATCTCCATTGCTCAGATGTAAACTCTACTTCCTCCAGCTTGGATCTTGTTCATGCCTAAAATTATCTGGATGTGGTGCCAAAAGGTTCCGTTTGTACCAAAGTGCTTTAGGATCTTACTGTACGAACATAACCCAGATTCTTGTATCCTGGTACTTGGATTCTGCAACAGATTACAGCAAACTACAGAAAAGAGATTATGTCATCATATGGAGACAAGCTGCATCAGATTCCACTCAGATCTGTCCGTTCCTCCGTATTTCAGTTAAAGAAGGTTAAATATTTTCTCTTCTGTGATGTTTTCCTTCTTTGAAGCTCCGTTGTCATCATCTGGCCACTCTGTCATTCAGCCAACCCCCCCACTCAGGACCAGCTGCAGCCTTGCAGACAGAGCCCCCACGTTCCTGTCTAACTCGGCTCTCCACAGTAAGGCTTTCAGACACCTCTTCATCCCATCCATCAGCACAGATTCTTATCTGTGTTTTGCATCATTTGAAAGATGTGTGCATCTCTGTCTGCTCAGATGTGGGTCGACGCCAGGCAGCCATCACGCCCCAGTCTTCCCTGGACAGCGAGGTGGGGGTGTCAGAGTTGGAGGATGACTCCATCTCCATGAGCTACAAGCTGCAGGACATGACCGATGTGGAGGTCATGGCGCGACTTCAGGAGGAGAGTGAGTTAAGGTTTATTTTTAGGAGATTTAGACGCGCTTTTTAGTGTCTGAGCCGTTCGAGATGTTGAATTTTTGACAAGTGGCAAAATTTAGAATAAATGTGACCTTGAAAGACTTCAGAAAGCAGCTGTTAAATTACGCAGGGCATTTCAGAAAAAGTCCTGCATCCGTCTTTTTTTTTACTGATACAGTAGCTGAATAACAGATGAGAGATGCCTTCTTTTCTTTCTTTTTTCTGTATGATAGACAATGTTTTAAGTGTTACCCCATACTTCTACACAGTAAATAAGATAGCGATAAATCAATGAATAATAAAGGACATGGAGTGATTTATAATCCAAGTACTGCCGAGCGTTATTCATAATGTAGATGCTTCTCGCAACCTTATATACATGTTTAATTTGTGGTTTCCAACTTAATTTACTATCAATTATTATTCCAAGGAACTTATGTTCTGTTACTTGCTCAATTTCACATCCATCTATTTGCAGCTTAACCTCAGTTTTATTAGCCATACCAAACAACATACTTTTTGTTTTTGCTATATTTAATGTAAGCTTATTTTCAATAAACCACTCTTTAATGACGCACATTTAAATTTGGACCATCCTTTCTAAGTCGCTAATATTATCTCCTGCACAGAAAATAGTGGTATCATCGGCAAACAAAACAAATGTCAGTGTATTTGTTACATTACTCAAATCATTATTATATAATAAAAATAATTTTGGACCCAGCACAGACCCCTGTGGTACTCCACAAACAATGTCCAACCATGAAGATGAACATTCTCCAAATTTCACAAACTGTCTCCTCTGTCTCCTTCAAAAGGAAGGGTTAAATTTCCTACATCAAGAAATAAAACACTGATCTGTTTTTTTAGGCCTCCGACAGGATTATGCATCTACCTCAGCCACGGTCAGCCGCCGCAGCTCCAGCTTCTCCTTGCGCTCCCTCCGGCGCAGCGAGATGGATCTGGAGGAGGAGGATGAAGAGGAGGATGAGGGGTACGACCAGCTCCCGCCTCCCCAGCCTCGCCTGTTCCGTACAGGGTCTATGCAGCGGGGTGGCCTGCCCCACTCTCACACCTTCTCCAGCATCAGAGACTGCAAACGCAGCTCAACCAACCCTCAGTTTTCTCTCGGTGGACTCTCTCCGTTCTCTGGACCTTCTAGCCTGATTGTGGAAAATCACGCAGCATACAGGAGCAACACAGGTCAGTACATTTCTATGTCCTTCTGGAAGATATTGGTCTTCTTTTTCACTAAATTAGGACCTGATGGGTACTTGATTGTTGAAGTTTTATCTATAAAGTTGTGGCAAACCTAGGTCCTTGTTTGCTAACTGATATGTGTTAAATTGTTCCAAAGCAACACCTGTACAGTTAACTTAGCCTAACGTCAAGGCTGTAAATAATTAAAACATCTGACCTTAGTGGGAAACTGTCCCTATTGTGACTGTTTTTGAAACTGGGAGTAAAAATCTCCCAGAGCTCCATCTGGGCTCATCCCAGTCTGGCGTGTAGACTTGCATATCCAAGATCTAATGAGAACTGTTGATATTGTTGCATAGACAAGTTACGGAAAAGCATGCCCAACCTGATCCGAGCCCCCAGCATGCCCAGTGTTCCCAGTATTCCATGCCTGGCTTCCCCTGCCAACCCATCCTCCTCCCACGGCCCCTCCTCTTTGCCAACGATGCCCTCCCTCCGCAGCAGCCAAAGCTTTGACTCATCCAATGGCCTCGCACGACTTCAGTCCTCCAGTAAGATACTTGTGTTGATGTTTTCAGTGATGACCCCACAGGTTTTATTCATCATTAAAAAAAACTTTTCACGTTTTGTCTCAGTCCCTCCCCCAGGCCAGCTCAGTCAGAGAGTCCAGAGCGTCGGGAACTTCCACACCAGTCTGCGGCACCCACTAAAAGCCACCGCCTACGTAAGCCCCACAGTGCAGCAGGGTCCCACCTCCACCTCCCTGCCCACCTCCACCAGTCTGAACTCCATCCACAGCAGTGTTACGTCTCTTCAGCCTCTCAAACCCAGCAGCAGTGGCAGCTTGCTGCCACATGCTCTGAAAGCCGCGCCCCGCAGCTCCCTGCCTCGCCCAGCCTCCTTTGTAGGAACAAACGGAGTTCCGCGTTTGAGTAAAATTACTCAACCAACACGTAGGTAAGAATAAATTTGTCATCTATTATACGATTCTATTTTGTTATAATACAATTTTTCTGAGTTCTTGCTGTTGACGCAGAAACTGTATTCAGTTTTCACTCTGGGTGTGGTATTATTTTAGAGTTAGATGGAACATGTGAGGAAGCAGTTCAAAACTCTAAATGCACGGAAAGCCCCCGGCCCTGATGGTGTACCTCCTGCCACTCTAAAGCTGAAGAGCCGGCCCCAGTGTTTGTGGGCATTTACGACTCCTCACTAGAGGGATGTCATGTGCCTGGCTGCTTCAAGATCTCCATCATTGTACGCTGTCCCCAAGAAGCCAAGGATCACTGGGCCCAATGACTACAGACCTGTGGCTCTGACATTTGTGGTCATGGAATTATTTGAGCACCTGGTTCTCCCCCCCTAACTTAAGGCCCTCGCACCTGCAGTCCATCAGCACCGGTTCCCCTCAGCAGGCACGTGCATGGGGGGAGCGAAGGGTGCTAAAACCCTTCTGATTCTGAACCTCTTAAATTTCACGAGGTTTTTTTAATGTTATTGGTGAACCTTTATGCTGCCATCAGTTTAGCATTTAATGCTTTTCAGCAACAGTGCCAGCAAAACTAAGGAGCTGGTGGTAGACTTTCGTAGGCATAAGCATTCCTTGCTTCAACCATTGAGCATACAGGGCATGGACATTAAGACTGTGGACAGTTACAGGTATCTTGGGGTCCATTTGAACAATAAACTGGACTGGACTCATAATTCAGATGCCCTGTACAGAAAAGGGCAGAGTAGGCTGTACCTACTACAGAGACTGAGGTCATTTGGAGTTGTGGGCCTTCTCCTGAAGACCTTTTATGACTCTGTGGTGGCCTCGGCCATCTTTTATGGTGTGGTCTGCTGGGGCAGCAGCATCTCTGCGGGGGATAGGAAGAGGCTGAACAGACTGATCCGCAGGGCCAGTTCTGTTCTAGGATGCCCCCTGGACCCTGTTGAGGTGGTGAGTGACAGGAGAATGACAGCTAAACTGTCATCCATGTTGGATAATATCTCCCATCCCATGCAGGTGACTTTGACAGCTGTGAGCAGCTCCTTTAGTGGGAGACTGCGGCACCCAAGGTGTGGGACAGAGAGATTCCGGAGGTCTTTCCTCCCCACTGCTGTCAGACTCTACAACAAAACTGTTAGATGAAGTGTCATCTGTATTTCTAAGCTGTATATAGTATGGTTATTTTTTACTCCATTTTTAAGGTATAAATTATCTATTGTATTGAGTTTATTTTATCTCATTATGATCGAACTTATTGTATTTTTGTGTTTTCTCCCTCTGCTGCATAACTTTTACTTTGGCTGTAAACGAAACAAATTTCCCACTTGTGGGACTAATAAAGGTTATCTTATCTTAAAAATAATCCCTGTAAATACATTTATCTTTTATAATTATTGAAAAAAATGTATCGTACATTTTTGTGCAGTGAAGTATAAAGCTACCATACCTGTTTTACACACACTGCAACTCAGATCATTTACGGGGGTGTAAATAGGCAAAAACAAATGATTTTCCTGCCTGTTCTAGGGAAAAGTCTGAATGGATCTCTAAATCTTCATGCCGTCATGGTATCGGGTGCCATTTGTAAAGTCAAATAGTCACAACTTCACATAAATATTTATGGGTTATTTAAATATTTAGTTTGTATATTAAATATTTAACTCTAAGTTAAACATTTCACTTGCCATCTAAATATTTAGTATGAATAACATGTTGAAAATATGACTTTGAAAAATTAACTCCCTTTTTTTCTTAAAGTAACCCAAAGTATTTGTGTTAAATTAAGACTGTTTAACTTTACCCCATATCATTGGTGTGCCTGCAAAAACAAAATGGTGTTTCAACATTTACTTTGACTCAAAGTTGCAGGTAAATAAAAATTTGAAATATATTTAAGTGTTCATGACATTTTTTCCCTTCTGTCCTCAGTTTTCTGGCTCCTCCTAAGAGCCTGGCTGCTCTGAGTGCCCTGAGGGACGGCACTTGGAAAGACGGCTGCTACTGAGTCCGCCGTGAACTGAGAGGTGCACAGATTAATGCTGCAATGGACACATCCGATTCAAATCTGCCAGGAGGGTCTGTCGCGAGGGACATGAATACAAAGCACTACACTTGACTGAGAGACACAGACTGAGAACGTTTGGATCCAGCCGGCTGGATCTCCTCTGCTTAAAAACGACCACATAACAGGCAAAACTCTAATTTAAAGAAAAGAAAGTTGCTAAATGTGAAAAAAGAACTTGTTGGTGTTTTTTTTTTGTGTCTGTTGATATTTACAGATTTAATTCAGTACAAACAAACATTTCACTTAAGCTGAAAGCTCAAAAATGAAAGATTCTTTGCTTTTCTACGTGCTGTTACTGATTTTGTTTCACTTAATTGAATATTTTTGTCAGAATATGAAGTCAAACATGAGATGAACCTTAAATTAAACTAAAGTAATATCCTGTGCCTGTTAAAAAGTACTGTATTACATGCTGGTTGGGTTTATTTTTGCAGCACTTTGGGTCAGAATCATGATTAGCTTATTAAAATAAAGGATTTGATTTATTTCTTAAACCAAGTTTATCATTTATGTCAGTGTGCACAATTCAGCTTAAGACTAGTTCTTTTCTGTTTACATGAAAATGTTTGATAAATATGACTGCTGCAGAAATATTGCACATTGAGCCCTAAAGCTTTTTATAGATGGCAAGAAGTGAAAGAGGATCATTTTTAAAGTAAATAAAACATTTCAGTATATACTTTTACTGAGTATGTCTTCATTTTATTTGTTGGAGTAAACAGACTTTTGGAAGGTTTTAAAGCTCAGTTCGAGCTGCAGATTTCAGCTGGAAAACGTTAAAGCAAAAATGACTCGCAGGAGGAAAAATGTGATGCACTAAACGTCTTTAAGAAAACATCAAAATTGAAAAACTATTAAACTTATTTTATGCTGGAAATTAGATTTTCTTATTTCCTCTCGAGATTCATGTAAGTGATATTTTCACTCATTCGTGTGTGTTTGCATGAGTTGGATTTTTGCTGTTCAAAGGAGCAGGAGTGACTAATCTTTAACACACGTGTGTGTTGATGCTGAGTCTCCCCAGTAACCGGTACAGTTTCAAACACACGTTGAAAGTCACCACTGATATTTGCAGCTACCTGGAATTTTTTACTTACTTGGAATTTTTAATCATGCCCAACAAAGCCCAGGAGGTAGGTGTATGAGGGTTTCACTCTCACCCTAATGCATCTCAGATTAGTGGGACATTTTGCCTGATAATCTGATAATCTATCAGGATGCAGTCATCAACCTGAAGACACTGCAGGAGGTTTCCATGCAGCTTGGTTTTGAGTGGACATTTCTGGCGTATGAGCTTGGATTCAACAGAACTGAAATAGGCCAGTTCCATACCAGATCCACAAGGAAGCCTTTGCAGGCCAGGACCATGTTGGAAAGCTGGTACTGTGTGTGTGTGTGTGTGTGTGTGTGTGTGTGTGTGTGTGTGTGTGTGTGTGTGTGTGTGTGTGTGTACTTTATTTTTAAAGTTGCATTCTCCATTTGAGTATTACAATAAACAATAAATGAGTAGTAGCCTAGTAGTACTGTAGTAGTAAACATGAACTACAGTCATGAGGATTAGAGTATCTTTGGCAGGTGAGTTTTAAGTTTAGCCTTGAAATGGTGAAAGGTAGTGGGATTTCTGAGTTCAACTGCTAATGAATTCCACAGGGAGGGGGCAGATCTGCTGAATGCTCCAATTCCCATGGTGACATGACGAGGTTGATGGAAGCTGAGGATCTGGGCGGGAGGGGGGGGGGGGGGGGGGGGTAGGACTGTGTATGAGCTGCGAGAGACATGTGGGGGCAAGGTTGTGAATGGCCTTATGTAAGGAGAAAGATTTTGTAATCAACCCTGAATTTTATTGGTAGCCATTGACGCTGCTGGAAAACAGAAGTGATGTAATTAAACAATTAGAAGATGTGATTATGCAAGAAGAGTAGGACCACTGAAAGGAAGAAAATTAGAAAAGAAAATGAAATTTGACTTTTTTTCTAAGAACTCTGACATTTTTTTCAGAATGTTGACATTTTCCTAAAAATTCTGACATTTTTTCTCAGAAATGTGATTCCCCCCACCCCCCACCCCAGAAATCTGACTTTGTTTCTCAGAATGCTTACTTTTTCTCAGAATTCTTCAATTTTTCTCAGAATTTTTTTCCCTCAGAAATCTGACTTTTTTTCTCAAAATTGTGACATTTTTCTTGGAATTTAGACTTTCCCTCAGAAATATAACTTTTTTTCTCAGAATGCTTACTTTTCTCAGAATTTTGACTTTTTCTCAGAAATTTGAATTTATTCCCTCAGAAATATAACAATTTTTTTCAGAATTCTCACTTTTTCTCTGAATGTTTACTTTTTTCTTAGAATTTTGACATTTCTCTCAGAATTTTGACTTTTCCATCATAATTCTGATCTTTTTTCTCAGAATTCTGTTTTATTTCTCAGAATTATGATTTTTTTTCTCAGAATTTTGACGTTTCCTTCATAATTCTGACTTTTTTCTCAGAATTTTGACGTTTCCCTCACAATTCAGACTTTTTCCCTCAGAATTCTAACTTTTTGACTTTTGAGAACAAAGTCTGAAATATTTTCTTTCTTTGATTTTCCTCTAATTCCTTCACTAAAACAACTTCGGTTTATTCACAGGTATGAACGATCATGGGACAAACCAAATAAGACCAAATTGTTGCAAGATGGACTGGAGAGAGCGGGAAGACGTGATCTGGCGGAGAAAATTCGCTGTCTTCACTGGGGTCACCAGAAGCTGAGCAAAAAGGTGGAGCTTCCCTCAGCTTTCCCCTTTATAATCACAGTCCACAAGACCATCCATAACAAAGATGCACTACGAAGAATCAACGACCTCAGCTGTAGGTTCACTTAAAGATGGAAGAAAACATCAGATACACCGACTGATGGTTTTAAGAGAAATCTCAGTTTCTGATTTTTGTACAGTTGATCTGCCAAGTCACATTTTACCTGAGCTCACTTTCGTTCTACTAAATATAATTGACATAAATGTTTATGTTGTTGCAACTTTGATTGCATGAATATAATGTGATTTTTAAAATGAAAATTTTAATGTCATACAGTGTTTTAACATCATGGCTTATTCAAGGTTGTTTTGACAGCTGCATGCATCCTGCCAGAGAGTTGTGTCTGGTAGAAGGAGATATCAGGAGGTGGGCAGGATAATGGAAGATTTTTGTACTTTGCTTTTGTCAACGTGTGTTTCCTGCAGGACTATAAAATTGAATGTATGCTTCCATTCTTGGCTCATTCTGTGACCTTCATATTGAGACCCGAACACTTTTTAATGCCTTCAGTAGTAAATAATATAAAAGACTGAGCGCTCTAGTTATTTACTGTGTTTCTTATCAGTTCAGTGAAAGATTGCCATGACAATGATAAAATATTTGCAATCAATTGAGCTTTATGTTTTATTATCCAATTATATTATAAAGGTAAAACAAGTTCTAAAGCGATGAAGTAAAAGAGCAGAAACAAAACATCGTTTATGCCAATTGATAAATATCAAAAGGCTTTTCTTGTAAAAGCTACTAATGATCTAGCCTAGCAAGCCAGACTAAATAAATATTATTTAGCTAAAATAAATATGTTATTTAGACTGGCAATGCTCCATTGATGGCTGTCGGTCGTGGGGTGGGTTCTACCGTTGTCTATCAAACGTTCGCCGAGCAACAGAGGCCAAGATCCACCATACCAGACAAGACCCAAGTTGTAAAGTAGGCTATGCAAAGAGGCCCCTGAGACAATCCACCACATAACTGCAGGGTGCAAGATGCTAGCAGAGAAAGCATACATGGAACACCACAACCAAGTGGCTGACATACAGGAACATCCACGCAGAGTATGGACTGGAAGCACCAAGGTCAAAGTGGGTAATACCCCCAAGGTGGTAGAGAACAAGAGAGCCAAGCTCCTGTGGGACTTCCAGGTCCAGACTGACAAAATGGCGATGGCAAACCAACCGGACATTGTGGTGGTGGACAAACAACAGAGGACAGCTGTTGTGGTTGATGTGGCAATGGGTAATACCAAGTGATGGAAACATCAGGAAAAAGGAACACGAGAAACTAAAGAAGTACCAGGGCCTCAAAGAAGAACTGTGGAGTGGAGACATCGGTGGTGCCCTTGGTCATTGGGGCACTCGGGGAAGTAACCCCCAGACCGGAGGAGTGGTTAAAGCAGATCCCAGTAAAAACATCAGACATCTCAGTCCAGAAAAGTGCAGTTCTTTCTAGGAACAGCTAAGATACTGCAGAACCGTCAAGCTCCCAGGCCTCTGGTAGAGGACCCAAGCTTGGAAGGATGAGATCACCCACAGAGGGTGATAAATATATATATATATATATATATATATATATATATATATATATAATCTGCATAGTTCCTCCAACCTTCGCAAACATAATTTTAATGTAAATATTTTTGTATTTTCGATGTTTACCGTACACAGTTTTCAGTTTTGACCTAGTTAAAAAAGGGTGCCAAGATGGCTGAGTAAGTATACACTTACTGCCGAGCTCTGCAAATATAACTTTACAATAAGGTAAAAACATCACGTCAACTCAGAGTTTTTGAGCTGTTTTGTTCCTTAAGAAAAAGTTTTTGAGAAGTAAGAGGCAAAATGTCTAACCGGGATAACAAGAGACCGTCGAGCAGTTCCAGAACAAAACTAATGCTAAAGGCTGATGCTAACAAGGCAGATGATAGCCAGGCAGCTGCGCTGGTGAATCCATCGTTTGACAACTGTCATAATTATGCGGCTTCCTCACTTCCTCTTCCAATAACTGAGGAATTGATGGACGGGTTTTCACCTCTACCCATCACACCCAGCCAATCTCCGGCGCCAAAGAAAGCGATGAATTCCAAGGAAGGTTACGTGGATGTTGTTGAAACTTTATCAAAAGTAATAAATAAAAGGATGGATGACCTTGCACTACAGACTGCTGGCATTAGAAAGACTGCTGACTTTGCATGTGAGGAAATACGAAATGTGAAAGGCAGAGTTGGCTCTTTGGAGCAGAAAATCGCTAAAGAGGAAGGTCGCATGGATACCAACCCGCAGAGAATCACAGACCTGGAACGATACTCCAGACGGTGGAACCTCAGGCTGTTTGGTGTTAAAGAAGCTGAGCGGGAAGATGTATGGAAGGGTGTTGTTGAGATATGTCAGGCAGTGCTGCCTGAAAGTAAAAATTGCCTACGTGAAGCCATCGACACAGTGCATCGCGTCGGCCCTAAACGCCCAAACAGCACCAGGCCCAGAGCTATCATTATCCAGTTCATCTCCCGCAGGATCAGAGATGATCTGTGGAAAGCTGCGAAGACAGCCCCATACCTGAAGGAGAACCGAGACCTGAAGTTTGCAGGGGACCTCTCAAAGGAAGATAGAGACCACTGGAGCAAACTGTAGCTCATTACTGAACAGGCAGGCTCGCAAGGAGAACAAAAAGGCCTACTGCATCGGATGTCGAGGTTTTGTGAACGGGACAGAAGTTTTTCCGTCCTCAGAATGAAAATGGAGAATAATGGGTAACTAAGAAAGAAGGTTAAAACTGCCAGGTAGTACAACTGCGTATGTTTGTTGTTTATTTTCATGCACTTTATTTTTTGGTTATTGAGAATGTTATAACACTTTTACCAAATGATTTTCATAAATGCAATGCTCGGTCCCTTTTTGATACTTACTTTTCTATTAAACACTATCTATTAGTTCTATTTAAATTTCTAATTGGTCAGTTTTTGTTTTCTATACTGTCATTTTCTATTGTTTCTCTTTATGCCAGGGGGTTAAAACAAACTTTCAAAAGTAAAGCTCTATTTTTGTTTGCTGAAAAATACCATAGTGATTTCTGTTTTTTCCAAGAAAGCCATTCTGTTTCTACTGACGTGAACTTCTGTAAATCCCAGTGGGGTAACAATATCTGGTATTCTGGTATTCGCATGGCTCAGAGAGGTCAGCTGGGGTCACAACTCTCAAAGGTACTTTCGGTGGTACTGTTCTACAATCAGACTGTGATTCCTTAGGTCATTATATTTGTCTGGTAGTCGAATACAATCACTACATCTTCATAATTGTTAATGTATATGGTTATAATATCAAGTCTGAAAATGATAAATTAATTGACTCATTAGATACGAGAATTACTTTTTGGCTCTCTAAATATCCCAGCTCACTTTTGTTAATAGGCGGAGATTTTAATGTATCGCTTAATGATACTATAGATAGATGGCCCCCAGCACACTGTTTTAAAAGTAACTTGAGGATGGAAGCATTTATGGATAAATTTAATGTAACTGATATTTGGAGAGAGAAATTTCCTGATGATGTGTCATTTACGTGGAGGAACCACTCTGGTTCAAGGAAATCACGTATTGATTTTTGGTTAATTTCTAAAAATCTGTCCAAAGATAGCATTACGGTCAATGTCCTTACAACGCCACTCACTGACCATAGAGCAATATGCATCAATTTACAATTTCTTCCTATTGAAAATATTAATAGATCTTCATATTGGAAGTTGAATGGTTCACTTTTGAACCATACATTTGTAAAAGCTGAAGTTACACGATTGTTAAAACACTTTATCAACAAGGGTGATATTGAGAAGTCTTACAGTATAAACTGGGAACTTTTTAAATTTGAAACAGGTACAGATCAGAAGAGGAAGAAAAATTAATTGTTCAAATTTCGTCAATATATCAACTACCACCAGATGAAGTCTCAGAGGAGGATAAATTGCAACTTAGGACCCTTCATTCTAAACTTGACGAGCTTTATCGCCAGAAAGCTGAAGGTGCTTTTGTTCGTTCAAGGAAAAAATAGATAGAGGAAGGAGAACAGAACTCTGCTCATTTTTTCCATTTAGAAAAATTCAGATCTAAATCCAATACCATCCATCAGTTGAACATTAATGGTATGATCACTAATGATGCCAAAACCCTCTCTCAGTTTTGCTGTAAATTTTACTCAAAGTTGTATGAATCAAAATATAAGGCAAATGTTGCTACTCAGTTCATCAACTCTGTAAATAATATATGAGTAATTAAAACTGCAGATAGGCTTTATTGTGACAGTTCGTTCACTGAAAAAGAGAAACTGGACTCCATTAATCTTCAATAAGTCTCCAGGCACAGATGGCTTGGTAGCAGAATTTTATAAAATGTTCTCTTCCCAGTTAGCACCATTTCTGTTACAGGTTTATAACGAAAGCATTGGAAAGGGCACTCTTCCACCCAGCCTCACACAAGGACTCATTACTCTAATTCCTAAACCTAAGAAGGACTTACTTTCCAGAGATGACTGGAGACCCACAAGCCTCTTAAATAATGAGTATAAAATTCTAGCTCTATTGCTGGCCAGGAGAATTAAAGATGTTTTGGATGATGCTATAGATGAGACACAATCGGGATTTATGACAAAAAGGCACATAATATTAGACTCGTCTTAGATATCCTGGACTACTCTGACCTAATCCTTGAAAATTAATTTATCCTTTTCCTTGACTTCTACAAAGCTTTTGACTCAACTGAGCATAAATTTATATTTCTCTCACTCAAGAAATTTGGCTTAGATGATTTCTTCTGCAACGCCATCGAAACTTTATACTCTGGCGCAAATAGCTCTATCAGAATGAAAAATGGCACCACATCTCGTTTTTGCCTGAATCGAGGTGTACGTCAAGGGTGCACCGTCAGCCCTTGTCTTTTTCTACTTTGTACCCAAATTCTCGCCTCTTATATTGCTAATAGTCCTATGAAAGGTATAAACACAGCAGACAGAGAGGTTGTCATCAGCCAACTGGCAGATGATACCACAATTTTTCTTAAAGATGCTAGTCAGGTGTCAATTGCCCTAAAAATTCTAGATGACTTCTGGATTAATTTTGAACTTCTGGATTAATTTTAAACTTAAACAAATGTTAGTTATTACCTATCAACAATTGTAATGATCAAAGTATTTGTAATATAGCTATTCAACACGAAGTAACATATTTAGGCTTGATTATCTGTAAAGATCAAAAAACCAGAATTACCTCTAATTTTTCTCCAATAATTAAAAAAACTCAATCTAAGTTAAATCAGTGGTTACAAAGAGATTTAAGTTTAAGAGGACGAGTGTTGCTCTCCAAAGCAGAAGGTTTGTCTCGACTGGCTTATGCTGCCATATCTCTGCATGTGGACAACAGAACTTGTGGGGAAATTGATCGAATGCTCTTCAACTTCTTGTGGAAAAACAAAACACATTACATTAGAAAGAGTGTAATAATGAACGGCTATCAACATGGTGGACTCAATATCTTGGACTTCACTACCTTAAACACGTTTAAAATTAACTGGGCAAAACATTTTCTTAAAAATCCTGTCCCCATTTGGAATTTTACTCCTCACTATATCTTCTCTAAATTTGGTGGTCTAACTTTTATCCTGGGTTGTGACTACAATGTAGGAAAGCTTCCAGAAAAACTTTCAATGTTTCACAAACAAGTTCTATTAGCCTGGTCACTGATTTATAAACATAATTTTACTCCCCATACATACTTGATCTGGAATAACAGGAACATAGTGTTTAAAAATAAGTCATTGTTTTTCTCTGACTGGGTTGAGAAACAGATCACTTTTGTGAATCAGTTGTATAATACTAATGGACAGCTTATGTCCTACACAGAACTCCTAAACACATATAAATTTCCAGCAACTCCCATAGAATATGCAATACTTTTTGCTGCAATACCTATGGGTGTCAGAATGCTTTTTAAAGGTGTCCTACCAGTTGTACCACCTATTTCTCCTCCCGACCCTGTGAACACATACATAGGAAAAGTTTGTCTTACCGAGCATAAAAACAGTAATAGGAATATTCGTGCTTTATTTCAGAGAGAATCCTTATCTGTTCCATATGTGATTTTTATTGGAATTCCTTTGTCACTGACATTAGTTGGAAAAGAGTATGGACCATTCCTAATAAGTATTTTGTGACAAATACATTTCATTCAAAATACTTCATAAGTGTTACCCAGCTAATCACTATATGACAAAGTTTAAGAGGGACATTGATGTGAACTGCTGTTTTTGTGGAAGCCACCATGAGACCGTTCAGCACCTCTTCTGGATCTGTTCACATGCTGCAACGTTTTGGAAAGACTTTAGCAGATTTATTATCGGACAGCTCTGCAAGGACTTCATTTTAAAATGGGAAAATGTTGTATTTTTTTTCGCAAGCACAGAAAGGAAGATGTATACTTTGTTATAAATTTGTTAATTATGCTAGCTAAATTCTATCTCCACAAATGCAACCAAAAACCTAATTTCAAGCACTATTATAGTGACACTCCATCTTACATAAAATTGATTAGTGGATCACTAAACAGAAAAGCTTTAAAAACTATAACTATTTGCACTACCTACAATTTATTTGGATGTGTGTAACATTTCTGTAGTGCACCCCCTGGCAAATGTTTCATGTTCTTTGTTCAATTTTGTATGCAATTTGTTTGTATACTTATCACCTTGTTCAATAAAATTTTGAGGGGAAAAAATAAGTTTTGACCTAGTTTCATGAACCAATCAAATCGTCGGACATTTCTTCTTCTAGCAAGGTTGTAAGAGCGCGCAGGGGGCTGAAGCGGAAGTTAACGTAAGTTAATTTCAAAATAACCTATTTTATTTCTTGATTCACCTTTTTAAATGCCGATTTTACCGTAAGAAATGCACATTTTTATCAGAGTACGTAAAATGATTGGTTTTGTATGTAGTTGGAGACAACACTCCGATATAAAAATGTCAGCAACATATAAGACCAAAATCTTTGTTTATTTTGAAATGTTCTAGGAAACTAGCAACATCCTTGTTTGAACTGACGCTTGTCGAGGCTCAGTCAACCGTCGTTTACTCTGAAAACAGTAAAGAGCGGTGTCTGAAATATCAATGAAAACGTTCATTGTTGTGAACGTAACTCCGTCGGTATGTTATATTTAATGTAAAATCGACTTTATTTAGTGAATGGGAGATGTTGGCAGTTGAATGCACGGCTACAGCTGTTAAATCGCTGGTAATGTATTTTAATCCTTAGCATGTTATTTTTTTTAAACAAACGTGTGTGTCAGCATTAGCACAGTGACCCTTTCGTGTGATTAAGTGTGTTTTCTCTCTGGTAGGGGGGTATTTGAGCTACTCGTCGGCGTAAAACGTCGAATTTGTCCCTTGAAGTTGGAGTAATGGCTTCGGCGCTCAGCTGCTTCTCCGGTCCGGAGGTGCTGGAGGACGTGAACCACGCTCGGAGCTTGATGAGTGAGTTGAAATTACTGTACGACTGCCAGCTGCTCGGGGACATTACTATCGGCGTTGAGTGTGAGGAGGATCCCCTGGAGCACAACCTGGCAGGAGGAGACCTTGGTCAGCTCTTCCTGTGCAGCCGCAACGTCCTCGCTGCTGCCAGCCCCTACTTCAAAAGCATGTTCACGGGAGGGCTGAACGAGAGCATGCAGGAGAGGGTGCTAATCCGCGGGGTGGACTCTGAGTCCATGTCCGTCATAATCGACTATTGCTACACAGGCAGGGTGACCATCACTGAAAGAAACGTGCAGAGGCTCTACGCTGCAGCCAACATGCTCCAGCTGGAATACATCCGGAAAGCTTGCTCCAGCTTCATGACAAGGAGGCTCGATCTCTCCAACTGTGTGGGGGTGCTGAAATTTGCAGATACCTATGACAATCCTGAACTGAAGGAGAATGCACAGGCATTCATAGCCAGAAACTTTAACCAGGTGTGTAATGCAGGGGAGCTGTGTGAGCTGACTTTGATGCAGTTCAAGGAGCTGTTGTCTCTGGACACTTTGGATGTGGACTGTGAGAAGAAGGTCTGCTCTGCTGCTTTACAGTGGATTGAGGCAAATGCACCGCTTGAGAAAGAGGATGCTCTTCAAGCTCTGAAATGTGTGCGCTGGGACTTGTTCAGCGAGAAGGACAAGTGTTACCTAGAGGGTCTCATGGCAAGGCCTTTGATTGAGAAATTTGTTGAGTCGTTCTTTAACAGGTCTTCCGAGGATGGCTGTGGGATGTCTGCAGCTCTGGATGTGCCAAAACACAGAATAGGTGTGAGTGCCAAAGAGATGATTTTATTTTTTGGTTTACCTAATGACAACATAATGTGTTGCGACCCATACTCAGAGGACTTGTACTTCATGGCTCCTCCTTTAGAAGATCTGAGCAGTCAGGATTACAAACGGTCCACAATGGAGTCATTAATCGCCTGTGCCACGCCAGAAAACAACTTGTACCTAGCCTCTCACCTTTCCAAACAGTTCTGGATCTATAACGCTGTCCTCAATAGCTGGCAGGAGCTGGCAGAGCGACCGCTTGGCAGAATACACTCTGGGATGGGTTACCTTAATGGCCATGTATACCTTCTGGGAGGCCGGAATCCAGTAACTGATGCCAGACTGAAGGAGGTTGAGTGTTACAGCATCCAGAGGAACCAGTGGACATTTGTGGCTCCTCTGCCTCACTCTTTAGGTAAAATGCAAGTGGTTTCACTCAACGATCACCTATACGTGGTTAACAAAAGGAGAATGCTTTGCTATGATCCAAAGAGGAATCGCTGGCGCCACTGCGGGTCGCTCCGACGAGACAAGCTTCACAAAGCCTGTGTCTTCCAGGACCAGATCATCTGTGTGTGTGATATCCCTGTGGTCAAAGCCTACAGCCCCACCAGGGGCGAGTGGAAGAGGCTGGGAGACATTCCCATCGATAGCCGTGCTCTGAATTACCAGGTGATCCAACACAACAACAAGCTCCTCCTCCTCACCCAGACTCTGCTGCAGCACAACAAAAACCGGGTCCTCATCCACGAGTACGATCCTGCTCGGGACTCGTGGAAGAACATCATGGCAGTCTACGTGTCCACCCTAGGACCCGTGTGTGTTTCAACACGCGTGTACCCAGCGTGCCTCGGCTCTGCCCACAGCTTTTCCACTGAGGAGGATGACGACAGCGGCTCCAGTGCCGACTGGGACCTGGACGGGCTGACAGACGCAGACTCTGATTCTGGCAGCTCCAGCTCGTTCTCGGATGAGAACTGGTGAAGCGTGCTTCTGTGTCAAATAAAACCCTCATTTATTATTTCTTTATTGCATTTTTTGTTACCGTTTTTTTTTTTTTTTTTCTGTAATGACACCACGAGCTGGGCAGAATTTTACTTTTACTCCAGTCAGTGACAGCATTAAAACCACATAGATAAAATGACTAACACTTGACTTAGTGTAGTATTTATGTGGATATCACCCTGAGATGTACTTATGTGTTTAAAACTCTTTCCCATACTGCAGCAGTTCCCCGTTGTAGTCTATGTAGGCTGGACAACCAAGACTGGGTTACGTGTTTCATAATGAGAGAAAACTTCAATAATAAAACTAATAAATGCTGCTTTGTTTGGCTGTAACTGAGAAATCTTTTATGTCAACATTCTTCTATCTGTTTTCCTCCTTCACTGATGAGACAAATAAGTATTTTTTTTTTTACTTTTAAGACACCATAAATGGTGCTTTAATAAAATTGATCATAAATAACTTTGCCCCATTTAGGATAAATCTGTCTCACGGTGAAGATAGGAGTAAAAAAGTGACATTTTATCAGTTTTCATAAATTATCAATCCTTTTGTATTTGAATATTTAAAAGCAAGTTGGAACGTGACACAACAAGATGCATAAGATGGATATGATTAAGAAATAAAAACACGACTCAAACACATGAATGTGTTTTGATGCCACTGCCAGAATATTTTTCTCATTTGTGCTTGAAAACCCATAGAGGTATTCTGTTTTTAGTTTATAAAGCAAACTGTTAGAAACGAGTTCAGACACTTAACTGATATCAATGATTGGAAGGGTCTTTTAATGCTTTCATAATCCCATTCTGAGTTAGAAGAGAGAACAGGTCCAAATCTGCTTCAAACTGGTGTCAAATCATGACTGATGTGCCTCACGTTTAGTCTCCAAACACAAGAGTCAGAAACAGGACTTATATGTTTTTTATAATGACCAAATGCTGCACACAGTTGAGTTTATGAAAATTAATATAGTTTCTTGAAGTCTGTTTACTGTGTCCTCTCTCAGGGTTAGGCTTCAGCAAAAGCATTTCTGTCATGTTAGAAGATCATTTTGGGAGTTTTATCAAACTACTGATGATAAATATGTTTTGTTAAACTTTATTTGAACCAGTTGGGTGTTTTTTCTTTTTTGTATTACTATTTTCTTATGGTTTATATATATATATATATATATATATATAAACCATTCTCAGTTGGTTTGTTTTCAGCACTATCTGGGGATTTTGTGGACATTTAATATTTTAAGTTATCGGTTTCTAATTTTGAGTTAAAACACAAATTAAAAACTGCTTATTGTAATTAGAACATTTTACTTTTTTGTCGTACAATTGTTGTGATTCAAAAACCTTTCTAAATGACCACGTGGTCGAAATTAGCATCTCAGTCAGAGCAGTCTGAGATGCTCTGTCTGAGATGTTTTTGTGTGTATTCTGATTAATGAGTTTAAGCCTGACTGGTTGTTTTGTACACATGAGAAGGAAATTAAGATGTTCCCGTCAGAATAAAAATCCATGTACATAACATTTATTTGTCCAAGATGGTATTATTTCATGTTGAAACTGGAAACAGTTGGATCAAAGATGGTGTGTTCATTTTTGAGATTTTTGTTGGAATTTTCAAAACTAGCTCATGTTTGACAAAAATTTGACAAAATACCATGTAAGTTGTGCAAATCTATAACACACAATTTTAGAAAAACACATTAGTCATTCACTGAGTGGTAAATGACAATAATTGTTGTGCAATACTATAATGTACTTATCACTTGAAATTGTATAAATGTTAGTTTTTTTAGACTGTTGATAATGTTCAGTAAATTTGTAAAGAAATATGTTGAATTTAAATGAGAAAAATGTCTAAAAATAATAAAATCATCAACTGAGAGAAAGTTTTTCCATCAGTTTCCCTTAAAACATATTTCTTTGCTTTATTGCAACAACGTGCATGAAATTTTAATGTTTAAAATTTAAATTAATATTTAGAAAATCAAGCATATCTGTAAAAACTTTTTCCTCGTGCTTTACTCATTGAGCAAAACAGGCAAGCAAATCATAAAACAGCAAAGCAGTCAAATTTATTTAAACTACTAAATATTGTTGGAATTAAAAAATATTATTAAGATAATACCACATCTTTGGACAATTATATAATTAAACTGATTTATTGTGTTTTTGTGCTTTTATTGTTTATTTTCTGCTACTAGGACTTCCCCAGGTGACATTCTAGCGGCGATTTTTCATCTTCTCGCGATACTTCACTGCCGTGACGTAACACTCCAAACATGAGCGATGTCAACAAAACACAGGAGGAATGGGACTCAGTTTTCAGTGAAAACGACTCCTTAGAGCTCTTCTCCAGCCTTGAAAATGACAACAAACAAGCTCGAACGTTTAAGATTATCGTCATAGGAGATTCTAATGTGGGGAAGACGTGTTTGACCTATCGCTTCTGCGGGGGCTCTTTTCTGAAAAACCCGGAGGCGACAATCGGAGTGGATTTCAGGGAGAGGACGGTGCAGCTGGACGGAGAGAGGATCAAGGTGAGAAGGCTCTTAAAGCAATCAGATGTTTTCAGTCATAACAGAACTTTTTATGGGATTCACGGCAAAAACAACATTTTAATAAAACAACTTATTTAGCTACATCAGATATTTAGATTGTATTACAGTATAAAGCAGCTGTGGCACAAACCAGCTGTGTTAGATCAGATGGCCTTTCTACTGACATTAGACTACTATGGTCAAGTCTGCTTGGAGATGTGTGCCACAGACAAAGTGTAAGGAGTCAGATTATGACTTGATGTGTTTTTGATTCTATTCCAGCTGCAGATTTGGGACACAGCTGGCCAGGAGCGGTTCAGGAAAAGCATGGTGGAGCACTACTACCGCAGCGTCCATGCCGTCCTCTTTGTGTATGACATGACCAGTCTTCTCTCCTTTGAGAGCATCCCTGAGTGGATCAGCGAGTGCAGCCGACACTCTGTGGGGCCCTTAGTGCCTCAAGTGTTGGTAGGAAACAAATGTGACCTGAGGGAAAGTTGCCAAGTGCCCACGTCGGCTGCTCAGTCTCTCGCTGACAGCCACAACATACCTCTGTTTGAGACCTCGGCCAAAGACCCCAGTGAGAAAGAACACATCGATGCGATATTTCTGACTTTAGCTTACAGGCTGAAAAGCAACAAGACTCTGAGACTGAAGCAGCCGAGTGAGAGCAGTCTCAGGGAAATGCGGGACCAGCAGGAGCAGGATGCAACATCTTGTCGATGTTGAGGTTATCTGTGTCCCAAATGAGCGGAAAGTGAACGTAGATCCTGCAGCAGACTTTAAACAGATAATCGAGCCGGTTTAAAAAAATGTCTCTAATTTGTGTTTTAAAAAAATTGAACCGAAGCTTCCTGTGATTCAAAACTGGACCCATGCCACAATGTAGATGTATACGTTTGTTAACCAACCTTTCTGTGAAATGAAAAAGGGGAATGTGGGTGTATTCCAAGTATTTGCACTTTAGATGAATGGTTATGAATGACTTGCATTATTCAAAATCATCACCCTTCTTAAAGGATTCACTACTAGATCACAACATAGACTGTAAGTATTATTTTTGAATGTAAAATCACAGAAACAGCTCAGTCAAAATCAGGAATGCAATTTTAAACATGGAACTGTCTTTGGACGGGATTTAAATACATTTTATTTACAAAATAAATTTGAGTATTAGTCCTAATAATGACGATTAACTCTCATCAAATATGGTATTTATGCTGCATGTATACAGCAGTATAGTTTTCGCAAAGCTAGAGATTTCTGACCATGTAAAGCAGCAAATCAAATAAAACACTTTTTATCTGGATTATAAATGTGTATTTTTGACTATTCTGGTTGTTGCTCTGTAACATTAGCTCAAACATGTCAGGTAGCTGGTCTTGTTTGACAAAGGAACTATGTAAGAATAAATCAGTTCTGATATTATCTCACACTCCCTTTAATAATATTAATGATGATAATAATTAATGCAATATGCCAGTCTCTGAACAAGAAAAGTTTAATTTATACAGCTTTATAATTTAACTAACTGTTGATGAAGATACTTTACAATAAAAAGAGGCATATGGTAAAAATGTGCTACAATTGTCTCCTATTTGACGTAATTCTAGCGCCCTCTAGCGGACAACACATGTAACTAGCAATAATGCGTTACGGAAAGTTACGTAAAAGGGCGAGTCTGTAATTATAAGTACTAGTTTAACCTACTTATTAAGAAGAATTCTATTTGTTAAGCTTTGTTGATTAGTTGTGCTCTTACAACTGTGACTGATTAATGTGCATGCATAAATAAAGGGGCGGGGTGCTGCTACCGGTCCCCATTGAATAGTGCCTGCATGGTGTTTGTTTGTTCCTCCGTCAAGGGTAACTGGCCGTCGGTTCTCCTGTCTTCAAATGGCTGCGTCAACACTATTAATTAAGACTAAAAATAGCTACAAAATCTACTTCTTTATATGTAACGTTGACGTGTGGTGACAGTTTTCAAGCGGTTCTTCGCCTAATGGAAGCTGTGTTGTCATTTTTACCAGCTTTTTATGGGTAAGTGAAAGCAGCACGGTAACCAGGCAGTCTGTATTCTCTTCTCGGCGTCTCCGCGACCACAGCTCTCTTTTCTGGAAGACGACGTCAGAGAACACCTGTCCGTCAGACGTTTTTCGTGTAGGTATGAGTATTATTCCGTGGATAAATGTTTAATTTACGATAATGGTCGCCATTGTTAGCTTGTTTTGGAAGCTCCACACGAGGAGCCTTTTCTCGCTGACACGATTCGGTTTGTTTGTTTGTTCATTTATTTATGAGTTATCTGACCGCAGGCTGTTGACGCTAACGTAGATTGTAAGGGAGTGTAAGAAAGTAAACAAGCTTATATGTAATGTCCAGCTAAATTTCCCATGAGGTGAAGTTCACTGCCCACCAGCAGCTAGCTTAACCTGCATGTAGTAGGTTGCAGTCTCATTCTGATAAAAGCAGACGTCTAGATTTAATCTGTTGTACATTTACATTTAGGGGGCGTAATGACAAATGCTGGGTTGAATTTACATTTCGAACAGCCATCGGTAGCCAGTGCTTTGTTATTCTTCTTAGACATGTTTGGTTCCCTCTTTTTTTTTTTAGCTGTCTTTCAACATGAATTTGGCTGAAATCTGTGACAACGCCAAAAAGGGCCGTGAATATGCCTTACTAGGAAACTATGACTCCTCCATCGTGTACTACCAGGGTGTGATTCAGCAGATCCAAAAGCACTGTCAGACCCTCAGAGATCCAGCACTTAAAGTGAGATGGCTGCAGGTGAGTCCCTTGAAACCTGGTCTGAACCATTTTTGAGCTTTTGTTTAGGTTCCTCGCCCCTGTTGTTTTGTCTATTGTTACACGATCAGAGTCTACCAACATCTGATGGGTTTTAAAGTATTAAAAAGTGGCAGATTGTTCCAGTAGAGCTGATAATTCTGTCAATTATTCCAAAACTGAAGGCAAGTAACAAATATCTTGTCCTGTGTAGACACTGTGGCACGTTACTAAGATGTTTTGTGGTCATAAAAATGTTGAGAATCCTTCCATATGTGGCACCAAAGTCAAACTCCAGCATGTGAAGGTTAGTGTGGATTGTTTAAAAGCACTCCACACAAGGTTGACCCGGAGACACGTGGAAGGATGGCTTTTGTTAAAGTGCACCTACGCAGATTTCTAAGGAGAGAAGCCTACAATGACACCAGTTTCAACAAAGTCAGTTTTTTGTCGGCTGAAAAAATACACTCTTGCAACCGGGTTTTCATGTAGAAGTTCATTATCCATCGACTGCATGTGCAAATGAATGCATTTTATCACATTTTTTCCGTGATTCATTATTTATTCTCCCTTTTATTGGTAATCAGCTCAGACAGGAACTGACTGAGGAGTACGAGCAGCTGAAAGGCATCATGGGAACACTTGAGAGCTTCAAGTCAGTGAGGCCTGCTGAGGTCCTCCCCTCTAAGGTGGAGGAGCGACCCGAGGATCCAGCTGTGTGGCCTCCACCCATCCCAGCAGAACACAGGTGGGTAGAGCTGGTGTGCTGCAGATTTCATTGCTTTTGGATGAAGAAAACTAATTATAGAAAGCATGTTTCTAAGTTTGACAATGGTAGATTTTATATCAGCGGATATAAGCAGAAATGACCCATGCCTATTGTGTTTTTGTAAACCCAGGGAGCACGGCTGCGTTTGTGTTTCAGTGATCAGAGTTCAAAAAGAAACTCAGCAGAGCAAAACCGGCAGAAGGAAGCACTTTGAGTTTATTTTGCATAATCGGTTTAATCTCTAGAATAATAAATAACTATCAGAGATCGTCTTTTACCTGTTATCCTGTCTGAAACTGCTGGTATTTTCAGCTATTATCCATCTTTCTATATCGTATTCTTTGTAGGAATCCTGTTGCAGCGAAGCGGCCCAACAGCGCCGTGAAGCAGCAGCAGAAGAAGGACTCTTCTGGTCTGCAGCATCGAGGAGCAGGGCCAGGAGGCCGTGCCCAGGTCAACCCCAAGGCAGCAGGGGCCAGAGACACTCGGGGTACAAGGGCCAAAGACGATAAGGTCAGGCAGCTGAGCAGGCAGACATGTTGTTGGAGCCTTTTATTAAAATATCCTTTTCTCTGCAGGGGAAGAAACCAGATCTACAGGGAGATGCAGAACAGAAGAAGTTTGATGGTACAGGATATGACAGCGACTTGGTGGACTCACTGGAGAGAGACATTGTGTCTCGTAACCCCAACGTTCACTGGTATTTATATTTTAAGCTTTGTAGCAGATTTCTTTCTGCTCTGCTCACTGGTTGCTCTCTGATCTGTAGGGACGACATCGCTGATCTGGAAGATGCTAAGAAGCTGCTGAGGGAAGCCGTGGTGCTTCCCATGTGGATGCCTGACTTCTTTAAGGGAATCCGGCGGCCGTGGAAGGTACAAAGGCCGGATGTGTGCTTTCATCCTACTTTAGGATCAAATTCGGTTTAATCTGCTGTATAATCTCAGATTTTCCTCTCGGTTAAACTTCATCATATGAGGCCTTTTTCCCTTCAGGCCCAACATGTGAGAATTTTTAAAACGGCACAGCTCTTGTACACCAAAACTTTCATTTTAGAAATTGATGCAGGGCAGATTTTTCACCAAAAAATCTGTAGGAGCAGCAAAAACAAGAATCCATAAACGGGTTTAGAGGAGAAATACATCTGAGTGCAGGTTGCCTGAAATCTACGGAAGCCCTAAAAGGCAACTGAAAAAAAAAATTCTTGTGGCATTTTTCAAAGTTTTTATTTATTTATTTATTTTGCACAGCCCAGAGAGGCAAATGGAAAAAAGTTCTTGTAGCAATTTTCTAAGATTTTTTTTTTTTTTGGCCAGAATTCGAATCAGAAGGGAATCACAACATTAGGAAATTGCTGCGATACTTGGTGCAAGAAAATTTTAATGATTAGCAAAAATTATAATAAGGAAATAAACACAATGAAATGATAATAATGTATACAAGCCAGTGTAGGTACTGGTCCGAGCGGACCTATCAGTTAAGGTGCAAACACAACACATGGTCATGTGACGGAAACAAAGCAGCTGGAGTTGGCAGTTCTATGATTGACATTCATGAGTCTGACCACAGAAGGGGAAAAAACTGTTCGTGTGGTGAGAGGTTCTGGTCCAAATGGATCGGGCCTCCTGCCAGATGGGAGTGAGTCAAAAAAGACTGTGTGAGACGGGTCAGCTGTGATCCAACCTGCACACCACAATGTCCTGGAGGTGTACAGGTCCTGTATGGAGGGGAGTTAGCGGCCAGTTACCTTCTCAGCAGAGATCATGACGCGTTGCATTCTCTTCATGTCCCTGATGGTAGCTCCAGCATACCACATGGTGATTGAAGAGGTGAGGATGGACTTGATGACTGCGGTGTAGAACTGCCTCATCGACTGTCTGGTAGGCTGAATTTCTTCAGCTGCTTCAGGAAGTACATCCTCTACTGGGCCTTTTTTATGATGGAGGTGATGGTATGCTCCCACTTGAGGTCCTGGCTGATGGTGGTGCCCAGGAAGCGACATGAGTCCACCATCATGATGAGTGTCACACAGGGTTGTGGGGGGAGTGGGGCTGTGTGCTTCCTAAAGTCCACGACAACCTTGTCTGTCTTCTGGGTGTTTAGCACCAGGTTGTTGTGGCTGCACTAGGACACCAGCCGTTCGACCTCCATTCTGTAGGAAGACTCATTCCCATCAGAGATGAGTCAGATGACGGTGGTGTCGTCTGCAGACTTGATAAGCTTGACAGACTCATGGTTAGAGGCGCAGCTGCTGGTGTGAGGGGAGAGAACACAACACTGATGGTCTGCAGGTCAGAGACATTCTTCCTCAGCCTCACTTGCTGCTTCCTGTCCACCAGGAAGTCAGCGATCCACCTGCAGATGGGGTCGGAGATTGGGAGAGCTTCAGCCTTTGTTTGTATCCTGGGATCAGATGGATGGTCACATGGTCAGAAAGTCCGAGTGCAGTGCGGGGCACTGCATGATAGGCTCTCGTTACCATGCTGTAACAGTGATCCAGTGTCCTCTCCTCTCTGGTTGGGCATTTACTATATTGTTTATATTTGGGAAGCTCCTGGCTCAGACTGGCTTTGTCAAAATCTCCCAGAACAATGATGAGGGAGTCCGGGTTCGTCCGCTCCATGCACAATGTCTGTTCCGCGAGCCGAGCCTCATGCACATCCGAGTCTGGCGGGATGCAAACAGCAGCTGGAATGAATGAAGCAAACTCCCGTGGAGAGAAAAAATGGTTTACAGTTCATAAAAAGATATTCCAGAGGGGGAACAATGCTGAGCGATTGCTGTAAGATCTGTACACCAACCATTATTCATGTAAAAACACACACCTCCACCTGTTGTCTTGCTGGAGAGAGCCGCTTGCTGATCGGTGCAGAGGAGACGAAAGCCCTCCAGCTGGAGCGTGCTGTCCGGGATGCCCTCACTGAGCCACGTTTCCTTGTAACACAAGACACAAGATGAGGAATAGTCTGTTTACGTTTCTCATCAGGGCCAGCTTGTTGCAGAGTTGGAGAGGAAGACCCCAGGTAGAGCTATGGAAGGCAAAGAAATGTTCTCCTAGAAAAATTTTAAGTCATTTTTTTTCTGACTTAGCCCAGTAAGGCAAAGGAAAACGTGTCTGTCCTCTTGTAAATTTTCTAAAGATGTATTTTTGTAAAAGTTCAACTTTTTTTTAGTTTGCCTCTGGGCTAAAAGAAAAAAAAACTTAAAAAATGCAACGCTGGAAGAAAAAAAATTATTTTTCGTTGCCCTGCAGGGCTTCCGTAGATATCCCTGCACCAGCTGCTGATTTTTAGTCCACGCCCACTTTTCCTGCTGAACTTCCAATAATTCCCATCAGCATTTAGCCGTAATGCTCAGTTTGAGTCATCCCACAGGGTTGCAGCCTCTTCTGGAGCATCGATGGTTTCTATTCTGGCAAAATATAAATATTGATCAAATGGAAGATTTAGATTATTCCAGTGATTTTTTTACTATTTATTTATTTTACATAATTTATGTTTCTACTGGAAACCCTTTTCTCTTTAGGGAGTGTTGATGGTCGGCCCACCCGGGACTGGGAAGACCATGCTAGCTAAAGCTGTGGCCACAGAATGTGGGACTACTTTCTTCAACGTGTCCTCTTCTACCCTCTCCTCCAAGTACCGGGGCGAGTCTGAAAAACTGGTTCGCCTGCTGTTTGACATGGTGAGTGCCTATAAATGGGTGTTTGGGGCGTCTCCGAACACTTTTTGTTGACGAGAGGCTGAATGTTTGGCTTTTGGTTCCCAGGCCAGGTTTTATGCTCCAACCACCATCTTTATAGATGAGATCGACTCCATCTGTGGGAGAAGAGGGACATCAGATGAACACGAAGCCAGCCGTCGGGTCAAATCAGAACTTCTCATTCAGATGGACGGTTTGTAAATTGGGAAAAAAGATGCGGATGAGATAAAACTCTCCATCAGATGAATCCTGTTACACTTGTGTTGTCTCCAGGGGTGGGAGGAGCTTTAGAGAACGACGACCCGTCTAAGATGGTGATGGTCCTCGCTGCCACAAACTTCCCCTGGGACATCGACGAGGCGCTGCGCCGGCGACTGGAGAAGCGGATCTACATCCCCCTCCCCACAGGTGACCACAGCACGGACTCGGACAGTGATGATGATTTAAGTTCTTGTTAAATCCAGCCACCCTCATTAGAGATGTTGTGTCTGTGCAGCCTTGGGTCGTGTCGAGCTCCTGAAGATCAACCTGAGGGAGGTGGAGCTGGCTCCTGACGTAGATCTGGACCTCATTGGTGGGAAGATCGAGGGCTACTCAGGAGCAGACATCACCAACGTCTGCAGGTTTGGGTTCATGACGTGCATTGGTTTATGTATTTTCCATCGTAGGGCACAAGCTGGTTGAGTCTGTCTAGCTTTATTTTAAAAGGATGTGGCAGAAGGAACAGAGCCCAAATGAGAGGACTTGGTCATAAACTGACTTTTTTATTAATATAAGGTTGCTGAAGCTTTTTCAAACAAGATTTTTTAGACATTCTGCTGGACTAAGAAATCTGATAGTCATGATGCTTTTGATTAACTATAAATCAAAATGGTAAAACCCCTTTTCTATCAGAATGGTGTTGGTTTAATTCCCGCGGTTCTGCTCTTCAGTCTGCACACAGAGAGGAGCTTTTAAAATCCAGCTGATGCATTATGGGTTTATGCAACTAATTATAAATCTGCCTTTGAAACTTTCACAACACAAGTGCGTTGAAAAGTCTGCACACCTCCAGAGGACCCTGTTGGGCTGAACTCCAAAAGAGCATGATGGGATTAGAAAAGTTATCCCTGCATTGTTGAATGACCTTCGGAAGTGTTTTATTAACTAGTTTTGTGTATTTTTACTCAGTATTTCAAGAGCAGGTTCACTGAGAATCCATCTTTTACTTATTGTATTTGAAAATAATCTATCACTGTTTTTCATGCAGGCTGAACATGAAAATAGTCTCCTACACCTATCTCCTGCGTTGGCTTCTGATAGAAAATAGACGGTGAAACTCTAGCATTAGAAAATCCTGACCGAGCTACGTCACACTGTCACTTAACATTCATGGAGTCACCCATCTTGACTCACGAGAGGGAAGGCTGTTGTTGGTTTAAGCATACAGGAAACAGCAGGTCATGTCTCTGCTCGTTGAAGCTAACTGTTAGCATTAGCAACCCCACCACACAGCAGAACTCCTTCAGGCTTGTGTTATTTGTAGAGATAAAACATCAACGTTGCAGCCAAAGTTGTGTTGCTGTTATCCAATCAGAGGTGAGATGTCCAAATATCAGAAAATAAGACTTAATCTTGTTGTCTGAGTTTACTTTAACCATGGACACACTATTACCTGTTTGTACTGATGCTGCTCTAATCTGCGATTGGATAGTGCCAGTATTGGTACCAAGTATCAGCTCTAGCTCAAATTTTCAGAACCAATCTCTGAGGAGTTCCTCTTGATTGGGTACCTAGATGCATATTCAAAAGGCTGTCGGTCACTGATTGGCTAGGGGTGGAGCCACTGGTTGTGTCTCACACTTTCTCACAGCTACCAGCGATGATGTGGTAACATTGACTGAAGGTTTGCTGTGATTACTCCTGTAAAGAAATTTGGCTGGCTCAGCCATATTTGTAAAGAAAAACTTGACTGGCTCAGTTATATTGTAAGGAGAAACTGTCTTTACTCAGTTATATTGTTAAGAAGACTCAAAGGTTGTTTTCATCGATAAACTGACGATAATATCTGTGTGTCTGTGTTTCAGTTCAATAAGGAAACCAGTTTGACAATTAAAAGTTTTAATTCTTCAAATTAAACTAATGATTTTGAAATTGACAAACAGGTAATAACAATCAACATTGGCAACTTTGTGGGACAATCTTTAACAGTTGATATGCTGTTCTTGCTCAAATAGACCTTCTGTTGGTGAATGAAGATTGAGAGTGATATGAGGTGAGATGGATGCGTGTGTGCATCTGATTTTGCTTCAGGAAGAAACAGGTGTCTGAGTGAAAAGTGATGGTTTGAATAAACTTAGGTTTAGTTGGAAAAGATGCATCAAAACGCTATCTGTCGTGTTTTGCCTCACCGAAAATCGGACCCTCTGTTGGACCCGGGACGTCACCTTAGGATGGTGTTTCATCCAGGGCACCTTGGCTGGCAAAGAAGACAAAGATGCGCCGCGAACCGGTCCAGAGTTGCCCTCGGTACACGCCGATGGTAAAGCGTTTTGTCGATGCGCTTTCTTAAGTTAATTCACTCAGAAATCAAAAGACTCGGTAATGAGTCTGCGTTAGAAGTTGCGACTCAGCTATTCTGCCTGGCTTGGCAGAAACAGTGTGAGAGAGATGGGGGGGGATTGAGCCAATGGGCTCCGTGCCCCCGTTAGCGGTTGTTCACACGTCCTCTCTCTTTCGTTGTCAAGCATGAACTCCAATCATAAGACTGAAACTTACCAAAAACCTTTCTCCTCTCAAAGCAAACGTGTGCGTCAGCAAATGTGTTTTGGAGTTTAACTGTGAGAATCTGTGTGTGGGTGTGTGTGTGAATGTTTGTGTGCTTGAGTGTGTGTGAAGGTCAGCAACAAACACTCTCAACATTATCTAATTATGGATTCATTAAATCTCTTATAATTACCCCAAAGCATAATAGTCATTCATTTGATTAAAACACATTTATAATGAGCAAATTGATGATTAAACTTTTAACATTCAAAACAAGAAAAGGAAGTTTAAACTTTATGTTTTGACTTGTTATGACTACTTGTCCATGAGAACTCCTTCTTCTGGTACCGCAGGTGGCAGATGTTATGGTTTCCTCCCAGACTCGCTGGCGTTCAGGTCTTAATCTGTGGGTGAAAGTTCTCAGCGACCCAGCTTTGACACAGCTGAGTCCAACACCACCTTTGTGACAGAAAACCCATATTTCCTCACGTTACACTCCGCTGGAGAGTCATCTGAAATACAAACACACAATACGTACATGACTAAGTAATATTTTTTTCACATTAAGGATATTTAAGCTGGATCTTTTGCGTATTTACAGCTAACTATAGCAGGTGAGCATTAGCATTAGCTTACCATCATCCCATCTCTGTTTGTCCTTTTGCCTGCAGCCATCTCCTACCCTGTTCTTTTCACAGGATCTTTATGCACCAGAGTACCAGAATATTGAACACTGCTCTTAGAAGTGTCAACGCGCCCGCTGTTATGGTTTACATGTCCGAGTCGCCTACAGAGCACCCCGTTATAAATGCTTCCACCCAGTAATGTCTTTTCTCCGTTGCAATGGAAGCAAAACCCTCACGTGTAGTGTAGACTACATTAAAGTCCTTTCTCCTCCAGCTGACATCTACGTCCTCCAGCAGGAACATTTGCCCAGAGGACGACTTACAGGGCATTCATCCCTACTAGAGACCACTGCTGATGTATTAGTGAACTTGGCCTTTTGGAAAATACCAGTCAGCAGCATTTTAGCTTTGTTACTGCAGGTTTTTGTTTTTTCTATCAGCATGTGTGTGTTTTATTATTTTACTGCAGTCGTGTGGGAAATAACAGAAAGTTAATCTGTGACTCACACTGGCTCATTGACCTTGGACGAGTGTTTCAGCCTGCAGGATTTCATCACTTTTAACCGTTCTCTGCTGCGATGACTAAACACCCTTCTCTCTGCTCCTGCATCAGGGACGCGTCCATGATGGCGATGCGTCGCCGGATCCAAGGCCTGAGCCCAGAGGAGATCCGAGCCCTGTCCAAGGACGAACTGCAGATGCCCGTCACCATGGAGGACTTCACCTTGACTGTGAAGAAAATCTCCAAATCCGTCTCTGCCGCAGATCTGGAGAAATACGAAGCCTGGATGGCCGAGTTTGGGTCGGTATAGAGAGCAGAGCTCAGTTGGACCAGAGGCTTGAAAAGAAAAGTGACAACTTCGAGGAGGACGAGGCAGGAAAGCATAAAAATGAAGTATTTGTAAAATAAGAACCTCTCAGACTGCTGTGGTTCTATTTCAGAACCTTTTTTGCTGTTTTAAAAATGAGAAATTATAATGTTTACATCTTTTGAGCTTTAGGTCCAGCTGCCAGACCGGAACTAAACAAATGAAAAAAGTTGTGCAGTTTTATTCTTAAAGCTGCCGACTGTCATCAGAGCAAAGGTGAAAACATATTTACTTTAAGTAAATGGAGGCATCTGTTGGGATCGGTTTTAGTACCTAACTGTTGAAATTTTCCTTCATACAACAGCTTTTGCAGTTTATTAAAAAAGTATAAATAGAACTGAGTTGTACTTTAATTCAGCTGCCTGTTGTTTTCAAGTAATGGTACTAAAATGAGTAAATATTTGGTTCTTTTATCTGTATTCTTAACAAGCCTGGTCTTTTATAAGAACATGGTTGTAAATTCGAGCACTTTAAACATGTTTTCTCAAGGGGTCCCAAAATCAGCGTCTTAACTGAAAATACTTGAATTTTAGCTCTTATTAGTTTGTTTTATTTTGAATCTGTTTGGATAAACTGATGTAGCCAGACTGAAGAATGTGGCTGTTAACCTGTGGATTTATTTAATTTCTTTTAACATTAAAATTTTTACGTTCTAACCTACCTTGTGTCGCTTCATCAGTCTGATTAACTCAGGTTGTGTTACCTCATTTTGGAGAAATGTAACATTTAGACTGAAATGTGTAGAAGAGCCTTTTTTACACTTATTAGCAAGTGAATGGATTAATGTTTCCTCATGTCATTTTCCAGAGCAGTAAATAAACATGATATTAAAGGGATGCTAAGCAGTTTTGGCTTTTTATCGCCCCCTAGTGTCCGTTTAAGCCAAAAGTGAAACGTGTCTCCTCGCTTGTGAGTTTGTCTTTTTAAAACTTTAATCTAACAGCTGAGATGTCTCCTCAGCCTTCATTGGTTTCTACAGGAGTGGTTCACCACTAAATCTGACAAATCAACTGTGTTCTAAAACATGCTGGAAAAACTGCAGCACCAGGCATGTGAACCCATTTGGCTAAGTCCAACAGGGACCGGATAGACATTAGATGGCCACGGGGTGGTGGGGTCTAATGGGCCATTCCCATCTGTACCGGGTCGGCCCGGGCCGGGTAGCCCCAGTCGGCCCCAGCCTGGCCCGGTTGATTCCACACATCCTTGTCTTAAGCCCATGTGGCCTGATTCTACCCACCAATCAGAGGCTTGCTCTAATGGAAGGTGTGAATTTGCTGTCAGCAGTGGGTGTGTTGGCCCTGGTTGGCCTGAAGCAGACCCCCTCGAGAAGAGGGCTGAGAATGAGCCTTGGTTGGCCCAGAAAAATACCAGGCCACCCAGATATGTAAACAACCTATGCTACCCGGCCCGGGCCGACCCGGAACAGATGGGAATGTCCCATTAGTCTCTCCACCGTGTCCTGGGTCTACCTTTAGGTCTCCTCCCGGTTGGACGTGCCCAGAAAACCTCACCAGGGAGGTGTCCAGGAGGCATCCTGACCAGATGCCCGAGCCACCTCAACTGGCTCCTCTCAATGTGGAGGAGCAGCAGGTCTACTCCGAGCCCCTCCCGAATGACCGAGCTTCTCACCCTATCTCTAAGGGAGAGCCCAGCCCCTCTCATTTCGGCCGCTTGTATCCGCAGTCTCGTTCTTTCGGTCACTACCCAAAGCTCATGACCATAGGTGAGGGTAGGAACGTAGATCGACCGGTAAATCGAGAGCTTCGCCTTCTGACTCAGCTCTCTCTTCACCACGACAGACTGGTACAACGCCCGCATCACTGCAGATGCAGCACCAATCCGCCTATCGATCTCACGCTCTAGTTTTCCCTCACTCGTGAACAAGACCCCGAGATACTTAAACTCCTCCACTTGGGGCAGGACCTCATCCCTGACCCGAAGGCATTCTACCCTTTTCCGAATCAAGACCATGGTCTCAGATTTAGAGGAGCTGATTCTCATCCCAGCTGCTTCACACTCGGCTGTCAACCGCTCCAGCAAAAGCTGAAGATCACATTCTGATGAAGCCAACAGGACCACATCATCTGCATAAAGCAGAGACCTGATCCTCAGGCCACCAAAACGGAAGCCCTCCACACCTTGGCTGCACCTAGAAATCCTGTCCATAAAGGTTATGAACAGAATCTGTGACAAAGGGTAGCCTTGGCGGAGTCCAACTCTCACTGGGAACGAGCCCGACTTACTGCCGGCAATGCGGACCAAGCTCTGACACCGGTCATACAGGGACCTAACAGCCCGTATCAGAGGGCCTGGTACCCCATACTCCTGGAGTACCCCCCACAGGGCCCCCCGAGGGACGCGGTCAAACACCTTCTCCAAATCCACAAAACACATGTAGACTGGTTGGGCAAATTCCCATGCACCCTCCAGGATCCCCCTAAGGGTATAGAGCTGGTTCCAATGTTCCACGGCCAGGACGAAAACCACATTGGTCCTCCTGAATCTGAGGTTCAACAAACCGACGGACCCTCCTCTCCAGAACCCCTGAATAGACCTTACCAGGAAGGCTCAGGGGTGTGATCCCCCTGTAGATGGAACACACCCTGTGGTCCCCCTTTTTAAATAAGGGGACCACCACCCCGGTCTGCCAGTCCAGTGGGACTGCCCCCGATGTCTACGCGATATTGCAGAGCCGCGTCAGCCAACACAGCCCCACAACATACAGAGCCTTAAGGAACTCTGGGCGGATCTCATCCACCCCTGGAGCCTTGCCACAGAGGAGCTTTTTAACCACCTCAGTGACCTCAGCACCAGAGATTTGAGAGGCCAATCTAAAGTCCTCAGACTCTGCTTCCTCACTGGAAGACATGTCGGTGGGATTGAGGAGGTCTTCGAAGTCTTCTGCCCACCGATCCACAACGTCCTGAGTAGAAGTCAGCAGCACACCGTCCCCACTATAGATAGTGTTGGTAGCGCACTGCTTTCCCCCCTGAGGCGTCGGATGGTGGACCCAAATCTCCTCAAAGCCGTACGGAAGTCTTGCTGTCTCACTGAACTCCTCCCATGCCCGGGTTTTTGCCTCGGCAACCACCCGAGCCACGTTCCGCTTGGACTGCCGGTACCCGTCAGCTGCCTCTGGAGTCCCACAGGCCAAAAAGACCTGATAGGACTCTTTCTTCAGCTTGACAGCATCCCTAACCACCGGTGTCCACCAGCGGGTTCGGGGGTTGCCACCACGACAGGCACCGACAATCCTGCGACCACAGCTCCGGTTGGCCGCCTCAACAATGGAGGCACAGAACAGGGTCCATTCAGACTCAATGTCCCCCGCCTCACCCGCAACATTTTGGGAGTTCTGTCGGAGGTGGGAATTGAAGCTCCTTCTGACAGGAGACTCTGCCAGACGTTCCCAGCAGACCCTCGCGATACGTTTGGGCCTGCCTGGTCTGGCCGGCATCCTCCCCCACTATCTGAGCCAGCTCACCACCAGGTAGTGGTCAGTTGACAGCTCCGCCCCTCTCTTCACCCGAGTGTCCAAGACATGCGGCCGCAGGTCAGATGAAACGACAACAAAGTCGATCATCAAGCTGCGGCCTAAGGTATCCTGGTGCCAAGAGCACATATGGACATTTACCTTTTTTCTGATTTAATCTCCAGTTATTTGAACAGAATAACTATAAGAATATAAGATAAGAATAAGATGTTTTTGTTGAGGGGATGACTTAGGAATTAAATTATTAGTTCTATAGTCGATACAAAACATGTTTATGAACTTCTTTGCACTAAATCCCTCTCACATAAAGTGATTTTAGTTGTTTTGTTTTTGACATTTTCAGCAACCTTTCAGGGCTCTGTCACTTTAAGAAAATAAGCTGGAGCTGGCCACACCCACCCATCTGCTGCTCAGGCTGCTATAAGCTGAGAAGCTCTGATATCTCAGAGGGGCTCAGAGTAGAGCCACAGATCCAGCAGCAGCAGACCTCTCCTCCAGAGAGGTGGGTTTAAGCTCTCATTTCTCAGTTTGATGTCACAAACAGGGACAATTTGAAACAGCTTCATTTAGGCACACAATTCCTTAAACCAAACAGAAAATATGCTTTTTTAATTTCAAGTTTGGAGTGTTTGAGGCAATATGTTTTCACTTTTCTATCAGAATCAAATATATGTTTCTCAGATTTCTTTTCAAATCTTTCTAAAACTCCAGCTTAAATATAAACTAATTGTCTTCGTGTGAACATCGTCGGTGTTTGATATTTTTGAGACATTTATTGTAGCTGACACAATAATGATAGCCTAACAATAACTATGTTGTGCATTTTCCTCACTGCAAATGTCCTTTTCTGAATTTCTAAATAGTTGAGGGGTTTTATTTATTTAATTTAGCTTTTAACATTGAACATGCGCAATTAAGCATAAATATATCACTTTGTTCTGTTTGGTTTAGTGAACTTTATGTAGTTTGTTCCAAAGCACCGGGTTATTTTTTAACAATATACTCCTTTAGTATCAAAGAAGAGGATCTAGTTTTTCCTCCGCCGCTGAGTATCAGCTCCATCACCTTATAAAGAAGATCTACTGGTTTCCATATTAACTCGGGGTGTCGTTGATGTGAGATAGAAAGTGATGGTGCAACCGGCTCGCGGACGGTGACGCCGTGTGTCCGCATCCGCGCAGGGCGCAGCGCGACGCAGGGTCGTTTCTGTTTTTTTCCGCTCCCTTCCTCCACACAGCGGCTCCGACACAGCTCCATAATGGAAACCAAACCGGTCATCACCTGTCTGAAAACGCTTCTGATCGTTTACTCCTTCGTGTTCTGGGTAAGTTTCCACCTGCTTCCTTCTTTTTGTTGGAACAAAAAAAAAAAAAAAAAAAAAAAAAAAAAGCAGCCCTGCAGAGCAGAGAGCGATGGCGGCGGTTTCATCGGTGCGCGCGGATGTTTTGTTGTTGCGCGTGATGAAAGGGTGGACGGAGCCAGCATCATCGACGGATTGGTGTTGTTCATTGATAAAAATAAATATATATATATTTAAAAAAAACTACAGCAGAGCTGGAACAACAGCCAGTCTTTAGGGTTTATTCATAAACATACACGTTCTAATGTTGCAGCTTCTTATATAACGGTGTATGGTTACACACATTTTGGCAGCTGGGCGTCAGTGCGTGGACCTAACAGCGCGTTATGGGTGTTGAGAGCGAGGTGCAGGATATTAACATAGACATGGACAAAGTCTGAATTGGAATTGAATCTGAATCCTAATCTGCCTGAAAAGGCCCATTTGGGACCAGTTTCTGTGCGTTTTGGGTGGTTCTTAAAGGGACCCCGCAGTGCTGGAATGTAACATCAGTGGTTATTCTGATTTAAGCCTTTTATGCATTAATTGTGACTCAAGATGCGTTTATTCATCTTATTTTACTCAGAATTCTTTGAAAAATTATTTTAGTTACTTCTAATAGTCAGTGTTCATGAATGAAATGCATGTCTACAAACATAATAATAAAAATAATATGGTCTGAGAGCTATTATAACCAGTGTGTGGCTGTGGTGGCTCATGCACAACACCCACACTTATAAACAGCTGTCCACTGTGTGCAGGAAGGAGTTAATCACTTCTCAAAAAAGGTGCATGTATTTCATAATCATTGCATAACAGATACAATTTTAGTTATCTGAGACTAAGGTATGGCTTATTGCGATGCAGTAACCCTTTTAGGATAATGGCCAATCATTTCATGGAGTTCCTTTTACACAACCTGATATGGAGTAAGCTGGTACATTATAGCTAACTGCATTAAAAATATTATTTCTTTATATTTTTCTTGGTAGTGGGATTCTTAATGGGTTTAATTATATCTGACATGCTGAAATATTTTTTATTTTTTATTTATTTATGGTTCTTTTTGAGATTGTTTAATTTACAGATCCATCAAAAGTTTTTCTTACATGGTCTTGTGTCAGAAAAAGGTTAGAATGCCTTCTCCAGGTCAGGCATGAGGTCCTGCCCCGAGTGGAGGAGTTTAAGTATCTTGGGGTCTTGTACACGAGTGAGGAAAAAGATGGAGCGCGAGATCGACAGGTGGAGTGGTGCTGGCGTTGCATCGGTCTGTTGTGGTGAAGAGAGAGCTGAACCGGAAGGCAAAGCTCTTGATTTACTGGTCGACCTACGCAACCCTCACATTTGGCCATAAACTTTGGGTAGTAACCGAAAGAATGAGATTGTAGATACGAGCGGCCAAAATTTGTTTTCTCCGCAGGGTGTCTGGGCCCTCCCTTAGAGATAGGGTAAGAAGCTGGAAGGGGCTCTGAGTAGACCCGCTGCTCCTCCACATCAAGAAAAGCCATTTGAGGTGGCTCAGGCATCTGGTTAGGATGCCTCCTGGTGAGGTTTTCCCTGCACGTCCAACTGGGAGGAGACCTAAAGGAAGACCCAGGACACACTGGAGAGACTATGTCTCATGGCTGGTCAGGGAACACCTTAGGATTCCCCTGGAGGAGCTGGCCCAAGTGGCTGAGAGGGAAGTCTGGGCCTCCCTGGCTACCTTGTGACCCGACCTCGGATAATCAGCCGAAAAGGGATGGATGGATGGATGGATGGGAAAGTTTTTAAAAATTTACTTGAAAACTATATAGTATGGAATAAACCAAGTGTAACATTTCGCTGTAAAAAAAACGTTATGGGACAATAACTTAACAAAAATAAGACTTTTTAAACCACCTTAATAAGTGCAGCCAAAACAGAAGCACTCTTATGTGTTTAACGTTAATAAAAACAACCAAGTGTAAAGTTTTACGTCTAATAAATACTTGAGATAATGTCCCACATTTGGTTCATTGATGAGTCAGTTGATAGATGTTTATGATATTTTCTCCAGAGAAGTCACTTGGATCTTGTAATCTCACTTATTTTTTATACAGGCCTATATTTAGATCTGCAGGGCAGCAAAGTAAGACAACACCTCCTGCTTGGGTGTTGTGCACTATCTCTTTATTTCTGTGCTACAGATGAACCAAAAACATGAGACACACCCAGCAGTGGTGTATGAACCATAACAGTACCAGACACACTTTGAATTTTCTCAGAAATGATTAAATCGATCAAGGTCTCACGCAGCAAATTGTCACTTAAAAACACACATTTGCTAGAATCATTTCTGTAATCAACAAGGAGTTATGCCAGCTACTTGAATTGATTCATGGTTGGTTTACTCTGGGATGAAAGGAAAAATAATTGCTCAGTTCTCATCCTCTTCTTTGCGTTTTGCCACTTTGTGTTTTCCTTCGGCTTTTCCCATTTCCAGATGTGAGGCTGCAGCTGCAGAGCTGACGATGAAGATGGTACATTAGCCCAGTAACATCTAAAGTTTGGTTTTAGATTTAAGTTCATGATGGATTCATCTTCTGTTCCGATCAGGGATGGAATACTTTAATAATTTCTGAAAGATAATTATCTGGCAAATGTGTTTACAGTATCTAGTTTATTTATTTTGTCTTCCACTGAATTAAAAAAAAATTAAAGGGATATTTCACCCAAAATTATAAGTGGGAAAAATAATATTTAACCAACCCAGTCATTCTCCTGACCCAGCTCTGCGTCTTTAGCTTTAGCTTAGCATAAAACACAGTAAGTGAATGGATCCAACTAGCATTGTGAGTAAAATTGTCATTAAAATCACTCAGTAAAAAGGAAAGCCAATTCACTAACAATGTGGTCATCTGTGTGTACCAAAGCAGCTGTCTTTGAGCTGCCTTGCACCTTTCAGTGGAGGCTTACAGCTGTGCTTTGTCATAAAGTAGTCCCAAGACTAAAATGGTGTCTGTGATTCCTTTATGTTACTAATTATTTTCAATTGCAGTCAGTCTGATTATTTAAGTCACCAAGTAGAGTTGGGATCACTACTGAGTGAATTTAATGACAATTTTACTCACTATGCTAGTTGGGTCCATTCACTTACTGTGTTTTATGCTAAGCTAAAGTGAAAGTAGTTCAGCCGAGTCAGGAGACCGACAAGTTTGGTTACAAATTGTTTTTTTCTCCCACTTTTTTAACTCTGAAAAATATGTCAGCAGACATAGTTTCAAATTTGGGTGGAATATCCCTTTAAAAATAACTGGAATCTCTTAGTTGAACCTTTGCATTTGGTGTCACCATCATGTGGTTTTATATATAGTCCAGATTAGATGATCAGCAAGCACTCCCTGACATCAGCATCAGGTTTCAGGTGGTCAGACGTGTCCAGTAGCTCACTTCAACCCCCGGGGGGAGATTTTGGAGAGAGCGTTGGCGTTCACTCTTCAAGGTGGGAGAGATGTCTCCGTGTCAGGCCTCGCTTTCACGGTCTGCAGCTTGTCACAGCAAATAATGACACACGTGAGAAGACGTATGTCGTCTTAAGGAGACAGAAAGCAGGACAGGCCTGGTGTCCTCGCGCAAGGATTTTGTCATTGCACTTTGTGTTTCTTTATTAGGCTGAGGGAGGCAAAGGAGAAAGGGGGATGGTGACCTACCTCTTTTAAACTCAGTGCCGTTGCCACGGCGGCCGGCTGGGTATTGGATTTCAAACAAAAACGTGTGAAGTTGCGTGGCAAAGAGAAGCTGTGGGGCTCCAGAGGGGACGAAGAAGGGTGTCAGAACGCATCAGACTGAGTCCGTCAGACTTAACATCCTCAGTGGCAATGCATGCAAACGTTCAGATGCTTTGTTGTTGTTTATAGCAGATGTTTGGATAATGTAGGTCATGCAGTGAGTAAATTATGATCATAAGGACCGCTCTCTGACACAAAGCCTCTGCAGCAGTTGCTGTTTAATTGAAATCGTTACTGGCTGACTGAATCATCAGCTGTCTGCGCTGCGGCTCACCTGGACACTAGCCAAAAAACATCAGATCACAAAGATATAATAGATCCTTCTGTATAAAAGATAATGGGATCCAAGAACCAATAGGTTTGGCATTTAGTTTGATCAAAGTAAACCACGTGCAAATTTCAGATTATTCTGTCAAAATTTCTAAATTTATGGAGAAATTAGAACAAGTCAGTGGAAGTTTGATACCTTGTGCTCCTGCAGAGTGATGGCCTTTCATAGGCAACGCTACAAATCAATGACCACAACTACTTTATTGCAGTTTTGGATTTAAAAATGATTTTTGCAGCAATGAAATAATGAAGTGTGTTTATATGTCGGGTACTTGATTTGAAGTTTAAGCATTTATGTCCAGGAACACCATGCTGACTGATCATTCCTACAACACCATCACTGATCGTTTAATTTATGGTCCATCTTTTTGATGCATCTTGATCAAGTAGAATCTGCATTTTAATTTTTTAAAATTTAAATATTCAAAAGCCAACAAATCAGTGCAGAAGTTGAGATGACTTTATTGTTAGTCCTTCCTGTTCGCCTGCAGGGATCCAGATTTTCCACTACTTTACCTTTTAATGTTTTCCAAAGCAGTTTTCTCCTGGTCACCTGGTGTTTGTCATTGGGGAAGTGATCAGTGGAAAATAACAGGGTCACTTTTACCTGTTCTAAACTTGAGAGAGAACAAAGGTCAGGTTTGAAAAATAACTCCACTTTTTATCTTCAGCTGGGAGAGAGGGATTTATCTCTGGATCTGTGCCAGCTTTAATCATTACCAAGTGTTTACTTTCCTCTTTTGGTGTCAGTTGAGTGAAATCAGTCGTAAAATGACCAAAGGGCGTATTTGTTGTAGATGTGTCTGTGGCATGTATCTAGATTAGTCTACGATGTGAATATTACCACAAGTTTTAATAGCAATGCAGCTAATAAGGAATTAATAGCAGTTGGCTGAGTTGCTATTA